GCAGCGGGGGGCGGCCATTTATAGTCGCTGCTTGGAGGAGATCGGAGAACGAGGGCTTAGGTCGTAGTTACTAGGTATTTGGTAAATGTTTTTAGCCTGGGTGTGGCGCCGAGGCTAGCGGGAGTCTGTATGTAAGGGCTTTTGGAAGTGGAGAGGCGAAGGTTTGGGGCTGTCTTCTCGAAGAGCGGCGATGGCGGCGATGAAGATGTTTGTTTGTTGGGGGGGTTTTTGCGTCGACTCTTTGCTGTGCCTTTTCCGTTCGAAAAAAGAAAGTAAAGAGGCCGTGAGACTCGTACTCGTTTATCGTTGATTCTGCTTTGTCGAATTTGTATTTTTTTCTCGTCGAAGCAAGCCACCAAAGACAAAAAACGGAACTTGGATTTGAATTCGGGGCGGCAGGCGGAGGACGAGGCGGGCTTTGCTGAGGGCACGGGCAGCGAAAAAGGGCACAAAAGGCAGTACGTAAGATGATTCAGACGGCTGGGGCACTTCTGACACACGCAAAAGAAACAATGAATAGGCTCGAGAGACGGCAAACGGGCTTTTTACGAGGACGAGGACAAGGACAAGAGGACCTGTCTGGTGGCGGCGTCCGTGGTGGTTCTGGGGGATTTTTATGTGTAAGTCGAATGTCGTCCGGGTCGGACAGGGGGGGTGTGGGCCTAGGAAGAAGCCTTCGCAGCTCTCGGAACCCTTTTGGGCTTAAATTTCCTTTCGTCTGCGGCCTTGTCGCTCCAGGCGGCTCAGGGGCCAATTTTGGGGGGGGTTTTTGGGGGGGACGAGGAGGGTGTGCGCATATGATGGAGACCGACAAACGGCAGCTGCGAAAGCCTTACAGTAGTAGTACTACGTAGTATGTGGCACCGCATTTCTGTGCTTGATGGGTTTGTGCCTGTGTTTCCAGGCTGGATCGTTGATGCTTCAAGGCGGGCTGGATGTTGGTTTCTGCGCTCCTCCTCTCTCATACTACCTATGTAGGTACCTGTACTTGCTTACCTTCCTTGCTGCCCACAAGGTAGGAAGTAGTAGTAGGTACCTACATCATGCTGCAGCATCAAACGCAACCTGGGGGGATGGGTGATGCGTCCACTTATTCCCCCCTCGACTCTTACGCAAAAGCACCCCAGGATTTGCGGCATCGAGGCGGCCGGAGATGCTGCTTCTTGCGCCACTGATCACGCCGCGGACGACGGTGGCTGGCCGTTGTGACGAGGGGCCGTTTGCCCGCGGCCTGTGTTAGCACTGCTGGCAGCACTCTCCTCGCTAGGTACAGTACAGTAGGGCTCCAGCGCTCTCAACTGCTGCTCATCAGCATCCATGGATCCGATCCATCCAACCAACATGGAGCTGCTCTCCAGCAATGCACTGTATATGCAGCCGCCTCCATCAATGGCAACCTAGGGGGGAAGCTTCCTCCAGGGCTGTCGATTGGCGCTCCCGGGGCGGGAACGTGCTGGCACGCGGCGCTCGCCATTAGCTCACAGCACGTCTGGATTGTGTAATGAAAACCGGTGACTGGATGCTGGCGGCCGTCAGGTGAGCAGCGCTTGGGAGCAAGAGCCACTTTTGCTCGAATGGAATTGGTGCAGGGCAATATGGAAATGAGATGATCTGGGAGTTGACGAGTCGATTCTCTCCCCCAAAAGGTGAGGCGAGGGGGTGGATTGAATGATGCAAATTTGGGAGAGAAGGGAAAACGAAGATGAGGCAACGTTTGTGTTGTTGTAATAGCAGCAATTGCTGTGTAGAAGCAGCCACCACCAGGGGTTGATTGAAGGGCATTGCCGGCCGTTGCTCTGGAATATTCCTCGACTGGTTCCGTGGCCGCGCCCTTGGCAAATCAGCGTCACAGTATCCCCTTCCAAACGGACGGGCAATGGGCAAGCCCGTCAGCATTCATGTCATCTTTTGACGAAATGCTCTCATACTACTACTAGTAGTACCAGTTCCGTGCCGTGCAATTCATCAGCACTCAATTCCTCCCGTTGCCTGTGGCTTTAACGCTTCGGGTCACCACTCGCAGCACTCGCAGCCTTTCGCAGACAAGACAAGACACTCACGTCATGACCCATCAAACACACAACACCACACACCACACACAGAAAAGACACCTTATACAGTACAAAGTCGACCTACTAACAACTTCCAGTACTTAACAACCGCCAGCCAACTCGCTCCGGGCTTCGGGCGGTTGCGGTGGTGGGTGTGACGCTGTTCTGGTTCGAGTGCCGTAATGGAAACTCAGCAGCAGCCAAAGCTTCTCCAAGCCTCTCCTCTCTCCGTTAGCCTCGTTCAGTTATTTTTACATAATCCCAAGCCCTCAAGGTTGCTTTTTTGCTTCTTGGCCCTGGTCACTTTCAAACGACTCAACGTTTAACCTTGACCAGAAGGAAAAAACTCGTCCTCGTGATCCATCTCGTTGGTGCGACCAGCGTTCAGTGCCAATCCTCTTCCATCCAGCCATCTCGCTTGCCCACATTGCCGGGAAAAGAGCTGGTGCTCCGTACTACTACCTCTTACATACAGTACTCGATTCTTCGCACACGCACAATGTGCAGCGGCCAGGCTCCTGATTGACACGCCACCCCTTGAAGTTGCCCTTGAGATTGACGGATCGCTCTCTCAGATACGAGTACAGGTACGGAGCACCGGGACAAAGTACGCGGAGTTGATGAAGTGGTTCCAGCAGCTCTCCTGCCTTGTCCTGCCTTGTCCTGTCCTGTCCTGGTGTGCTCATCTGACGATGCATCGATGCGACAAGCCAGCGGCGAGACAGCTTCCCCGTACTGGGGTACGATTCACGTCTGGGATTGGTCAATGGCGTCGGATCGGGCACGCCGCGGCCACGAAGGGTCCGAGAGAGAGAGATTTTGAGAATCGACAACATTGGAGGCAAGCATCGAGGCCATTGTTACTCACCGGCCTCCGTGCTCCTACCGGATGCCTCGCTCTTCCTGTCCCTTCTTCCTCTGTCTTTCTCTCTCTCTTCAGCATCTGCTCCTCTTGTCCTGTTACACGGAGCTGGCCGGCCTCGCTCGCTCCGTCATCATGTTGGTCACGAGTCCAACATGCTGGCGTCTCTGATCCGAAATTCCGGTCCCAGGCCACGCGGATACATTATGATACATTCCTCTGACCAATGCCCGACAGCTTATTGCGCGCCGTCTTGTCCGTGTCACGATGATGAATGGTGGTATTTACAGCGGCAGCAGAGCGACTCGATCATCGGATACGGACGGCATCGTGCCGCTGCCGGCGTTAACAGCACCAGCATCAGCATTGCAGGATCCCCTCCCCATAACCATCCTTGTGCGTGAAGCTGTCAAACCCAAGTGGAACACTCGCAGCACCAATTACAAGCTCCAGTTCTGGCCAACGCAGCAGCCGCGATGCCGACAGACGGGCGACGCTGCGAGGACACGGGGTTACTACCAACATGCCTGCTGCATCGACCTGCTCGAGGCTGTGAACCGAGGCCAGCCGGTGCCGCTGGTGCCAGATGCAGATGACGGATTTTCTGGCCAGGAAATCCGTACCCCGTATTACTCTGTTTGCCTTATTAGTGCATCTTTGCTGCTAATCGCACGCCCCTTTGCCCCTCGCCTGCTCGAGTGCTGCGAGGTCGGACATTGGCCTCGCTCCCCAGCATTGGCCTGGAGGGAGGGAGGGCGAGTAACTTGGCCAGAGCAATTAGATGCTGTTGCTGCTGCACAAACCCATGACGAGATTTAATGATACCATCCAAGCTTCTGGCGCAATGACAGGTATATCTTAATCTGGACAGGGATGCGAATTCAGACAGGAACAGCAACAGAAGACGCAGCCGAGACGTGGCGTCGACGTAGGTATTACCGTACAGACGTCATCCAGATCTCGTGCAGCAAAGCCCCCCCCCCCCAAGCGATCAGTCTTCTTATCAGATTGAACCACACCCAATCTCTTCGTCTCTCCTTATCAGGCACAAAGGTCGAAACACGGCCACTCAGCAGCCTCCAAATGCCGGGCTAGGATTTAACCTTGATTTTGTTTCTATTTATTTTCCTCGGTCGCAGATTGTCCAAAAATGGGAACAACTCTTTCTTTCTACTAGTAGCTGCCGTGTGTCCTTGGGCTTCACGTCCATCATCTACCAGCCTCTGATGCGGCTCACCTTTGTCCTCGGAGATGCACGTCCACGGAACTGGTGCCGAAGATGGTCACACCAATAAGGAACTCATTACATACAGTAATACGACAAGGCAAGGCAGAAGTCGCACAAGCAATGCATGATCTGGCGACATGGAGGCCAAGCATTGCCCAACACATGTTCGACCCAATGCGACACGCCCTGCTTCTGCCTGTCTCTTACGGTACAGAGATGCCGTCTTATAGAGCAGCCTCGCAACATGAACTCACACATCAGCTCACCCCCTTGCTTTGTCCACTGGCATGCGGCGCTTCTTTGTGCATTGCAGTCCATGAGGCGCCCGATCGACGATGGGGATGACGCTCGCGAGTTAACCGTGGCCGAAACTCGCACGACCCATCGACAAACTCACTCACGATGATGGATTGCAAGAGGGCTCTCTTTGCAGTTGCACTCTGCCTGCCATGCTCCGTGCTCTGTGCTCTGTACCGATACTTTGCTCTTCTCACGCCCACACCCAAATCACATCATGCGGTGTCCTCCTGGCGCCACCTGCAAGGGAGCAGCCATTCGCGCGATTCTAGTACTTTGGCAAACCCCAATAGTGACCCAGGAACTTTTTCTTTTCATTACTACTGAATAATCCTTTTAAAAATAACGCCAAAACGACCAACCCAACGCTGACGAGTCGCTGGACCCATGAGTAGTAGGCAAAGGTAGTGTGCTGCTACCTGCATGACCAATCACCAGACTCCAGCAATGTAGTACTTGTAGCAGTTTCTCAAGGCCAGCCCAACAACGGCGGCCAGACCCGTCGTCGTCGTCGTCGTCGACGTGACCCAAGAAGCCATGAGCCCGGCCACGCTGCTCCCGCTCAGTCCTCCATGTCGACATCCTCGTCGTCGTCTTCCTCGTCCACCTCTTCCCGAATCGTACGCACAATCTCCTCCTCCACACCACCATCCACCCGCACCTTGACCCTCCTCTGCTCGCCGCCAAAAGCCTTGACGGCATTCTTCCTCGTGGCAAGCAGCATCTGCTCCTCCTCCTCGACGACCACGTCCTCGCCCCTCTCGGCCGCCAGCTCGGCCAGCCTCTTCTTCTCGCTGCCCCGCAGCCGCGGCAGCAGGTGCTCGTTCTCGGCGACGAGCTTGCGGGCGGCGGCCAGCTCGCGCTCGCGCTTGCCGGCCATGCGCTTCTTGTAGAAGACGCGCTCGCGGCGGGCGCGGATCTCGCTGACGCGCTTGATGGCCGCGAGCGTCTTGGCCGCCAGGTCGCGGTCGTAGCGCACGGGCTCGTTGCGCCGCGCGGCGAACTGCAGCGTGCTGTCCACCGTCATCTCCTTGCCCGCGTTGCGCCGGTAGGCCTTTGTCCACTTGAGCTTGCGGGGGTTGCGCTTCATCTTGTAGTTGCGGTTGCATTTTGATCGGCAGAATCGGAATGATTTGCCTGCACGGATAAACATGTTATTAGCTGTCGATGGCCCCCTTTGGAGTGGCTTCCCCCGGGGAGAAGGGGAGGGTAGGAGGCAAAGTCGTGAGGTCGGGATCTCGTCAAAACTCACCATCGTTTCTGACAAAGGTGATGCCCTTGGAAGGGTAGGCCGGCCGGCCACAGAAGCTGCAGTCCTCAATCCTGTGGTCGGGGTCAGTAAGGCAGGTTCTCTCTCAAGTGAGCGGTTCGTATATCTCGAGTTAACATACCGCATCCTGGCTGTCCGATGTGGATTGTGTGTGTTGTATGCCAAAAACAAAACTGGGTATCAATCAATAATCTATCTCGAGGTTTTGGTCCGCAGCCTTTCAGCAGTAGCAAAATCTCTGCCATATTTTTTTTGCCACTAGTTTCTTATCGATAGAGAGATTGCTTCGGTCAAGCCACATCTTTTGACGGTGCACACCAGCCACAGACTCCTCCGCTTGACACCCCGCCTCGAACCTCAAAACGAGCTTAGACTTGGTTTCGTCTCTTGCAACTTGTCGGGTGCCTTTAACAGCAACGATGCTATTTTTCTCTTTTCACCAAAAAAATTCACCTACCGATTCACCCCCCCCTTCTACTGTACTGTACATACTAGAAGGAGGAGCAGGCTATTCTGCCACTAGCTCGACACCGTCGATGCGGCTCTTTTTCTTCTTCCCACCCCTTTTGCAAGAATACTAGACTATACTACAAGCAAGGGGTGGCCGCACTTATTGCTGCCAACTACTACTACTAGGTATGTAACTACTAGTAGTCCAAGGGTCGGTCGGGCTAAAAAGGAGAAGGGCCTAGAATTCTGCTTCCCCGGATTTTCGTTATGTAAAGGGGAGCGGATGAAGCACAGGGACATCACGCGGAGCGCTAGTAATATCAGACGAGGTCAAGGTCCAGTCAAGACAAAGCAGCCCGTGGGAGAATGCCCCAAAAGGACCTCCTTGATGAGTACAAAGTTTAAAATGAAGCGAAGGTTACCTCCTAGGCAAGTTTATCTGGTCATGTTGCTTTTGTGAGGTTTGTTCAAATCATCTCGTGAGTGGTGCACAAGAGATGGTCTTCTAGTTCGTCTTACATTGGACAATCACCGTTTTGGTCTCTGTCCCGTTTAAAGCCTCTCCCTGTTGCACTTTTGGGCTACTTGCCAACGCGTTGAAGGAGTACGAGTAATAGTCCATTAGCTTCAACATCAGCAGGTCATTGGAAACCTCCCCCTTTCTGCCCCATTCAAAGTATGGGGAAGCAGACCGGGCGTGGAAGGGGGGGAGGGCGTGTGAACTGCACAGCATCAGCCTGGTCTTGGTGGACGATGATAAATCAGGCGAGTTGTGAGGGTAGGGAACTACGAAACACTACCAGAACTGTTGGGAGGAGTTTTGCAGTCGGAAATGGACCCCCCTTTTACTAACTTACTTTTGCTATGAGCTAACATGTTGCCCAGATTCGTCTATTTGCATCATCCATTTCTGACTGAAAAGGATGATGGTGCGCGAATACCTTGATAAACTACTGTACATGCAGACAGGGGAAGCATAAAGTCGAGATGCAGCAGTTAGAGCGAGCAAATTGCGTGAGTAGCCAGCTTCTCCTTTGCTAGAAACATCATCTCAACGCCAGCAGAAGATCCGCAGGTCCCAAGCAGATGGAATTCTCCCCCGTTGTCTGCATGCTGCCGTGCCGTATTAGCCGCCTATATTGCCAGCACCTTATGCTGTATTTCTGTGCCGAAGAGTATCTGCCTATGCTGTGTTACTGTAACTCATTGCTTGCAGAGAGCAATTAGTATACGGCCACCTTGAGACAAAACCTGTCCTCTTCTCGTCAGGCTTCAGTACTACATCAAGTGGTAAAGGTGGTTAGAGAGGGGGGGGGGGGGGGGGGGGGGAGAAAGGGACTCACTCAAATTAATCCCTGCGCTCTAGCCAAGTATTTGTGGCTTCTCGACCCTCGGTATAGCCTCACTTATGGGAACAAACCACCAGAGTGTCGTCCAAGATCCACAGATGGGGTGTATGAGTAGCAACGCATATACGAGATGCAACTCCATGCCATGTCAGTTGTCTTCCCCGCGGATTCATCCTCCATCCCCATACTACATACATAGTAACACACCATCATAATACTACTCCGCACAACCTCCATCGTCTCCATATTCCCCAGACTCCATACTGGATACAATTCTCCCCCTATATTGACCCCATATAACCCCATACATGACTTGCCCTCCTGGGCATCAATCCCCTCCAGCCACCTCAACCCAAACACGTAATGGAAATCCCTCTCTGCAGGGCACGCACGCACATATTGCTCCACGTCGCTTCATCAAGCATGTCGTCTATTGGGCCACCCTCTTTCCACCTATGTACATTCTCTTACATACTGCTACCACCACCACCACCACCATCGCCACCACTTCTTATCACCACTGACGAAAAGCAATTTATACATGTAGTCATGCAGAGCTGCCTTTGAGCTACATCCTGCCAAAAGCTACCTAATCTGCATTCGGTTTACATAATGAGAATCCCGCTCGTTCTTCTCACCCAGCCTCCACCGAAAGGCATCAAAGGAGGACACAAAGAAGATATCAAAACCAATCGCTCGCATTTCCCTCCATCAACATGGACTAGATTGACAATCCTTGGGCCAGTTTAAACCACCCTCCCTTTTCCCACCCCAGATCCCACAGTGCCCTGCCTCCCCATTCCGTGATTGCGCGTCGCCAATATCAACATACCTATGTATCTACGCTTCCAACATGCCACATGCCATGGAGAATGCATCTGATCTTTCCCTTCGTAAAGACCCCCGTGCCTCTTATCAAAGGACCAGAGGCATCCCATACAAAACAAAAAGGCAAGAGAGAGAACATGAAGAAAGGACTTGCGTAGATCCGAAGCTGGCAGCCCGAGCATGAATACTATCCGCAACATAGAAAAATAGGGGGGAAAAAAGCCTGATATTATGTGTGGCCGAATCCTATGTGAACAAGCAAAAAGAACGCCCCGTGCTTCATGTGAAGCTGACCATGATCGTACATGCCAGCCTTCGTAAAAAAAAAAAAAAAACCGTCAAAAAGACAAGAAAGAGGAGTGGTAAAGGAGGGTAGAACAAGGCGAACAATATAAAGCAATTTGGAACCAAACGCCATTCACCTCGATGGAAGACAACGGGAAAAATGAACAAGTCCAGACAGAAAGCTCAGACAACATCTTGCAGCCCGCCGAAAAGCTGGCCTTATAAGCCAGACCGGCCTTTGTCTTCCGCAAGCTTGACCAGCGTCTGCTTCCGTAACGATACAGCTGTCGACTATCGGCTACCGTTCTTTTTGCTGCCCACCTTGAGGCGCTCTTTGCAGTCGGGGCAGTACCACTTGGCTATCAGGCGCAGTTAGCATCGACTTTCTTCTACTTGATAGACGCCTCTCGCCGAGAGACCAAAGGGGAGAAATGGTAGAAACTTACTCTTTGAGCTTGGCGGAACCTTAAGTCCTACGCAAGCCAAATGGAACCATTCGCGAGCACAGTCGTCAGAATCGCACGCCACCATGGCGCCGTAGCTGATGCTGTTGCAGTAGCAGTATGTAGCCTCGTCCGGATCAACATCTGCGTCGTCGTCGCCGTCGTCGCCCTGCATGCTGCTGGTTCCATCGTCATCCGCGAGCTGGGCCACAGCTTGTGAGCCCTTCTTCTGCTGCGCCTTCTTGCCATTGCCCATCGGCTCTGCGTTGCGCGTCGTCCGAGGCCTGGCAGCAGCCGCGTCTTGGAAGCTGGGCAGCGCCGGCGTGGATGGCTTGCTTGCTCTTCCGCTCTTGGTCGTGACCGTACCCGATTGCGGCACAGGCTGTGCCGGCTCGCTCTTGCGATCCGCGTCCTCTACCCTGCTGTTTCTACGACTTGACGAGCCAGTAGTGGTAACGGCCGTAGCAATTGGAGTAGCCGTGGGCTTATCGTCTTCTCGTTCCGCGTCCTTCGGCAATGGCTCATTCTTGACCGCCACAGGGGTTTCCTTGTTGGTCTCGGGGTCGTGGTTGGGGCGGGACCAGCTCGCCGCCGAGGGAATCTCGGGCGTGCTGGCAACGTTGCCAGTCGCCTTCTTGGCTGCTGACGAGGACGGCCTAGCCTTGCTGGCTTCTGAGTTTGACTGTATGGAATTCTGTCGTGCGCGAGACGTCGTCGGTCGGGGGGCGGGCGTGGACGCCGCTGCTGGCGCGGGCGACGGGCGGCTCGGTGGTGCCTTGTTCTCTGGAAGGGTTCCCAGGACAGGGGAGGAGGCAGCTGAAGGGGACATGGTGGCCGAAAGGGCATTTCTACAGGAAGCACAAGGCAGTCAGCATCTCAATCATAGCTCAGCTCAAGAGGTGAGTACACTAGGGAATAGAAAAGAGATGGCGACATACTTCTTCTTGGATTGGCCGCTGCTTGTGGGCAGAGCCTTGCGTTTCTTCGGCACCTCTGGGGCCGGTGTCTCGCGAGGGCTACCAGTAGGCTTCGCTTTGGATGCATTGTTACCGAAGACGAGGCTCATGGCACGCTCCATTGCGGGCGCTTCTCCCCCACTAGCGACGGCTTTCTCCTTGTCCTTGTCCTTGTCCTTGTCCTTGTTTTTCTCTTCTTTCTCCTTGTCCTTGTCTTTCTCCTTGTCTACTTTGCGTCTCTTCTGTGGCGGGTTGCCGTTGGAAGAGGCACCGGTGGTGATGCCCAAGCCAACATTGTTGCTCTCGGCCGTCTTCCGAACTTTGCTCGAGCTGGATTTCTTGTTGGCGCCGTCCTTGTTCCGGCCGTCATGGTCGTCGGCTTCGGAGTCGACGGCGTGCGTCTTTTGGCTCTTCTTGGCCTGCACGGCTTGCTTCCTGGCATCGCTCCGGGCGGCCGCCTGTTCCGCCAGAGCCTGTGCGGCTGCCGAAATGGCCGCCGCGCCGTCGCGTCTGGATCGCTCAGCCGCCTGCGCCGCCTTGCTGTTGCGGTTCTCGGGGTAGGCCCAGTGGGTGGTGCTCCCCCATTTGGCCTCGTCGCTGAACTCGTTCTCCAGGTACGGCCAGACGTCCTCCACCCGGGCCAGCTGCCTCTGCAGCGCATCGTTGGCTGTGGATATGACGTGGTTCTTCTCCTCGAGCGACACGAGCATCTCCTGTATCTTGATCGCGGTCTGGCGGAACAGCTGGCGGCGGTGGAGGTTGGAGGGATCGAACACGCCGCCGCCGCCGCTGCTGGCCTCGTCGGTCGACGCCACGGACTGGCTCTGCTGGTTGAGGGCAACCCCGTTGGAGCTCGCCTGGGCGCTCATGGGCGCGGACTGCGGCGCCGCCGTGCTCGAAGCGTCATTGTCCGTCCGCGCCTCGGGAACGGCGAGCGCCCTCGCGGAGGCGACGAGCTTGAACAGCTGCTCCTGGGGAGCGAATATCTTGGCGTCGACCTCCTTGAGCAGCGTAAAGTGGCGGACGAGCTCCTTGGGCAGGGCGGTAATGGTGTCGGCAAAGTGGGTGATGGCAGGGAAGATGTCAATGGGCTGGTCGCCAGCTGGGCCGCCCAGCGAGTCTCTGGGCCCGGAGCGGCCAGCCGTCGCCGAGCTGCGAGGAGGATTCGTGCGCGTCTGGCGGACAGGCTGCGACCTCCGGTGCGACGGCGCCTCCACGGCGGGCGCCTTGGCCGACTTCATTGCGGGCTCGGCGAGGTGGGAAAACGGCACGGGTGATGGATGTGGGAGTTGCGTGTGTGTGTAGAGGGGCGACGGACGCGGGCGAACTTTTCTCTACCCTTCTCTAGAGGGCGGCGGACGCTGCTACGCGGGAACAAAGAATAAAAAAGACGCCTCGTATGGGAGACCGGCTAGGCCATCCTGCTCTAGATCTGCGGTCGGGGAGCCAAATCATGCGGGTGAGGCGCGGGGACGGTTTGCAGCAGTCGGCGATGCTGAGGTCGAGCAGCAGAAAATCGTCGACTTATCTGGTGCTGAGTTTGGGGAGAGGAGCACAACTGCCAGCCGTCTGCCGCGAGATACGGCGGTACGTACCGCCGGGTCTGCCGTTCCTGGACAGCTAGCGGCGCATGACACAGCGCGCATTGGACTGGAAAAACGGCTGCTATTGGCTGAGCGGAACAACTGGGCTCCGGGATAGCAGATGGAAGCCCCACGCAAGGCCGATTATGGCGTCAGCCGAGCTGTAGAGAGAAGCATCGCGCGCGTTCAAGGTGAGGCCGAGCTTGTGTCAGTGGCTGCAATATGAATTCCGTAGGCGGCTTCTTCCATGCGAGCTTGTTTACGATTCTCGTTGATGGTTAAAACTAATTTTGGCGGGGTGTGCATCGATGAGTGCAGAGGAGAGAATCAGTAAAGGATATGTAAAAACCAAATTACAGTCTAGGGCGGCAATCCACGGCACAATCGAAGAGAGCTTCTATCAGAACTGAAAAAAAAAAAAACAAATGAGCGCCGCGTGCTACAGTACTAACAAGTGATATCGCGTAAAATGTGCCATGCCTCTCTATAGAACGAAAACGGGGTATCGTCGCCATGCTCACTCCATCATGCTTCGCGCCTTGCTGTTCCTCGATCTGCTAGAGGGATTCTCCCTGTCCGACTGCTTCTGTCGCCATTGCCACTCCAGGAGAACCCATATAAAGTCCTTAAGGTCGAAATCTGGCCAGAGACACTTGCGGAAGAAGATGTGCGTGTCTTGGTGGCACTGCCAGAGCATGAAATCGCTGAGCCGTTCGACGCCGCTTGTCCGGACGAAAATGTCGAGCGGGGGATCATTGGCAGTGTATATGTGTCTCTCAATGGTGTCGACTGTGATGTTGTCGGGATTCGGCAGCGTCGCGGAGCCGTACGACCCTGACCTCAGGCGAGGCTCAGGGGAGCCCGGAGGCAGAGTAGCAGAAGAGGAGACATCCTCGTCTCCATACGGGTCCTTGTCTTCATACGAGTCCTTGTCCTCATACTCGCCGCCGTCGAGCGGTTCATCGGGGATCGTCGGCAGCGGCTCACGGCCGTCGAGCTGGCTGGACAGGATCTTTTGCCTGATGCGCGACGGCGAGAAGGGCGTGTTCTTGGGCGGAGTTGGGGAGAGGAACTCTTGCACGGTGGATCGGATGGCTGTTGTCATCTCGGCCCTCGAGGTGTAGGGGAAGCAGATGTTGAGGACGGCCCTGTACAAAGTTTGGTTAGCCTTCCTTTGTCTTCTAGATACCTAGCGTCAAGCCTTGGTCAAGGGCGCGATACGTACTTGTTGTTATGCTTCGTCCTTGCCACGGCCTTGTCCATGACTTCCAGCACGTCATCGCGTATCAGCTCGCGCTGGCCGAGGATCCGGACGCAAGCCCCGTAGCGGTCGAGAATGTCGCCGTAGGTGGTCAGCTGCTCTAGCTTGACCTTTGCGAGCTGCATGAGTCCCTCCACCTCGTACTTTGGCCGGTTGAAGTTTTCGATACTGAAGGCGTAGACAGTCACGACTTTGACGCCGCACTTGTAGCAGATTTCCATAATCTAGAGCGGTCATGTCAATAACCCAGAGACGAAAGTGGGAACAGCGCTGGAGGGACGGGCAACGAACCTTAGCAAGGGCTTCAAAGCCGCGGTGATGCCCTTCGACAGTCTCCATGCGGCGACTTCTGGCGTAGCGTCTGTTGCCGTCCATCTCAAAGGCCACATGCTGAGGGATTGGCCCCTGCTTGAGGGCGCCAATGAGCAGCTCGCGGAGCTGGTTGACAGCCCATTCTCCCGGTGGTGACTCGAGTATCAGTCTCCGCAGGAGTGACACCGTGTCGGCCATGTTGAGATGGAGACTGCAGGCAGAGAGAACAAAGAGAGAGAGAGAGAGAGAGAGCTGTAAACAAGGGTGGCGATGCTCTAGTCAGAGGCAGACGAGGGCGCGCGTATGGTTTCTTCTTTGTCTTCTTCGTCGGTTTTTTAATTAGGAGGATTAAAATGAGGTAGGACAGAAAAGGAAAGGCTACAGGTAGGTGTATAGAGGACGGAGGGGGATTTCACAGTAAACGAGAGCTTCAGTCAATGAGACATGATGGATGAAAAGCAACAGCAGGCGCAGGTCAGAAGATGCAGAGGCAAAAAGGACACTCGGCACTGAAAACCTTCGTCAACAGGCCGCGAAATTCGTTGTGGCGAAGCTCTGCAGCTCACAGACAGGTCGAGTGAGGTGGAAGCTCGACCTGAACTGGCCAGATCTGTTGGTTCAGGTTCAGCGGCGGCCTTAGCGCAGTGGCAGCCCTGGAGGCTTTTTGGCGGCTCGGAGATCTGGGACAGGGGCCAATCGAGAGAGCAATGCGACCCCTTGCGCCTGGTATTACCTAGTAGGTACTGTAGAGGAAGCAAAGGAATACGAGCTCAATCTATTTGTACAAGATGAGTTGGTGTCTCTTGTTCTGGATACTACCCATCTCTACATCACCCATCAACGTTCATCTCAGTGTACTGCTGCCTGGGGTATTTGTCGTTCTTAAGGTACTGGAGCTCTTGACCCTGGCCATCACAATGCATCTCCTGCAAGCGACAGTACCCGACAGAGCCCTACCTCTACAACCCTACCTGTGCATCCGACCCCTACCTCACCCCTCCTGGCTTCAGCCTCGGTGGCGGACGGCAGTGCCTGACTTGCATCTGTTGAGTCGTCAGGCATTCCGGCCAACGTCTTCTCGACGATAACAGCGATGCCCGAATATTAGGGCTCTCTGCGGGCGTTCAATTAACTGGTGCAGTTGTTAGTGCTTGGTCAAGCTCTGTCTGTCAATCACAAGGCTGTCCGTTATCCGGCCTGTTTGTGCCAGGCAAGGCTCTTGGTTTGCTGGTCTACTAGACCTGTGCTGGCTCCAGTTGTTCTGGCCTGGGCCAGTAACACGGCCTCTGACGTCACGGCAAAATGCATACCGCCGTCCAATTCCGTTCTGCTCTGCTTCTCCTCATGAACTGGCTGCCTTTAATTCTCGCACTTCAACTGCAATGGGCTTCGGCTACAGCACCTTACGAGTATGCAAAACAGACAGACAGTTGGGCGAACAACTGTCATGCAGAGCTGCTGCGAGAAAAGCCTGCTTATCAACAGCCTGCGTGAGGTCGGAAGCTCCGCCATTGGCCCCTGCCCTGCTTCCGCGACGCTTGAGGAGCGACGTCATGGTTACCGGTGCGTGACAGCGAGACTCGCACCGTTTGAGGCGTCTCGTCCACCACTCGCAGGTACCGTGGCGGTAACCGTGACCGAGGTGCCTTGTTTGGTCTCAAATGGCTGCCATGTGGGAACAAGGGACATTGAAAACTCTGACTTCCTTCAGTATTCAGTATCTGCGTTTTGTACGGTTGGAATCGAGCAACTGCTGCGGCATCGTCCAAGGTCGAGCCTAGATCCGGTTTCTGGATGCCAAACCGGACATTCCCACTCTTTTTTCCACGTAGCCCCCCGAATCGTCATCACGTCAGGTGTTAGGCACCAACAAACCTGCAGCCCGTGAACCGCCCCGGACGGCGCCCGATAGGTGGTGCAACCACTGTAAGCTGCCCGCCATAGCGCTATCAACCCCCCTAACCTCTGCCCCTCCATCATCCCGCCAGCCCCACGTTGGACTCGCGCCTCGTCAAGCCGCCATCGAGCCCAGGTCAAATCAAGCTCGCTCGGACAAGACGAAATAGCTCAACTGCTGATAGGCTGTTGCTTGGAGTCCGGTTGCCATTGAAGCACAAACGCTTGATTACAAGAATCCGAGCTCCAGCTCCTGCTTTTCTCCCTTCTCTTTTCCCGTCACGCAGCCCCTCTGTTGCTCTCTCCTGAACCTCGACCTTCTCCTTGTCTGTCCTCTCCTGATCCCCGCAGGAGCACCGGCATCACGGCATCGATTCCGGACCACTCCAGCCTCTATTTGCCAAGGACCTTCGCACAATGGTCGTTCACGATGGCTACGAGTACCTCACCGAGGAGGAGAGGCGACTGAAGGAGGACAGGGAGCGAACCAAGTACTGGAAGAAATGGGGCCCTTATGTCGCCGAGAGGCAGTGGGCAACAGGTACAATGGCTCCTATACGGACGCAAGACAAGGGGATTGCAATGCTAATTGTCTGTCTTCAACAGTACGAGAGGATTACAGTGCTGACGGAGATGCCTGGAGCCGTACGTACTTCCAAATCACAGTTTCTTGCCAACTTCTGAGCTTGTGCTGATCCCCTGCCTCTACAGACTTTACACACGACCATGCACGATCTCGAGCCTTCAGATGGGGCGAAGACGGCATTGCCGGTGTCTCGGATACACATGGATACCAGAACATTGCCTTTTCTTTCTGGAACGAAGAAGAGTATGCCATCCCAAACTTCCGGCTCTCGATCTTTTGAGGTAGAACATGGTCCTGATCTAGAAGCCAGTCCCTTTCTGAAGGAGCGTCTCTTCGGTCTGTCCAATCCGCAAGGAAACCACGGAGAAAGCATCAAGGAGGCCCATTTCCATCTTGACAACACTCCTGTAAGCCAACATCGTCCTCCTCTTCGTCTAAATCGTATACTAACTCACCTGGCTAGACTGTACGTCTTGATATGTCACCGCCGACGCCCCCACTATCCCACCTGCAAGAAGACGCTCTGATATTGACTCGATCCAGCACTCGTACATGAAATTTCTCTACAAATATCCCCAGAAGGCTTTTCCCTACGAGGACCTTCTCAAGGAGAATGCACGAAGAACCAGACAGGACAAGGAATACCAGCTCCTTGACACCGGGATCTTTGACGACGATCGATACTGGGACATCTTCATCGAAACCGCCAAAGAGGCCGACGATCCAGATGAGCTCCTCTTCCGTGTGACCGCCTGGAACCGAGGCCCTGACCCGGCCCCTCTCCACATCGTTCCCCACGTATGGTTCCGAAACACCTGGAGCTGGGGCAGAGAGCCGGAGGACAAGAAGCCTTCGATTGCGGCCCATACCGAAGACTCGGCCAAATCCAAGCACTGGAAGCTGGGAGAGCGATACTTCCTTCTCTCTCCCTCTCCCGGCGTTGGCACGTCGGGACAGGATGTCTTCCCCCAGCTCATGTTTACGGAAAATGACACCAACACGGAGCTCCTCTATGAACAGCCCAATGCACAACCCTACGTCAAGGATGCCTTCCACAGGTACATCGTTGGCGGAGAAAAGGGCGCCATCAACCCTGCTCAGACAGGCACCAAATGCGCAGCCTGGTACAACTTCAATGAAGACGGCGGCGTCAACCCTGGTGAATGTGCCGGTAGGTGGCCCTCCTTCCCCATCTTGGCTTGACACACCATGTTTGCTTCGCTTCGCGCTGACAGACAATCGCAGTTGTTCGCTTCCGGTTCACAAAACGGAACGAGTCGTATGTAGATGAAGAAGAGTTTGATGAAATTATCGAAAAGCGCAGAGAAGAGGCGGATGAGTTCTATTACAGAATCAGTCCGCTTCCTCTTGCCGACGATTTGCGCAACATCCAGCGGCAAGCTTTCTCCGGCATGATGTGGACAAAGCAGCACTACTACTTTGTCTGGGATCACTGGGCAAAGGGAGATCCCGGCCACCCTCCGCCGCCCCCAGAGCGGATGGGGATCCGAAACTCACAATGGAAGCATATGTATTGCGACGACATTCTGTCTATGCCCGATTCCTGGGAGTATCCGTTCTTCGCGGCCTGGGACAGTGCATTCCACTGCATTCCCCTGGCAATGATTGACCCCGACTTTGCCAAGAAGCAGCTTGATCTGTTCACCAGGGAGTGGTACTGCCACCCCAATGGCCAACTGCCCGCGTAAGTCATCTTCATCCATCATCACCTGAGGACGAAACCCTCGTAGCTTGTAGTACTGACAGCGCTCACAGTTATGAATGGAACTTTGGCGACGTCAACCCTCCGGTCCATGCGTGGGCTACTTTCAGAACCTTCAAGATTGAACGAAAGCTATACGGACGTCAGGATATTGATTTCCTTGAGCGAGTTTTTCAAAAGCTTCTGTTGAACTTCACCTGGTGGGTGAATCGCAAGGACGCCGAGGGCAAAAACATCTTCGAAGGTGGCTTTCTGGGCCTCGACAACATTGGTCTGTTCAACCGCTCTGAGCCGTTGCCCACGGGAGGCGTCCTTGAGCAGGCTGACAGCACTGGCTGGATGGCTTTCTACTGCCTGTGCATGCTCAACATTGCTCTCGAGCTGGCCAAGCATCGCCGCATCTACGAGGATATTGCTTCCAAGTTCTTTGAGCACTTTATCTTCATCAGCGATGCCATGACCTTCCGGACCGGACAGAAGGACGAAGCGTCTCTTTGGAACGAGGAGGACGGCTTCTACTATGATGCCATCTCATGGGGAGGCCCGTGGCTGCAGCAGCTCCCTGTGAGGTCACTGGTCGGCCTCATCCCCCTTTACGCAACCGCGACTCTCGAGCCGGAGCTCATCAACAAGCTGCCCTCATTCAAGAAGAGAGTTGAGTGGTTTGTCCAGAACCGATGTGACTTGGCTGAGAGAAACATGGCCAGCATCAGGAAGAGGGGTAAGGGCGACCGTATCCTCTTGTCAATCGTCAGCAAGGAGAGGCTGGAGAAGATTCTCAAGAGGATGCTGGACGAGGATGAGTTCTTCAGTGACCACGGTATCCGCTCGCTGTCCAAGTATCATAAGGAGCACCCCTACTCCATGGAGGTCAAGGGCCAGGAGTTCAAGGTCGGCTACGTGCCAGGAGACTCCGATACTGGGCTTTTTGGCGGCAACAGCAACTGGAGAGGGCCAATCTGGCTTTGCGTCAACTTTTTGCTCATCGAATCGCTGCAGCGATTCTACCTCTTCTACGGGCCCGAGTTCAAGGTCGAATGTCCCACCGGGAGCGGCATCTACATGCATTTGGGCAAGGTTTCGGAGGAGATTCAGCACCGACTGCAGCATCTCTTTGCGCGAGATGAATTTGGCAGGCGTAGCATCAACGCTGGCGATGATCGCCTCGACTATGATGAGAACTGGAAGGACTACCTCTGGTTCTACGAGTTCTTTGATGGCGACACTGGTAGGGGCCTTGGTGCCACTCACCAGACTGGATGGACTGGCCTCATTGCTCGTCTGATTCATGACACAGGGTGAGTCTTTTTCATTTGGCCTGCTTTCTTTGTCTCTCCCATTCTCTATATGACTATATGACTGGTGTGCTAACTTGAACTCACAATAGTGTCAACTGCCGTCTGCCACAGACCCCTCGGACGCCATCTGTTGGCATGGCGCACTACTTTGATGACATCTTCCAGAGGCACATTGACAAGGGAGTTCCTCACCAAGGTCCCAGGCGCCACTTCAGGCGGTCATCGACGGCTCGTTCCATCTCAGCCAGAAGCGACTTTGACTCCTCCGTCAACGGAGCAGACGACGACGCCCGCTCCGTCGCCAACTCTGTGCACCCTGATGACCCGGAGAGAGTCAAGGAGAAGGAGGAAGCTGACAACCACATGCACCGCTACATTTCCGACCAGCTCGAGCGGTTCAAGGAAGGAAACGGGGAGGAGATTTATGAGGGAGATGAAGTTGAGACTAGGGCTTAGTATATGGTCTGGCTGTTCTTTCTTTCATTGTTCTTCCCCCCACCCCTTTTGTCCCCGTGTTGTTGTTGGGAGGATTCACAAATTGATAGACGGCTTAAAAAAGTTTGTGTGTGGACTTGGATTACTTTTGACTTGGAATTGACAGAACACGGTGAGATATCTATCAGTTTTCTGTAGAGAGTGGTGGATCAATCTGGTTATGCTTGAGCAACTTGCACTATATAGTATGATTTGACTATGCGAGTATTTAGTATGTTGAGTAGATGAATCCGAACCGACTCTCCAGATATGAGCTCATCTGTGGGAATGAAGAATAGCTGTTATATATACCCCAAATACCTCGACTGCTGACAAAAGCTCATCTCAGAGGATGAAGTATCTTTCCAATTGAGTCTTTCCAATTGAGTCTTGTGTTCATGACAGGAAGCGGCCTCGTCACACATCCATGTCACAGCAGCAAGGAGGATAGGTAACAAGTAACACAGAAAAGCCATTCCTTCATCTCTGTTTGAGTGAACAAGACTTGCTTTCTATTTACGCACACGAACGCTGCCCATCAATCAACAGCCTTAATCGCGCAATCATTCCCCCACCTCTGCTTTCATCCTTCCGCAGCTTCAAAAGAAACTCTACCTCTCTCCCACACTCTATACATGTTTGGTGGTAAGGTAATGAGCCCCCTTTTTTTTGGTTTTCAAAGAGAAATTGAACCCCTCGTTCGGAATTGGGTCATTTGGTCTTTGATTTCTCTGTTTGTTTGATATTTTGGTTGTTTGTATACATGATGATGTAGATTTACAGGTTGTCAGTGAGGAGCTTGTTCATCTTGGCGATGCGGGAGGAGACGCTGAGGTCAATGGTTCGGTCGCCGACCTCGACGATGAGTCCGCCGACGATCTCGGGGTTGACCTGGCATTTGTGTGTAAGTTGTCGTTCAGATGAATTATAGGGAGTGTAATGGCGTGATGTAAGATGGGGGGCCGTATGCATACCGTGTTGGTGACCTTGAGCTTCTTGCCCTGGCCGACGTAGGAAGACTTGGCAACAGCGTTCTCCAGACGAGACAGAGTCTTGGAGTCAAGAGCCTATAGGAAGATCCGTGTCAGTACTTGCGCCATCAAGACATGTGTTTCTCCGTATCATCATCGTGTATCGTAACGTCATCGATATCGCGATACCCAGATGACAGATAGATTCCCCCCCTTGCCGAACAAAAGAACGCACCTGAGCACTGGTAACAGTCATCTCGACCTCGCCCCTCGCAGCGGCAATGATCTGGCCAAACTTGTCGGCGACGCCCTTGAGCAGGCCCAGGCGGTTGTTCTCGGCCAGCGTCTCGAGGAAGTTCTTGAGCGTGGAGCCGCTGGCGCCAGCCTGCTTGACGAGCTCGGCGACGATGGCAGACTTGTCGGCGGGCGTCAGGGTCGGCGCGGAGAGGATGCCGACCAGCTTGGCGTCCTTGTCGAGGATGCCGGCCAGCTTGGCGAGCTCTTTGGCGGTGGAGTCGAGGGTCGAGGTCTTGGAGGCCGCGGTGTACTAGAAATTGACGCAAAAAAAGGCACTTTGTTAGCCCTCTATAATTCTAGGTAGCATCGGGCGGTTTTTTGTGTTGTCGATTCGTCCATGTCCATGGCCGCTGGCGCTCGTCAAAAGTGCGCAATTGGCTTCTCCAGACACTCGAAAAGTAAAACCCAACAACAGTCGTCCTTCCTCTTTCTTTCATCGTTCCGGGGGATCGGCATACCAGAGCAGTGGCATAGGTGCCGTCGAGGCCAAAGACGGCAATGGGCGGCTTGACGTCGCTCGAGGCAGCAGCAGCAAAGGTCCGGACCGGGGCGGCGCGGAGGGCGACGGCACGCTGGGGGGCAGCAGCCCGGAGGGAGCGGAAGACTTGTCGCGACAGCATGGCGGCTGGGGTTGAAGTCGGAGTTGGCGGTCGAGGGGTGGTGAGAGAGCGATCGGTGTTCGAGGGTTGGAGGTTCTGCGATGCAGGCCGGCAATTTTGGACGTGGATGCCTTGCCGCACGGATGAGGCACCAACTTTCCTGCTTACATAAGGCCCTCTATTCTTGCGCAGTCCGGCTATCACCAACTCATACACTTAGGTACCTTAGGGAAGGTAATTGTTCACCGAAATACCTACACAGGAGAGACATCCTCATCGTCTGCAATAAGCCTCTTTTCATTATTCTCTTCTCGTTATCTAAGACTTGTCTCAATGATGCATATACCGTCGCCTCGGTTCTGCACCGTCTTGTTGGCCTCATGATGCTGGCCTCGTCTTTCCTATGATACCCTTTTGCCCGAATCTGCCCGATAGACCTGAGCACTGCCGATCCTGTGCCAAATTCCCAATTTCTACAGTAGTATTATCCTAACGCCTTGCCTTGCTCCCTGTTAAGCAGTTGCTGCAATTGTCGCTTGCGGTACAAAGAAATAATTCCAATAAAAACGGCGTGAAAGAAAAAAAAGGAAAGAAAAAAGGAACAGCAACGCCCAATCAGTCACTCTTCAGCATGCTGTCAACGAGGTCTCCAAGCGGTCCCCAGTAGTCGCGCCCGCTTGCCAGGCTGTGCTCGTCAATGAACAGCACATACTGCTTGAAGCTGGTGTTGAGATGCGGCTCCAGTCCCAGCTCCCTAATGACCGGATAGTGGTGACAGTAGATGTGCGCGTATACGCGGTACATGCGCTTGAAGATTTGCCGAATCAAAGCCGGGAACGATTTGGGGAAAGGGACGCCTGGGGATGCTGTCAGCAGGCGATATCGGACAGCGATTAAAGGACCAACGCGGACTACGTACCAATTTTGCTGGGCATGACGGACTCGTTGTCGATGTTGGCTTGAACCCATGTCATGAGCTGCTCAATGTAGGCTGGGGCAGCCATCTTGGTCGGCCGCTTGTAATTCTCGTTGTCTTGCCAGAGATATTCAAACCTGGACAGCGTCAGATGCGCTTCTGGAAGTTGGGAAAGGGGGTTCGCAAGGATTCTCGTCTTACTCATCCGTAGCCTTCATCTCGGGACATGACTGAGGCGAGCAAAACTCGGTGATGGCGCCGTAAAGGAGATTGATTTGGTTGTAAAAGTCCACCACTGACATTTTCTGTCAACATCCGCGTTGTCGTGTAGCAAGCGTCTGCAGGAAACTCACTATTGACTGCCAACCACTCGTTCTCGTCCTCGCCCTCGGGCAGCTTGACGACCTTTCGCAAGCTGCCTCCTCCCAGGGTGACTTCGGCATATTGCCTAAGCTGATAGCTGTTGACGCCGCCCTTGCCCGCACGCGGTCGGAATTGGTTCCTCGTCTTCTGGTTTCTGCTCAGGAATATCTCGCCGTCAGCAATCACGGTGTTCAGCACTGGTTTGAGCGGGGGGTCTTCGTAGACGGGCAGGATGGTTCCGTCCTGACGCGCTATCTTGGCGCGCGACCTGGGGCTCAGGTATTGGAACAGGGCAAACGCCATGTTGAGGGCCGCGACGATGGAGAGGAGGAAGCGGGTGCGGACGAGGAGAGACTGACACTGTCTGCAGGAACTGGGCCATGGCGAGGCGAGTCGGGGGGGGTTTGGTGGTGATGTTCGGCGAGCTAGGAGGCAATACGATGGTCTGCGTTCCATACCAACTGGTTAGCGGGGCAATGGATGGCATGTGTAAGGGTAGGGACGGGCGAAGAGGGCGTACAGAGCATCTATATGGGGGGGTTGCTGTTGGTCAGGAGCTGGAGTCGGGCTCAGATATTCGGACGAGGCGAGGATGAAATGCTGGTAGAATGTTGGGTGCTTGGCCGATGCCGCAGCGAGTCGGAGATGTGTCTGGCGATGCGCTGACCGGTTTTGTGGAAAAGATATCAAGATATGCAAATGTGGCGAGGGAGAGATGACAGCAGCAGCAGGAGAGGGAGGCAGGGAGGCGGTGGTGTCGCTTGTTCCACGTTCGGGGTCTGTTTACAGCCTTGTCGCTGCAGCGGTTGCTGGGTGCCAATTTACAGCGCTGTAGCTGATTGCGTCAGAGCTGTGCTTCAGCTCCCTTTTAGTGGACGGGAGTACTAGTATTGGGTACTGCCGTGGAGGGGCAAGGTTTTGGGGGGGTTTGGCGGACATGTGCCTGACGATGCAGGTACCCAGGTACGGTCACAGAAGACGAACGCGATGGTGTCGGGCTCCAACCTACCTCATAAGTACTACCTATGCAGTAGTCTCTGATACATAGTAGGTAAGGACTGAGAATACGACGGGAAAAGGCTATTGGAAGGAGTATCGACAGTGAAGAACGCCAGATGATCAAAATTGTTGGATACATGCAATCTGTGAAATGGTATCTGGTGACTGGTAACGCGTAGTAGTTGCGTTGTGGCCAATGTTTGACAACAGACAGATCGCTTTGATTGCTCTCTCAACACGGCTGGGAGACTAACCTGGAGTTGAGGTCTTCAACACCATAACATTCTCCCCTGGTCTAGCTTTGAAAGTACAGCGTGGATACTTGAGGCTCAATATTGTCTTGCCGAAGCAGGTAACAGTCACACTCTGTGATTGGGACTTTACGATCTACTATAGGAGGGCTGTATACTTTGTAGCCTATCACAAAGTCTGTATGCTACTCGAAGATGGTGTACGTTAGAGTTGGTTATCAGCTGCGGTGTGTGCCAGTCAACAACGGACATGCTTTATACAGCACACAGCATAGAGCTTTGTTCTAGAGAGTTTTATACTTTGGAGGAACCCTTGGATTTCCAAGAAGCGATCAGATCACACGTTCGATAGTGTTCGCAGCTAGCAGTAGTAACAATATGTTGCAACATGTGCGCCATTCAGGATCCCTGGACGCGGCTGTGGGGAATAAGCTGCAAGACAGACCGCTTCGGCCGCAGTGGACTATTAATACCCCAGCTGAAGAATTGCGAGTCGAAAAAGAAGAAAGAAAAGCGAGCCTCGTTGACGGCTGTTGAATCGGTATCAGTTCAATGATACATGCAGACAGAATTGCAAGACACGCGGGTTCACCTTCAACTTGCACTGGTGAAAATGTGCCTGTACTGTACCTGGGAATGATACAAACCTAAACACCCGTATCAGAATAGGTAGCTTCACCGCTTTCCTCTCTGGCATACCCCCCCAAATTGAAGCAACAACAACAATAAGCCTCAGCCTCGATCGGTACCTGGTCCATTGACACCTTTCCCAATTCCCCCCATCCCATCACGGCGGCTAAACCACTGCGGACTGCGCGTGTTCCTGCGGCTCGACCGGGATTCTCGTGTTCGCCAATGTGCTGGATCGCCGGTTGCCGGGCCAACAATGCCGCGCAAGCCAATTGTTTGGTCGCGGCCCTTGCACAGCTGCAACCTCGATCTCCACAGCGAGCATACCTGGCCCTTGCTGGACCTTCGCTAGGCCTCTGCTGGGTCTTTGCTGTGCCTTGCTGTGCTGTGCTGTGCCTCGCCTTGCCTTACCGGGGGCCTGCAACTGGTCCCGTCTGTCTGTCTCTCTGTCTGTCTGTACCTGGTCAAAGCCGCAACCCGCCTTTTAATCTTTATGCAGCTCAGTCCCTCAACCGCATCCCAAACCTCTCCACGCCTTGTTCGCGCCGCGGTTGAGATAGGCGCTCGTTTTTTTCCCTGTATCCTTATCGTCCACGGGTCACGGATTCATCCTCACAGATCCATATCCAGCTTCAATCGGCGACGCCCATGATCGTGGCGCGACACCGCCCCTCGTCGGCTCTGGCTCAAGCATCCCATCTCGGTTGTGCAAGGCCATCAGGTGTCTCGCATCGCAACCCACTTCTACAGGTACTACTACTAACCCAACCCTCCAGCTGGTCAGCATTCCAAAAGCTTAATCGCCAGAACCAGATCCAGAACCAAAACACACGGCATTTCTCGCCGCATTCGCAATGGACCGCCACCCGCCCGGCTACAGCCTGCCGCCGTACGACGACGAGCTCGACTCGCCCACCGGCCATGGCGCCGCCGCCGTTAGACTGTTGACATCCGTCGAGGAGCCCGTCGACAGAGACAGACCGTACGTAGCACAGCCGTCGCCATTGGCAACACCAGCATTCCTTAATACTAGCATGTCGTCCCCGTCCGTCTCGAGGCTGTCTTTGCACCCCAAGGACGCTTCGAAACACCACGGACCGCATCGCGAACCAGAGACGTCCACCATGGCTTTCGACGAGTGTCCAGCCGCCGCCTCGAGCGTCGAGTCCAGCCAAGGGCCGGAGATGCAAGCAGCAACCACGGCGGATGATTCTCTTCCTCAGCCTCCTCTTCCCTCCACTCCTTCAGCTTGTCATCATCCCCTGCCCAATCTTGACTCTGTTGTCCCCCCTCCCCTCTACATCAAACAGCTTCGCCCAACCACCACTGCAAAGTTGCACAGTCCCGCGAGTTCAGCGCTCAACGGCTCCCCGAACCTCGCTGAGGCTTTACCAACCATCCCGGAGGGACCAAGTGAGCGACTCCGGCGGCGCAGAGGGAGTCTCTCAGCATGCGACCACTCTCCGTCTCAGCAAACCGCAAAAGCAGCTGCGCAGCCAGTGCCTCAGCCGACGACACTCGTCGATGCTGATACCACTGCTGCTGCTGCTGCTGCTGCTCCAGCGGGGCCGGCTGCGAAAAAGATGCGACCAACAGTCAGATGGAAGATTAGAAGCTCACACGACAGGCCGATTAGTTCGCGATCGCCGCTGCCTCAGTATGCCCCCAGTGTCTTGTCCTCCCACACGCGGACCGGGTCCATCCTGGACGACGCTCCCAGCATCCCGCCGCCAGACGGCTCCTACATGTCCTACGACACCAGGGATCCCTCACACAGGCCCTGGTCGCCGGCATCGAGAATGACGGACTACTCGCGCCCTCCGGCGTCTCACGCTTCCTACGAGCCCTCCGATATCAACGGCAGCCCCCGACCAGGAACCCCGTCATCGCGATATGGCGGCAGCCCGCGACGGCCTTTGCCTCCGGCGCCTCGCTATGGCAACACGTCGCGGAACTCGCAGTTTCCCGACGATATCACCGTCTCGATTCCCTTGGACCACCGCGAGGACGACGACTTCTATGACCCAGAGACTGATCTCAGCGAATCTCGCCATTACGACGGCTATGAGCACTACGACCATTACGAGGAAGAAGATGACCGCCACTATGGCGATGACCGCGACTCGTACCACTCGGGGTCGCAGGAGACGCTGGGCGAGGACCAGGAATACTACGATAAGTATGAGCATTATGGCCCTGCGCCCGACGGAGCGCAAGAGAGGCGAGGCGTCCGCGCTCCGCAAATGTCCAAGAAGGAAGTCCCGCTCATCAATGGAGAGCTGGTCTTGGAGTGCAAGATCCCGACGATCCTCTACAGTTTCCTGCCCCGGCGAGACGAGGTCGAGTTCACGCACATGAGATACACCGCGGTGACGTGCGATCCCGACGACTTTGTCGATAGGGGGTACAAGCTGCGACAGAGCATCGGCCGCACCACTCGAGAGACGGAGCTCTTCATCTGCATCACCATGTACAACGAAGACGAAATCCTCTTTACGCGAACCATGTACGCCGTCATGAAGAATATCTCGCACTTTTGCTCGCGATCCCGATCTCGCACATGGGGCGAGAATGGCTGGCAAAAGGTGGTTGTCTGCATCATCTCCGATGGCCGTGAGAAGATTCACCCGCGTACACTCGACGCCCTGGCTGCCATGGGCGTGTACCAGCACGGCATCGCCAAGAACTTCGTCAACAACCGAGCCGTGCAGGCCCACGTCTACGAATACACGACCCAGGTCTCGCTCGACTCGGACCTCAAGTTCAAGGGCGCTGAAAAGGGCATCGTGCCGTGCCAAATCATCTTCTGCCTCAAGGAGAAGAACTCGCGCAAGCTCAACTCGCACCGTTGGTTCTTCAATGCCTTTGGCAAGGCCCTGAACCCCAATGTCTGCATTCTCCTCGATGTGGGAACTCGTCCCGGAGGCACCTCGCTGTACCACCTCTGGAAGGCTTTCGACTTTGACTCCAACGTGGCCGGCGCCTGTGGCGAGATCAAGGCCATGAAGGGCAAATACGGATCATACCTGCTGAACCCCTTGGTTGCGTCTCAGAACTTCGAGTACAAAATGTCCAACATCCTGGATAAGCCGCTCGAGTCTGTCTTTGGATACATTACCGTGTTGCCCGGTGCCCTCAGTGCCTACCGCTACCACGCGCTGCAGAACGACGAGACCGGCCATGGACCGTTGAGCCAATACTTCAAGGGCGAGACTCTCCATGGACAGCATGCGGACGTGTTTACCGCCAACATGTATCTTGCCGAAGATCGTATCCTGTGCTGGGAGCTTGTGGCCAAGCGGGGTGAGAGATGGGTGTTGAAATATGTCAAGGGCTGCCATGGAGAAACAGACGTGCCCGGTAAGTGTCCCCTGAGTCGCGTTTTTGTTGAAGTTGTGTGTGTGTAAATAGAGAAATGAACTAACACGACCAAATCCAGATTCCGTCCCCGAGTTCATCTCCCAGCGAAGAAGATGGCTGAACGGTGCCTTCTTCGCTGCCGTCTACTCCCTGGTCCAGTTTCGACAGATTCTGCAGACGGATCACACCCTTGCTCGCAAGGTCCTCCTGTACATCGAATTCGTCTACCAATTTGTCCAGCTGCTCTTTACGTACTTTTCTCTCGCAAACTTCTACCTGGCCTTCTACTTCGTCGCTGGCGGGTTAGCAGACCCGCGAGTCGATCCATTCGGTCACGGCATTGGCAACGTCATCTTCATCATTTTGAGATACACCTGTATCCTGCTCATTGCTGTCCAGTTCATCCTGTCGCTTGGCAACCGTCCACAGGGCGCCAGGAGGCTCTATCTCGGCAGTATGATCGTCTACAGCATCATCATGGTGTACACGACCTTTGCCATCATCTACATCGTCGTCAGGCAGTTTACGGACAAGGACAGCGGCATCACATTTACACTGGGTAACAACGTGTTTACGAACCTCATTGTCTCCATGACCTCGACCATTGGTCTATACTTTGCCATGTCCTTCTTGTACCTCGACCCGTGGCACATGTTCACCTCTGCCGGCCAGTATTTCCTGCTTCTGCCGAGCTACATCTGCACCCTGCAAGTCTACGCCTTCTGCAACACGCACGACGTCACCTGGGGCACCAAGGGCGACAATGTCATGAAGACGGACCTGGGAGGCGCCATTGGCAAGGGCGACAAGGTCGAGCTGGAAATGCCCAGCGAGCAGCTCGATATCGACAGCGGATACGATGAGGCCCTGCGCAACCTGCGAGACCGCGTCGAGGTGCCCGAGAAGCCCCCGAGCGAGGCCCAGCTGCAGGAAGACTACTACAAGAGCGTGCGGACGTACATGGTGGTGTCGTGGATGGGGCTCAACGCCATCCTGGCCATGGCCGTGTCCGAGGTCTACAGCGACAAGGGCATCGGCGACAACTTTTACCTGCGCTTCCTGCTCTGGAGCGTCGCGGGCCTGGCCGTCTTCCGCGCCATCGGATCGACCACGTTTGCCGTCATCAACCTCATCCACCTGGTGGTCGAGGGCAGGATCCGCATGACGCTCAAGCTGCCGAGCTGGGCGGGCGGCATGGGCGAGAAGATTAGCGAGACCATGAGCAGCGTGGGAAGCAGCATTACGAATACCCTTAGAACATGATTTCTTTGTTTCATTTGTTTTGTCTCGAGCACCTTGTCGTTGGGCGAGGTCTTCTCTCGGTATATTGCTCCCCTCTTGTATGGAAGCCTCTAAGGAGGCTGGGTTATTAGGTAGGTAGGTTATCTGCTTTGTTTTCCTTTTTCATTTCTTTGCTTGTCAAGAGTTGTTTTCGGTACGACCCAACGTATTCGAACAATAAGCGGGACAGGAATGGTATTTTATATTCATGAGAATGGGGGGTTGCGGGCTGGGAAAGGGAGGGAGGGGGGTGGCTTTGGAATTGATGAGTCGTCGTCTCTTTGATGCGTTGAAAGAGCGAACAGCAAACGTGTTTTCTGATTCATGTCGATACTCTCTCTGTATGATTGTATGTCTTTTTGTCTATAATGGTTTGATGAGCTATTTTGTTTGATGAAGTTTGGTTTTTGGGACGTAGTGGTGATGGTGAAGACGAAAATGAGATGTGTTGCATGATTTGAAGTACAAGTATCTTTTCTTTCCTTTTTACATTTGTCGAGGGTTTGAGGAATGAAGAGTCGAGTTGATGAGATGAGATGACAAGAGATGTGACTTATTCCTTTCGTGAATTTTGTTCAGTCTTGGTTGGCCGCCATCAAGTTAAAAATCAGGGGTATCCATCCTCGAGACAAGGAACGTGCTTCTTTTGCTTGTGGTCTTGGCCTATCTTAATATGAGTTTATATTGTAGACAATGCTTTTGCCTTTTTGTGTGTATAATATATATATATATATATATATATATATATATAACAATGATGATGCCTTCAACGCCGGTGATATATCCAAAATTGACAATTCAGTTTCTCCCATCTTCTAACTCGAATATTCTTCCCCTTCACCCACACCCAAGACACCTCCTTCTTTGTCGTTCCGTTCGTCTACTCCTCTTCTGGTCCCTCTTCTTCCGCAACCTATTTCGCCAGTTAGCATCCAATAATTCATACTCGGAGAGAGAGAAGAGAGGGATTTTGTCAAAAGTTAGAGATACTCACATTATCGTGGAAGTTTTGTCCGTCCGTCGTCTCGTGAATGAGCCCGACCCGCACGCAAAAGTCACCAAACCGCTCGCCCTCGGTCCTCTCCAGCGCATAGCGCTTCAGCAAGGGCCGCATAATGGCCAGGATCTCGTCCTCCTTGATGCTCGCGCGGTACAGCTTGTTGAGGCGCTGGCCGTGGTAGCCGCCGCCGAGGTACATGTTGTACGCGCCGTACGCCTTGCCGACAAAGGCCACCTCGGCCAGCCAGGGCCGGGCGCAGCCGTTGGGGCAGCCCGTCATGCGCATGACGATGGAGTCCTGCCGGAGGCCGTTCTCCTCCAGGCAGTTCTCGAGCTTGGTGATGAGCACGGGCAGGTAGCGCTCCGACTCGGCCATGGCGAGGCCGCACGTCGGGAAGGCGACGCAGGCCGAGGAGCTGAGGCGCAGGGCCGAGAACTGGACGTTGTCGAGCTTGTACTTCTTCATCAGCTCCTTCATGGCGGGCAGGTCCTCGTCGCTGACGTTGCTGAGGATGAGGTGCTGGTTGCCCGTCAGGCGGAACTCGCCCTTGTGCACCTTTGCAATCTCCCGCAGGCCCGTCTTCATCTGGAAGTCGGGCGTGTCCTCGATGCGTCCGTTTTCGATGAAGAAGGTGAAGTGGTTCAGGCCAAACTCGTCTCGCTGCCAGCCAAAGGTGTCGACGTTGCTCTTGAACTCGAAGGCTCGCGGCTTGTCAAACTGCTTGCCCCACAGCTCCTCGACCTTGCCCTTGAACACTTCAACGCCCATGTCGTCAATGGTGTACTTGAGACGGGCGTGCTTGCGGTTCTTTCGGTCGCCGTGGTCGCGCTGGACGAGCATAATCTTCTCACATGCAATGTGCACGTCCTCCTTGTCGACATAGCCAAACATGCGGCCAGTCTGGGGGTACGTCTTCTTGTTGTTGTGAGTGGCACCCATGCCACCGCCAGCGAGCACGTTGAAGCCCTGCAGCTCACCGTTGTCGCCCACGATGGCAATCAGACCAATGTCGTGCGCGTAGACATCGGTGTCGTTGTGGGGAGGAACGGCAATCGTAATCTTGAACTTTCGGGGCAGATAGGTAGGGCCGTACAGCGGCTCAAAGTCTTGGACGGCGTCGCCCGCAACCTGGACCTTCTTGTCATTCTCATCGGCCAGCCAAATCTCGTGGTAGGCATTGGTGGAAGGCAACAGGTGGTTGCTGATCTTGGCAGCGTACGACTGGACTTGCTCGTGAAGCCTGGACTGAGCGGGCAGACTGCTGCACATGACGTTGCGGTTCACATCACCGCAGGCGGCAATCGTCGTCATGAGCGCGCGGTTGATGGCCTGCATGGTGGGACGCAGCTTGCCCTTGACGACGCCGTGGAACTGGAACGTCTGACGGGTAGTGAGCTTCATCGTCTCGTTGCCGAGCTTGCTGCTGATGTCGTCCATCTGCAGCCACTGGGCGGCTGTCGCAACACCTCCGGGCAGTCGGCAGCGAACCATGAAGCTGTACGCGGGCTCCAGGCCCTGCGCCTTTCTCTCATCGCGGACGTCGCGGTCGTCCTGGAGATAGGTGCCGTGGAACTTGGTCAGCTGGGAGTTGGCCGCCGAAATGGCGCCAGTCGACGTATCCCTCAGCTCCTCTGCGATGGTGCCTCGGAGGAAGTTTGACTCGAGCTTGATGTCTTCGTTGGTGATTGGCGGCGGCTCATCGGGGAGGCCCTCGACCTTGTCCACGCCAAGGGCTTGCCACAACTTGGGCTCCCACTCGGCGTAGCCTGTCTGGAAGCCATCCGGATCTTGGTCATCTCCGAGGCCAATGTCCACGAACCTCTTGCCACCAAGGTTGCCGAGAACTCGGTCAAGATCCTTGGCAGGCTTGTTATAGAAGATCTTGTCCTCCTTACGAGGCCAGTAGTGGCTGTCGCCCAAGCCAAAGACGGAGTAGTTGACGGTGGCCAGATCGAGATCGGTATTGTCTTTGATGGCATCCCAGAAGGCCAGACCGTTCTGGGGGAACTCTCCCTGACCGGCGGTGGAGGTGATGAAGACGATGTTTTCCTCGGTTGGCAAGTCCTCAATGGGATAATCCTCCATGGCCATTGCCGCCGTCTTCAAGCCACGGGCTCTGCCCCGGTTGGCCAATCGCTTGGCCAGCGTGCTGCCGTTGCCGTTGTCAGAAGCATAGAGAATGGTGAGGGGAGCGCCCAGGAGGCCTTCGAGGAGTTGGTTGTAGGCATCCTTTGCCTTCCTCTTCTGTGCAGCCCGGACCTCGGTTCCAAAGTCCTGACCAAGGCTGGCGGCAAACTTGGGCTCCTTCTTCATGATCTGCGTCAACTGGTTGTCTCGGGCCAGGAAAGCCTTCAGCTCTTGCTTGACGAGCTCCGAGTCCAGGGAGAAGGTCGGCTCGCCCTTGGCCTCGTTGTCGGGGTTCCACCGGTAAAGAGGCCAGTATCCAGCATCCACGGCCTTCTTGGTCTCCTGCAGAACGGTGAGAGGGGAGTCGGTCTCGCCAAAGTAGGGCAGGTAGGCCAACACGACTGATGGGCCGTTGAACTTGTCTGCCTCCAGCAGGGCCTGCAGAACCTGAGTGTATGAGCTGTAGACCGCGGTGGAAGCCACATAGACGTTGCCAAAGTTCATGGCGTATAAGCCGATGTCCTTCTTCCTGCGCTCGTGGTCGGCCGCAGCCTTTTCGGAGTAGGGAGTCGAGTCGATGATGAGCATGTTGACGTTCTCGCCAGACGCAAGGACGTGGTGAACACCAGAGTTGCCGAGATCATAAGCCCAGGCATCAGAGCCCATCAGCCAGAGAGACTCCTTGCGGAAGAGGTGTCGGTTCGCGAGAAGCTTCTGGGCTTCGGGCGAGCCATCCTGCTCCAGCTTGGCAATGACATCGTCAGAGATGACGTCGGACTTGGCCTGGTCGTCAGCGTTGACGGCCCACCGTGCCAGCCAGCTCTTGAGCGCCTCACTGGCGACGCCGGCGCTGCTCGCTGCCTGCTTGACCTCGGCGACGAATCTGTTGCGCAACTCCTTCCGGGCCAACAGAGAACCGAAGCCAAATTCAGGGCTGGCTGCTACTGTAGGAGAAATACCGGCGTTCTGGGACTGGAGAGCGTTGGCGATGTAGGTTCTGCTGCCGAAAAGCTGGTCGAGAATCTTGGAGTAGGCGACCTCGAGCTTCGGGGCATCCACGCCCACCGCAGCTGGTTCACTGGGCCCTTCTTTGACACCCACCTCCAGGTTCTGGATGGGCTGCGCGGCTGTGAGGTTCTGCACAACGCCACGGAGAGCCTGGGTGATGGCCTCAGGGGCAATGTATCCCAGCTGGTGGCCAACAATGGTCTCAACACCGCCGGGGCCGCTCTTGACGGACGACAAGACATCGATCAACAGGGGACCCCATTTAGTGGTCTTTCGGTGAATCTGCTCCAGGACGGCGATCCTCTTGATTGTCCGGGGGATGCTCGTCACAAGCTTGGAGCCAATCCAGGGTCGGTACAGGCGAGCAGTAAGAATACCAATCTTGGCGTAGACGTCATCGGGCTTCGCATTGTTGATGGCTTCGGCAAAGGAGCGAGTGTCGGAGCCGAAGATGAAGAGACAGTTCTCCGCGTTGGCCGGTCCAGTGTACTCAAAGGCGTTGTATTGTCGTCCCAGAGCCGTGTTCAGCTGCGCCCAAATGCGAGTGGCGCACACATAGACGTCCTCGGAGGTCACTTGGGGAGCAGCAATCTCAACCGTAGTGGCCACGGACGAGGAGCCCGTGGGTGTGCTTGAGCTGCTCGCCTGACTCGTCTTGGCTGACAACTCGGAGACCACCTTGGAAGCAAGACTGGCCGTCGAGGCCTGGAGGCCTGAGGGCTTGTCGGCGCTAGCAGAAGACTCGACCTCCTGGTGGTCTGAGGAGACGGCAACGTGTCCATCATCGGCATACAGTCCGGAAGCCTTGATGGTGCCAGCTTGTAGTCTCCTGACGGCGTCGATGTCAAGGACAGCTCGTACTACGGAGAAGTCTTCGAGGCCGATGGGCTCATCGCGGGCCGAAGTGTCTGGAGAGAAGAAGTGGATGACGGCCTTGCCGGTGCGCACAGCCAGGGCATGTGCGGTGATGGCCATGTCCTGGGCCTCCTGGAGGGTTTCGGACTGCAGGAAGGTCCAGCCCGAGTTTCGAATAGAGGTGATGACGGAGTAGTCGGCAAAGCCACGCGGCTGGAGGGCCACATGGAGGACAACGGGGTAGTTGGTGAGCTTGTAGAGGTGAGAGATGGAGGGGAGGAGGATGGTAGAAGGCGTCGTGACAGAGACGAGCTTGCCTGCCCGCGCAGGGGCGAAGACGGACAGCAATGGGTCATTGTTGTAGCGGACATATTGGATCTGGATTGAAGTTGAGAGGTTAGTTGGACGTTGCTGCTTGATTGAACCACCTTGACCCCCTAGTCCTCGGGCTGTCGGCGGACCGGGATCGGGTCGTCGTCACTTTTTGGGTGGGACGACATGTAAGTGCGGCAAAGGAGCAAAAGACAGAGCGAGAGAGGAAAAAAAAAACACCAACGAGCGCCCATTGCCAGGAACTCACCTCGGGGACGGTGTCTTCAGTCGCCGCAACAATTCCACGGTCCTTGCGGCCAGCGAACCGCTTCAGGTGGGAGGAAAACTCCGAGTCGGCAGCCAATGAAGGCTGGACGGAAATGACGACATCGCTAGAGAGGTAGGCGATTCTCGCAGCTACACAGAGCAGCACGTTAGCAGAAGCTCGGGAGTATGTAGATGATGATGGTGGTGGTTCAGAAGAGAAGATATAAAGAAGGAGAGGTGTTCATAGCAAAAGCAAGCTTGACTCACCAGCCTCTTCAGGCGTGCGGATCTGAGTTGAAGTCGCCATGCCTCTCGTTTCGTCGCCGGTCCTCGAGGGTCAATCCGAGGCTGTCGAAAGCACCAATGATCCCGACAAGGGCTCAGGGAAACAGCAAACAGGCGAGAATGAGAAATGGGGAGATGGAAAAAGAAAAGAAGAGAAGAAGAAAATAAAAGGAAAGAAGAAAAAAAAGATCAGCCCTTGGAGTCAGAAACGGACGATGCGCAAGGAATGGTGAGAACGGTTTAGTTATAGATAGGGGACCAACTACTAGCCCGCCATTCAACCAGCAGCCGTCAGCCAATGCCACCTCGCTATTTTCCCTCTTTTCTCAGCAACAATGACGGCCTTGCGTCTCTCTTTGCTGCTGTGTTTCCCTCTCCTGCTGTCCATGTCTCTCCCAAGGCTCCACCAACTGCTCAAGCCAAATTTCCATTCCCCGCAGAAGCCCGAGGGTTGGAGGATTGCGTGATCGCTTAGCGCTTGGGAGGTTCTGCACGAGTCTTGCGTGGGCGCCACCCGCCGGATGAGCAGCCCAGGCAAGCCATTGGAGGCGGCGGCTTGTGATAGGGCAGGCGGGAGGACGGCGGCGATGGCGAAATCGCTCGCCCTGACAAATCCCGGGCGTCAGATTCGCTGCGGGTTTGCGACATGGGAGGGGGGTTGTTTGTGTGAGGTGGTGAGAGAGAGGTGGTGAGGCTTGGAGGGGGTAGAGATGGATGCTACAGCACTGGGAATGGCAGGACTATCAAGGTATCGATAACTACCTACTACAACCACTTACTTAGGTACACCCTGAAACCACACCGCTATCATCAAGGAAAGAATCAATCACAGTATCAATCAATCAATCAATCAGGCAAACCAAACTTTGTGTCAATGTCATGTTGATTTTTTTGCAGCGAGTACCCTATACTACAGATGCAGATCACCGTTCAACCAAAAAAACAAGCAAATTCCCATCCCATTCCTCCAGCAAAACCCGTTTGCCTGTTGACGCCATCAACACTAAACCCACTTCAGCAACCGTCCTCTTGATCTGCTACCGCCGCTCTTCGCCGCAATCTTGCCGCAGCCTCTCAGATCCCAAGTTCACATGTTTCCAGACTTCCAACAAGAGCAAACTGCTCAGCCAATCCATCGTCCAATGTACCTTTAACTGCATCGTTTCAAGTACCGATCCTTTGTTGGACTGAGCCGGACCCTGGAATCAATAGCGTAGTCCTCCCAACGCCCATACGTACATCAAACCCACGATACTACCACTACCTTACCACTACGAGTACGATACTATGTACATACATACAAGGACCCATCGAAATCTCCCTCCGACTTCCGTCTCCCTCCCAAAGGCCACCGACGAGCCGAGCCCACAGCTCTCCATCCCATTCGCCCATTTGCCCGCTTCCCACAGAACTCATCGCCCGGTAGCGGCAGGGAGCCAGTCGCTAGCACCTCCGAATGCCGAGTCAAGGCCATGCTCCGGCCCTCGGGGCCTCTCTGCCTTCCCCCCAAAAGACCCTTAAATAAGCATATCGGATAGTATTACTTGTATGTATTAAATAAAAAAGGCCACGCTCGTGACCACTCAAAACAGTGAAATCCAAAAGCCTGCCGAGAATTTTTCTCTCGATGATGAATCGCGGGGCTCCGATCGCGTCATTTCAACCCCAGTCTTCCCATGACAGTACCCAAGTGGTATTATGTATTATTTCCTCCCTTCCATTACGTCTCAGTCCCTCGACCTCTGCCCGTCTAGCCAACTTGACTCTCTCGCCCTCTCCCTTTCTCCCTCTCTTGTATTATTACACCTCACACCTCACCAGCGAGAGTTCCCGCTGAGCTGGGCTTCCGGCTGCTACCGCCCGCAACCCATTCCCTCGCCTCAGAGTACTCCATCCAGTAACCGCGTCCGAATGACACCATCAGTCGGCCGAGCTGGCCTCTTCGGCCCTCACCGTCAGGCAGGTCCGCCGCAAACGGCCCCACCTGGTCGTCGACGCCCGGTCCCTCGAGAATCATCAGCTGCATATACTTTTGCAGCGTCTGTCGTGCAAAGTTCATGACGACCAGACAGAAGTAGACCCTGATGAGGGTCAGTCCGGTGATGAGAACCATGCTGGCCGCTGTCTCCTGGGGCACAACGCCGCCGTGCACGGCAGCTTCGCGTCGGAGGCCCTCCATGCCTTCGGCAACAATTCCAGGCAGGCTGGATGGTCGGATTTCGGTTGCGTTGGGCGTAGCAGTGGCAAAGTACCAATCCATTCCAAAGGCCACCGTGGAGAGGCCGTTGATGACGGTGTCGATAGCGTACAGCCAGGCCAGGGCCAAGCATTCGAAGGGAGTCTGCTTTCGGATGTGTGGGATCAGGTAGACGAGGGTGCCGAGAACGCCGATGCAGTATACGTAGGTCGTAAGCTGGAAGAGGGAGAGCTGAAAGCCGGTAAGGATGGCAAGGAGACCGTAAACGCCCGTGACCTTGTTGAAGACGAGCGCCAGTGAAATCAACTCTGTGCCCGTCTGGAGGCTGATGAGGCCAAAGAGGGTCTGATGGCGAGTGTCAGCGTCAAGATCACAACTTGGCCAGTTTCTCCTCGAGGAGATAGAGAGGGAGCCGCGCGTGGCCTACCTTTGGCCGCGGTATCCGCAGATACAGCCTCGTAAACTTGGACATGATGGGCAGAGAGATGATGATCGCCTCAAAGCCGTCGCGCTCTATACCGAAAGACAGCAAGCAGCCGTTATCGCCAGGCAATCAAACCGAGAATAAGAAAGGGAAGAAAGCAAAGCGACGGCGCAAGGAACAAGAGAGACTGGCGGAAGATGCGGTTTAAGGAATCTCGAAGAGGTTTCGGCGGCAGCGGAGATGGAACTGCGCCCAGGAGAGAGAAAGTCACAAAGCGCGCTTGGCCGCATCGGTGCGCGGGATCCGCAGGCGGCAGCAGATCTGGCCAGTCACAGATCGGACGAGACGCTGATGTCACGTGGCATATCACTTGAGAGGTGCTTCAGCTCGGCATGTCCGTACGCTGTAATAATGCAAGGGCGTGAAACCAAGGACGAGGCCTCTTTGAGCAGAAGCAATTTGTGGTGGATTCACTTGTCACGTCACCTGGGCGATTTCGAATTCGTTTCGTGTGTATGTAGCAGGTTATAGACGTATTCATGGGCTTGGGGAGTAGTCATTTGCTGGTCATACCTTAAAGGTATCTCTGGTTGGAGCGTCCCTTAGAAGCGGCACTTACAAGGCACATCGTACTGCGTTAAGCTCGGGCAATCGATCCACTAATAAACCGCCTGTTCCTGTGCAGCTTGTGGTCAGACCAGCCCAGCAGTAACACGGCCGACCTCTTCCTACCTTAGCATTCGCCTTGCTCTGTGCGCTATATAAACCACAAAGCACCTACTAAACCGGGCAGTTCCGGATGAAGAGCTCTATCCGGTGCAGAGCCAATTACCTCTGGACCATCAATCGATCTGCGACTCTCAGAAGCCCTCTTTTGGATAACACAATTCGAGCTTCAGCCGTCACTTGCAGAGCCCAGCCAGCCAAAGCCTTTCATTTCGCTCAACGAGCTAGTTCTTCGACTCACACCTCACAAAAGTCACTACCCTGCAACAACCCTCGATTTTCGAGCCTCACACTCAGAGCCTTACCACTGTCTTTACACTCACACTCACACTCACACTCACACTCAATCTCATCCTCACAAACCCGCAGCACAATGGCAACCTCAACCCCAGCCTCCTCCGCCGCAGCCCTCATCGAATCCGCCAAAAAAGCCGCCGCCTACCAGGCCGTCGCCGACCACCTCCCCCCAACGGCAACCTACGTCGGCATCGGCTCCGGCAGCACCGTCGTCTACGTCGTCGAGGCCATTGCCGCCAAGGGCCCGTCCTTCTCCGCCAACATGACCTTTATCCCCACGGGCAGCCAGAGCAAGGGCCTGATCCGGGCGGCAGGGCTGAGGCTGTGCAACCTCGACGAGAGGCCCCTCGTGGACGGCGTGCCGGTTGCGCTGGACGTGGCGTTTGATGGCGCGGACGAGGTGGACGAGGATCTGAATCTCATCAAGGGAGGCGGTGCTTGTCTGTTCCAGGAGAAGCTTGTCGCTGTGGCGGCGAAGAAGTTTATTGCTGTTGCGGGTATGACTCCAATTTCCTCGTCCCCTTGAACTGAGTTGCTCGTCCCTTCATGATGTGAATTGAGCTTGACTGACACACGTATGAGTCAAGATTCCCGCAAGCAATCAGCAAGGCTATGCACAAAATGGAAAACAATCCCCATCGAGGTCCTCCCCCTCTCTGCCCCAGACGTCCTCAGCCGCCTCAAGGCCATGGGCTCGCCTAGCCCCGTCGTGCGCTCTGGCTTGCCTAGCAAAGCTGGCGAGTGCGTCACCGACAACGGCATGTGGATCATTGACGCGCCCTTCCCGCCGCTGCTCCTCCCCAAGGACCTGACGGCGGAAGTCAAGGGCAACGGCGAGAACGGGGTGTGGGAGATTGAGAAGCTGGCCGAAGAGCTGGTCAGGCTGCCCGGCGTGGTGGAGATTGGCCTCTTCCACGGGTTCAATGGCGTGCAGGCTGTGAGCCGGGGCAAGGAGTTTCAGGCCCAGAAGCCGGTGGCGGCCTACTTTGGTACGCCCACGGGCGAGGTCCAGGTGCAAACGGCGGCATAACGGCATGATGAGGATGAAAAAGAGTAGGGAGTCAGACACCTATCTGACGAGGGCTGGTATGACATGCATGGACACGACGACGGAGTCACACACAATCTGTCTTGTCTCAATCTCGGAAGAAGACGAACGACGAGCAGCAAAGAAAAGAGACGAGCTTGAAGCGCTTTCTTAAGCAAGGTTAAAAAAATGAAAAGATTATTAGTTTTGTTGCATAAACGATCGTGGGCACGTTATCCTCGTTGCAATTGCAGGTATTATACAAGTCCCATGCACGCGCCAAGCTTCGAACTGATATCCTACTCTGGGCATTCAATGCATTGTGACCGCAGAACGACGCTGAAAGGGGGATACTACTAGTCGGTTGTTTCTTTTTGTTTCTTTTGTTGGTTCTTGTTGGGTGTTTTGAGCTCCATCGCGGACTCCAAGAGCATCTTTGCTTAACACGAGCAACCCTCCTGGGGAGGCTGTGTTGTGTTTGTCCGCACATCAATCACTGCGAAGAGTAACAAGGGTCAGTCGCAACGATATGAAAGGATCACCCCGGATAGACCGGGCATGACTTGTGACAACACAAGTATACGTCGAGAAAGGAAAGACCAAGAGAAGACTCACTTTGGTTGGTCGCCTGGGCAGCGGCATCGGATCCCTCCATGCCGGGCAGGGCCTGTGCTATCCTCTTGAAGAGGTTCTGTACGTTGTGGCCGAGCTTGGCGCTGGTCTCGACGAACCTCAGCCCCTGTCGCTTGGCCTCCTCCTCTCCCTGCTGGGTCGTGACCTCTCGCTTATCGTTCAGATCGGTCTTGTTGCCCACCAGCACGATGATGACGTCGTTTCCTCGCTCTGCCCGGACGTCGTCAATCCACTTTTTGGTGTTTTGGAATGATTTCGCATCTAAAGTTGAGGCAAAACCGTGGTTAGTTCTATCGACATGCAAGCTGGTGGGGCCTTACACCGCGACTTTGGGCAAGTTCTGGCGGTGGGGGTGGAAGAGAGAGAGAGAGAGAGGGAGAGTAAAAGAGAGGAAGGGTTTCCCATACTAGAGATGTCGTAGACGACAACGGCAACGCTCGAGTCACGGATGTATGAAGGGATCAAGCTTCGGAATCGCTCCTGGCCTGCCGTGTCCCACAGCTGTAGTCGTACCGTCCGGTCCTCGAGGTACATGGTCTACCCCCCCTGGTTGTTAGCTTGAGGTTCGTTCCGCCGGGCAGCTTGGTGTGGAAAGAGAGACGAGATGGGTAGCTTCGTACCTTGGAGAGAAAGTCGATGCCAATCGTTGCCTGGTACATGTTGTCGAACGAGTCGTACATGAACCGAGTGATGAGAGACGTCTTGCCGACTGCATGTCGTCAAGAAAACTCGGTCAGTCTCGCCAATGCCAGCAGAAGCAGTGTGGAGCCCTGGGACGAAGAAACAACATACCGCTTTGTTCCCCCAAGAAGACCAGCCTGGAGAGAGAGAGAGAGATTTGGCATTAATGACGGGGCCCGTGAAGACGCAGGCAGGGCAACATACTTGAACTTCTTCAAGGGATTGTTGTAGGATCCTCCAGCTTGCGCCATGGCTGCGTGTCGTGTCGAGTCGAGTCGAGTCGTGGAGTGGACGTGTGATGCTTCTGCTTGGGGGGGCAGAACAAGTAACAAGGTCCAAGTCTGCCAAGTTGCTGCTGGTTTGTGTTGTCTGGTCGTAGAAGGATAGAAGACAGCAAGCAGCGGGTGCGTCCAATTGTGCTCTCGAGCTGTGAATGGCTGTCTCTTCGTTATCGTCGTCGCTCGTTATCGTCGTGACTTTTCCTGTCGGTTGGGCAGTTCGTCGAAAGGAGGTGACAGGTTGGACAACGACCGCCACCAGCGTTGCTCGCCAGGCTAGGTCAATATATACTGGACTGGCTACTGGTTACTGGCCTGAGACGGAGCCACTTTGGGCTTGGACAGCGCTGCAACGGCACTGCAGCCAAGAGAGACAGCCAGCGAACAGTTCACTCGGCCTCCGCAGAAGCCCCGCCATCCCACCGTTTTCTGCACACCGTCTGATTGGGAGTTGGCGGGGGTGAGTCGGGGTCATGTACTCGTACGTGCGAGTATGCGCAACCTCAGGCACGCACGCTGCTCGCGCCACGCACCAGGTACCCTCTACTCTCTTGCCTCTTACGGCCACCAGCTTGGAGTTACTCCAGGGCCCCACTCAAAAATCTCAAAAAAAGGCTGCTGATAAGATCCGTCCAGCCAAAAAAAAAAGACCCTCGAAACGGAAATTTGCGACTTGGTAATACAGCAGAAACAACAAGCAGAATCCTGATTCCCGCAATCTCTACGCCTCAATCCGTCCCAGACCTCGATCTGCTTCAATTCCGAAAGAAGAAGAAGAATAGGGGGAACACCACAGACCGTCAAAATGCCCGTTCTTCGGTCGGCCACCGCCGGCTCAGGCGAGGCGCCTCAGCAACACAGCCAGCCCTCCAGAAAGGGCAAAAAGGCATGGAGGAAGAACGTCGACGTGACAGAGGTCGAAGAGGGCCTGCGAGAGCTCAACAATGAAATTATCAGAGGGTATGCCTGAGCCCGTTTCTTGTCTTCTGTCAAGATGTCCCATCTAATGTTCTGTTCTCCCACAGCGGCGTCATACGAGAAAAGGCGTCCGAAGACCTCTTCACCATCGATACGGCCGGCGACGCCAAGATCCCCCAAAAGTTCCCCAAGCACGTCAAAAAGGGCCTCAAGGCCGACGAGATCATCAACAAGCGCTCCGCCGTGCCCGCCGTCTCCATGCGCAAGCGCCCCGGCGACAAGTCGACCGACGGGCTCGTGGCCGCCAAGCGCCAAAAGACCGACTGGGTCTCCCACAAAGACCTCGCCCGCCTGAAGAAGGTGGCCGACGGACACCACGAGAACACAATCGCCGTGCGAGACGCTGCCTTCGACCTCTGGGACGCCCCCGCTGAGCCTGCGACTGTGGCGACCAAGAAGGGCCCGACGACGACCACGACGATGGATTTCCTGCCCGAAAAGGTCGAGCCAAAGGTCCCCAAGACCATGAAGCAGCAGCCCCTGTCCCTCCTCGCCAACGGCAAACAAATCCCCGCGGTGCCCAAGCCCACAGGAGGATACAGCTACAACCCTTCCTTCCCCGAGTACGAGTCCCGCCTCGCCGAGGAGAGCGCCAAGGCCATCGAGGCCGAGAAGAAGCGCCTCGAGGCCGAAGCCGCCGAGGCCGCCAAGCTCGAGGCCGCCGCTCGATCAGCCGCCGAGGCAGAGGCCGCCGAGCAGCGCGCCAACATGTCCGAGTGGGAAGAGGACTCGGAGTGGGAGGGCTTCCAGTCGGGCGTCGAGGACGAGCGGCCGAGCGCCAAGCAGCCCAAGCGCAAGACGCAGGCCCAGCGGAACCGCATCAAGCGCCGCAAGGAGGAGGAGCAGCTCGCGCGGCACAAGGCCGAAATGAAGGCCCGCCGCGCGCAGGAGCAGCGCATCAAGCAGATTGCCGCCGAGGTGGCCGAGAAGGAGAAGCAAAAGGCGCTCATGCTGGCGCAGCAGGCCGCCGAGCAGGACGCGGACGACGACGGAGAGATCAAGGAGGAGAAGCTCCGCAGGAGGCAGCTGGGCAAGTATAAGCTGCCGGAAAAGGACCTCGAGCTCGTCCTGCCCGACGAGCTGCAGGAGTCGCTGCGGCTGCTCAAGCCCGAGGGGAACCTGCTCAAGGACCGGTACAGGAGCATGCTGCTCAGGGGCAAGGTCGAGATCCGGAGACACATTCCTTTCAAGAAGCAGGCCAAGAGGAAGGTCACGGAGAAGTGGACGCACAAGGATTTCGTTCTGTAGATGGCCTGCTGATTTGTTCTCTTTCTCTTCTGTTCGCCTGCTGCATTTCCATTCTGGGGTTCTTTTTACAATGTCATCTGTTCTGTTTTTTTTTTCTTCTCTTGGTTCATAAAACAGACATTATGTAGACCATGGCGCCATAATTTTGCTTTGATCACAAAAGAAGGGCTGCTGCATGAAGACGCTTTCTTCTAGCAATTTATTACACAGTGAACGATATCAAACGCATCATAAAGTGCAAACACATGTGCCTGATTCCTCCCTCCCCCTTTCCAGGTGCCAGCGCCTTCGCTAACAAATACTTTGCTCCCTGCTGGGAATCTGAGACATGACTGATTCCATCTGACAGATCTTTACGCGTTCTAACGCTCATAAACACATCTTCCAGCCCTTTGTTTACAAATCTTCAGTAGCTAACAATCACTCATAAGCTCATTTTAGAAAGCGACAAGATCTGGAAACAGTCAGATTTCAGGTTCACACAAAGAATGGCAAGGAGGGAAACATACCTCTACCGAACAGCCCTCGCTTCATCCAGTCCATGGCCATCAGGCTCCTCGTCCTAAAGCTCACGCTCTGCGCAAAGTAGACGGACCGCCAGGCATACACGGCCCAGAGCCCACCAGCCATGCTCCAGCCCTCTCCCAGGTCGAAAACGGCCGAGTTTCCAATGTACGCCAGGCTGCCCAGGTGGCGGTACTCGAAGGCCTTGTACACGGCCGCGTCCAAATCACCGTCTCGAATGTCGTTGGCTAGCATGGCGTCCGAGATCTTGGCCAGCTTGTTGAACTTGTGGGCGAGGTACTGTCCCTGCTGGTGGGCACGCTGAGCCGTGGCCGGGAGCGACGTCAGCTTGCTGTCGATCTGGTTCAGGAGCTCCCTAAGCTCGCCGAAGTCGAGCGTCCCCGACTGGTCCTTGTCGAACTCGTAAAAGAGCTTATCGAGACGCTTGAGATGGTTGATGGCCTGCGGGAACCGCTTCTTGACGTCGGCAGCAACGTTTCGCCAGTCCGAGAAATGAAGCTGGAGCGACTCGGGCTCGATTCCACGCGACCACGCCAGCTTGCGCAGAAAGCTGACGATGCTGTCGGCAACATTGTTCTGAACAGTGGCGCAGTCGCCAATAGCGTAGACGTCGCCGAGGGGAGCACCGTTGAGGCGCAGGTGAGTGTCCGTCTCCAGCGCATGTCTGTTCGTCTGGCTGGCGCCGAGCTTCTTGGCCAGCCTCTGCGACAAGGCCGTAGGGGACACGCCGGTGGACCACAGACAGAAGCCTATAGGCAGCTCCTTGGTGACCACGGTACCATCGTCCTGCTTCTGGCTGAAAATGATCTTGTCCTGCTGGACCTCCTTGACTCGCGAGTTGGTAAGCACCTCGACCTGGTCGCGAGCAAAGCGCTCCTCGGCATACTTGGATACCGTCTCGTCGTAGGTGTTGAGGATATGGCTTCGGCTCTGGATAATGTGGACGGAGATCTCGTTGCGCAGCAGACGAGGAAAGTGTCGGGTGAGATCCTCGTTCAGCAGATCGAATAGCTCAGCGGCAAACTCAACGCCAGTCGGACCACCACCGCTGACGACAAAAGACAGGAGTCGCTTGCGTTCCTCGTCCGTGGTCGTAGGTAAACAGGCAATCTCGAGGTTTTGAATTACCTTGTTCCGAATCATGCGGGCATCATTAATGTCCTTGAGAAAAAAGGCATTTTCCAGCCCCTTGACGCCATGGGGGTTGGTTGCTGAACCGACGGCAATGACGAGCTTGTCGTAAGGGACATAGAATCGGACCTCTCTTCCCTTGTGATCGAGCTGGGACACCTCGACTAGCTTATAAGAGAACTCGACGTCTTCCGCCTTGGCACGTATGAAGTGGCCGTGGACACGGCTCAGTATCCTTCGAATCGGCTCGACTAGAGAGCGCAGCTCCAGAGTGCCCACAGTAGCCGACGGCAGCATGGGCGTGAAGAGGAAGTAGTTTGTCGGCGAGATGACGGTGACGTGGTAGTCGTCCGGGTTCAGGTCCTTGAGGAGCGCCACGCCACCCCATCCTCCGCCCAGCACCACAAGCCGCGGCTTCGACTTGCCCGGGTGCTCCTCGGTGTCGTCGATGAAGACCTCGGCGATGGGCAGGTTCTTGGGCCCGCCGCGGCGAGGCTGGAGCGCGAGCTGCGAGACGTCAATGTCGCTCTGCGTGCCGTGTTCCTTGTACGTGCTCGCGTCGTAGAGGAAGAAGCCAAGGACGCCCGTCCCGACGACGACGCAGGAGATTCCTAGCCATGCCGCCGCTCGGTAGAGAAAGTTGAGCACCCATGACCTGGGCTGGGGCAGCGGCTTTCCGGACAGCGCGCGGGAGAAGATGAGGCTGACGGGGCGAGGCTGTGATTGGAGTCGTTCGGTCGGATTTGCTGCTGGGGTGCCTCGCTTATTAGTTCGGGAGTAGAGCTTGGAGAAGGCGCGCAGCTGCGCACATCTCGTCGTTGAGGTGATGGCCGTTCGAGAGCTGAGGGAGAGGCGCTGCCTGCAGGCGCCGCTCGCTGCCAGGCGGAGGGACCCCAATTGCGCAGAGGCCAGCGGCATCGTCAACAGCAAGTCAATGAGGTCGACACAGTTCCTTCATGGAGGCCTCGAATGCGTTGCCCTGCGCCAATTGACGGGTTGCAGGGAGTCAGAGCACGAATCGACTACTGATACAGGCAGTGAGTGATAGCTTCACCCTGCTGGCCGGTTGATGCTCTCGTGAAGCTGCGTGTGTTTAGTAGATGATACCTGGTGGCTATATGAGCAGGTTGCTGTTGCTCGGAGCAGCCGAGTTCTGCTTCCTCAAAGTGAACGCCGGATTGATCCTTGGAGACTGGAGTGAGAGATTTAGAATGGCATGGCCTGCCTCTGCGATTGATATACTGTACGAAGCTTAGTCCAGCTGTCCAGGTATGTGCGCTATTACTGGTGATATGCCGGGCAGAGCTCATGGCGTCATAGGCCTCAGACAGAGCACACTAGCCAGCGTCCAGGTCCCCACTGAGTCTGATGTTAGGGCCTTGCCAGCGGATCAGGAACGCCGTCCGATCCAGCTTCATGGGGCCTGCAATTATCTAATGGTGATGCTAGCAGAAGCAGAAAGGCGGTTTGAGTTCAATTGATTGTCAGGACTAAAAGGCTACTAGACAACTGCATTACGTGCGTGTTCCGTAGTTACGAAAAGGGGACCAGACTAGATAATATGTAATAACTCCGTGAGATCTGATGCAAGGCTGATTAGGTAGATGAGGCTGTGATCGATGCCAAGATTTCATGTACGGAAATGCCCGTGACACACAAACAGACTGAAAAGGCTAATGCCGCTGGAAAAGGAAGAACAAAGAAAGAAAATGAACGTAATAGCCGACTTGTGCTTCATGCGTTGAGATTGGCCAGACACGCGACCCAACGCAGCCCAGTCATCGCGTGCCGGAAGTCGGCCCTTGGGATTCGGCCTCGCGGACATGTCGCGGTCGCCGACGTCGGTTTTCCATTCGGAAGCTCCTCCGACAGGGCGGGCCTGACTGATACTGGCCCTAACACAATGGCTTGGCGATGCTGCCGCTGCAACGATCTTGCATGTAAGACCACCCATCAAACACCATCTCTTCACAGCACCCTGCCGGGAGACTGCAGGCAATCATGCACACAACCACCCACGCAGGAAATATGCACTCATCTCACTGTCATAAGTGTCAACATCGTTCGAGCCGTGGCCGTCTCGAGTAACAAGCACTTGCGATTCCACCTGGCCGTGAGGAGATCGGTTCACCTCGTCGCCTGTCATGTGGGAAAAAACGGGGTGGTGGTGTCATTAGAATTGCAAAACCGCTCGCTGCTCAACAACGGAAATATCTCTTTTCCACCCATCGCTGCTCCGCGTGGGGCAGGAGATTGCACACCACGGCCGTGATTTCTGGGAAAACCGTCATCAACCTGTGCAAGCCAACTTTTCCGGCGGAATAAGTGGCCAAGACGATGCGTTCCAACGCGACGCCGTGGTCGACGAGGACTTGAACAGCCATAAGAGCTGCTCCTCCGCTGGCCATTTGGGTGTCTAACAAAAGCACGCTCTCATGCTCGTGAATATCTTCCGGTAGGCGCAGGTAATGCAGCTCCGGCTCCCCGGTTGAGTAGCTTGACTGAATCAGAAGCCGTCCCGTCCTGCAGTCCGGAATGGTCTTTCTGAGAGCCGGCTCGAACGCCGATCCTCCTCGGAGCACAATCACGGCGCTGACCTCTCCCTTGGGGCGCAAGCCGTTGTACTTGTACCCCGGTGGTGTCTCAATCGTTGTTGCTTCAAAGTGGACGTTGTTTAGGGCCCTGTAGTCGGGTCAGCATGCATCGGCCTTGATGTCACACACGCCATGGTTCGACCTACTGTTCAATGATCAAGGCGGCGAGGCGATCAAAGTAGAAGATGAAGTCCTCGGCTGAAGTGTCGATATCCTGAAGAATGGTGTTCATGAATTTGATCTGAGGCCCCTCACTCATGACTACAACACGGTCGGAAAGCGGCTCTTCTTTGCCCTTGATCTCGAGTCTGGCCAATGCCTCGCGATGATGAGTCGACTTTTCAAACAGCTTCTTCTCAATAAATTGAGTCACCATGTCTTCGAACCGCCATGTCAGCCAAGATATTTCTCACCCCGAGTCAATCCACTGCGTCTGAAACTCACCAAGCGCTACTCGATTCTCAATGCCTCTCGGAACGATGATGTCTGCCACTTTGCGCTGTGGCTCGACGTACTAATCCACGCGAAGGGAGCTTGGTAAGTGAAATGTTTCCTATCAGACAGTTGCAGCTTGATTGGGGCGCCTCACCTTTTCGAAATTGGGCTTCACAAAGGCGAACCATTGCTTGATGCAGCCCTCGACGTCTCGCCCTCGCTCCCGGACATCTCGAACAACTGGTGCAGATAGTGAGCAGTTGCATCTTCGTCAACATCTCTACGGGCAGGGGAGATGGCCTACTTCTCCTCGACAAACAAGTGTCTGCATCAGCTTCACAGTAGATCTAGAGAGCAAGTCAGATCCCATGTTGTATCAACATCGGGCGAGGCAGGCATACTCCCATATCACACAGCTCACGGACCCGCGGGTCGTAGAGGGCAAAGATGCCTTCCAAAACGAGCACGTGCGGGGAATAAATGGATGTGGTCCTCTCCAGTCGGGCATGATGGGCGAAGGAGTATACGGGAATCTCTGCTCGCTTTCTGGAAAGGCAGGGTTAACTGAGCGTGTCCGAAACAAGCTTCATTGGCGGCAGGTCATCGTTACCCAGCTTTCAAATCCCGTAGAGAGCTAATGAGGGCATCGAAATCAATGGCGTCGGGTGAGTCGAAGTCGTACTCGTTGGCGAAAGCCAACTTGGACTGGGCAGGGGTCAATGTCTTATAGAACGAGTCCTGATCTGGTCGTTAGCCACGACGATCCAAAGCCCGCTGCTTCTCCTAGGGGACTTCATGCCATGGAAAGAATGACAACCCAGGGCAGGTTGAGCTTCTTTACGATAGTCTGAGACAGCGTCGACTTGCCGGAGCCCGAGCTGCCAGCGATGGCAATGATGCTCACGTCTGCCCATGGCGGAGAGTAGTAAGCTCGCTTCTGAACCGTGACATGGCTCTCGAGCTGCGACATTGCTACCGCCACAACAAACGCTGGCCCAGACCGTGACGTGAGTTTTTGACCGACAGGCCGTCGTTACTGGCGAAGAGCAAGCAGAGGTTCACGCTTTTGCTTTGATCCTAGGGTACAAGACTTGATCAAGTGGGCAGCGGCTCGCGTGATCCACCCCGTCGGTGGTGTCCAAGTTTTTCTGTCCGGAGCCAGTGACACCGTCAGGGCTGCTGCTGAAAGCCGAGAGCTGAACAGAGGCGACAAGATCGTGAAGAGCACGACTAAGGGGAGCACGGCAGAGGGGAGCTGCGGTGAAGCGAACGACGATCGGTAATATATGGTAAACTGACGGTCAGCGCGCAGGACAAAATCTTATCTGGCTGCACTGCTGTCTTTGTGTGGCTTTATGGCCCGGCAACCCACCGGAGTCGATGCTTCGAGGGCGTGGCACGGAGATGCCCGCCTCGACAGCTTGGCCCACTAAGATAATGGCGGATAATGGCGGATAGTCCCCATCCAGGGCGACGTGTGAGCCGCCTGATAGGTCTGATAGGGCTTGGTGAGGCACAGGCACCGCACCGCGCTGCAGCTAATAAGCAATGGGAAGCATGTGCCGGTCAAGCTAACGCTCACATGGTCGGCAGCGTCTAAAGCGGTAGATGTTGGGCCGAGATTGAGGAAGCCTTGACATGAGGCTGATGGCGGACCGACATCTTTAGCAGCCGGACATGCTTGTGGTGGTTGTCGAGCTTTGGTCAGGCAGCCTTGTCCCGTGTTCCTTCACGTCGGTCTGGCCCAGTCCATGGCTTCAGGGCTCTTTCCATCTCTTCTATGTAGGTAGCTGGCCAAGACTCTGGAAGGTACCTACTTTGGGTCGGCGTCGTGGCTGCCAAATCGGCGATGAGGCACCTGCACCAGAAGCCACTGGACGAAGTATCGGTACCCGAGAGCTACGATCTGCAGAATGCTTTTGGGCACTTTGCGTCTTAGTTTGCATTCAGATTCTACCGCTGCGACGACATCTGACGGGGTGCACCAACACGAACGAGGTCCCGATGAGTACGGAGTACGGAGTACCTACGTTTCTAGGTCCTGCAGCCAACCTGGTCCTGAACTCGGGATCTTCTTCAGCCCCCCTGAGTAGACCTGGCTTCAACTTGACAAAAGCCATACCTTATCTAGTAGTAGGTATCAACTACATCAAACCTTATCATTCTAAGCATGTAAACCTTCATATCGTCAAAAAATTTCTCTGTTTTTTTTTTCTTGTCCCCTCCCATCAACCTTCACAAGCCTCGACCTACGCGTTCCATTACGTTATTACTGATGGGGTCCTTCGTCCGTCACGTTATGTAAGCTTCGTCCCCCACCAGAGCCCTGAGGGCAAATGCAGCCGCAAAAAGCTACTGTGGAGCGTCTCCGAGCCATTCTCGCCATCTCATTGGCCCGCCTGGTCGTCTGTGAACGGGGCCGCCCACCCTCCAAAAAGGGCATCTGCTGCTCCTCCGCCGCCGCTGAAAATCGCTTCCCTTTCCTCATACATACCAAACTTTTCCCCGTCTCATCTCATCTCCCGCCACGTCCAGAATCAGCCTCCTCGAGAGCCAGTGGTTCCTACGACTCCGGCCTGCCAATGCGCTGAAACGGTGGCATCTCCGGCTTCCTCTTTGGCTGCCCGCGCACGCCATGAGCCTCCCAGTCTACGCATTTGTCGCATCTGCCGCAAACCCGCTGCTGCCTGACTGCAACTAGAGCTGCTGCCGACTGTCTGCGGGACAGCCGTTGACCTCCATGGTACGGTGCCGTGACGCCCTCCTTTTGCGCCTTGCACCCCGCGCCACGTCCTGACTCACTGCGCAGATGTCGTCGGCTTCTACAGCCACTCCGGCCAAGCATGCCTTTGAGAGGCGTGTTGAAGGGGTCAAGTCTCCCAAAAAGTACGTATGCTGAGTACACTCTTCTCCCCTCCGTACCTAGACACGATGCCCCCTATATGATGAACACACTATCAATGGGAATCTCTCCGAGAAAAACTCCTGTGGAAAACCGATATAATCTTCTTCTTTGCCTGAATCCTCCAAGAGCATCTGTCATTCTTTCGTCTTCTTCCCGTTGTTCTGGCCGGTACAGATTACTGACTGGCATCTAGTGATATTAATGCTTTGATTTTGGACTACTTGACCATGGAGGGCTACCCAAACGCGGCCGCAAGATTCTCGAAAGAGGCAAACTTGCCGCCGCTGCAGGACACCTCGGACATTGAAACGAGACAGGAAATTCAGAATTGCATCCATAGTGGCAACATCCAAGCCGCCATCGAGACTCTAAATGAGTATGATCCTGAGGTAGGTTGCAGAAACTCCTGCCGCGGCTGCCTCCCCTCAACCCCTTTATGATTAAAACAAGAGTTTATACATGCACCACGCATATGGTCGGTTTACCGACCCGTGATGAGAAACACCACTTTTTTATGATACACTACCTTATCCTGCCTCTGCATACCATCTCTTTGGGTTCGATATCAGTTGATCGTTTCTAACATGCGATTCAGATTTTGGACGAGGACAATGCTTTGCACTTCTCTCTGTTGCGCCTTCAACTCGTGGAGTTGATCCGAGCATGCAATGCATCGGGAGGAGACATTACTCCTGCGCTGAAGTTTGCCACGGAGCAACTCGGTCCGCGGGCCTCTACAAATCGCCTTTTTCTGGATGATCTGGAAACAACCATGGCCCTGCTCTTGTTCAGCCCCGATAAGCTGGAGCCGCAATTGGCAGCCCTTCTTGACCCTGGCCTGCGTCGTGAAGCCGCAGACAAGGTGAACAAAGCCATGCTGGAGAAGCAGTCGATCCGACGTGATGCTGCCATTCGACAGCTTGTTAAGATGCGAGCCTGGGCAGAGAATGCGGCGAGAGAGAAAGGCACCAGCCTTCCGGACCGTCTCGACATTGGATTGAAAGGTGACGAGCCCTCAAACCAGCCCTGGCGGACCTATAGCTCCGAGAACGGACATGAACCCATGATGACGACCTGAACCATTGAATGATGCTCATGAAAACCACGCTCGCCCTCCAAATCCTTCTACCTTACAACGCCATTACCCTAATGATAATTGATACGCTTGACAACACAGATTGTTGTTTCAATGCGCCGCATGGAGCAGCATACGCTGCCGCATCCATGAAGCCGAGTGCTTGCTCCTCTATCATCAAGCAATATGGAGACGGACAAGCAGAATGCGTAAAGCGATGGACTACTTGCACTGGTAGTGACGGAAAGACTGTTCTCTAGCTATTCTTTCTCCCATGATACTAGCTTTGGTAGAGCTAGACAGCTTGCCTTGTAGTGTACAACCCGAGTCAGATCAATACAAGCAACATTGTCACATTGCCCCTGACAGACCAGCTCGTGAATAATAAAAAAATCTTTTGATAATAACTTCTCTTCCAATAACCAGACAAGGCCAGGCATATCTAATGCCTTACTTTGTCCGGACGTGCTTCAACTTGCCGGGCGTGTAGAGGAAGTTGTTTGCGTATGCCTTGGGTGTGAACTTTCGCGAGTTGGGCTCCTGGACAAAGTACTCGTAGCCCTGCTTCTCTGCGAAATGAATGGCGTCCTCCTTGGACTTGAAGTTGATGTGTGTTCCCTGCATGAAGTCTCCCGAAGACTGCCATCCAATCAGCGGGTTCTCCCATCGGTGTCCCTTGGGCAGGATGTCCCAGTCCATTCGCCAGCGCTCGCCCCTGAAATCGCCGGACTGTGTAGCGGGCTTGGTCTCCTTGTAGATGCTGGCGAGTGTGTCAGAAAAGGGCACCTTTGTTCGACAAGATCGCCGGAGATCACACTAACCGGACTGTCCGGGCCTGGAGTTCGATAGGAGCGCCAGAGATGGTGGCGGCCGCGAGGACGTCTTCAGTGCCGTCCTGCACACGCTTGGGGACCGGAGTGTATGTTCTGCAACCCGATTAGCCTCTGGTTCCCATCTCCAATCAAGTATCGCTTCTCGTACGAGGTGGCCTTGTCGACGGGGGCGTCATAGTCGGGCTGGTTGGCGGCGCCGGGCATCGCAGGAACAACGTCGGCGGGCGAGTTCACGGAGCTTCCAAAGCGGCGGGGCACCGTGGCCAGCGCAATCCGCGGTCGCACGGCATTGTGCAGCAGGCGGGCGGCCGACTGAGCTCTGAGAGATGCCATGGCTGAACAGCAATTCCCGTGGTCGCTCTCGAATTGAAGGTTGGGGAGGAGGGCCTTTTTCTTGATGTCCGTGACGGTCGCTTGCGATGGTGGTTTGCGGCGAATAATGGTTCGGGGCGACGGCGGCGAGCGCTGATTGGGCGGTGCGGAGCGATGTTTTGCCGAGAACGAGTGCTTTTCGGCAAAGAACCTCTTGCGCCTGCTGCGGAACGTGGGAAACGTTCAAATCCAGCGATTCCTCAACACTCCGGCCATCTCTGTCGAGCGTCTATTCCTCATTATCCGACACCATGAGCTTCGTCACTCGCCGAGCGCTTTCGACGCTCATTCCCCCCAAGGTGAGATCTGTGGTGGCGTGCTTGGGTTGCTGAGCGTCTGCTAACAGTGCATCTGTAGATTGCCTCCCCCAAGGTATGATGCCATCCCAGATGATACGATGCACAACGCCGAATTGCGCTTGTCGAAAACTCTCGAAGAAGGCTATCAGGAACGCAATGACAATGGTCGAAACCTGGATTGCCGTGGGAGGAAGACGGACGGCAAAGCTCTGATCGGACGACATGCGGGACAATGGACGATCGGCTAACAAAGGCTCCTCGATGCTAGGCAATTGGTGCTGCTCCCGATGCTCTGCGCATGCAGCGTGTCGTGAGCTTCTACGAGAAGCTGCCCCGGGGTGCCGCCCCTGAGGTCAAGGCCAAGGGTCTTCTCGGACGCTACCAGGCCAAGTACTTTGGCAAGAACGCTTCCGCTACGCGTACGATATGCCCCGATTCAGAGTCTCATTTAGGGATCGCAAGCTGACGTTTCTCGAATTCTATAGCCATTGTCCACGCCCTGCTCTTCCTCATCGGCATTGGTTACGCTCAAAACTACTACTTCCACCTGCGTACGTACTCGAAGCTATCTGTTGCGGGTGAATATTGGGTAGCTAACGTCTGGAATAGGTCACCACAAGAACAATGCGCACTAAAGTACTCTGGATGGTTTGTTGATGCCGCTCTTCTCCAGACAACGAGTGGCCATGTAAATAGACTTAGAACGGTGCCGTGTATGCTCACGCCCGGACTTCCTTATGTACTATCAGACGCATTGAACATTTGCTTCTCTCCTAATCGATGGTGTGAGTGATGGGTAACGCCGATCATGCTGGGCTCCTGAGATCGATCTACCTATTGTCGCTTTGTTCTTCTGCCATTCGTCTTGGTGTTAGGAGACACAAGCAGTGTGGACAGGGAATATCAAAAGGGGATATGGAGAGGAGACAGCAAGAGACAAGAGCAGGCATAAGTATGCAGCAATCTCGATTCACACTCACGAGTGTGAGATATTATTCTCTTGGCACTTGCCGTTGTCATTGTCATGAGGTTCCTCCTTGGTCTTATGACTGGTGCTCGCAAACACGGGCAACAACTTGAAGTGAATCGAATGAACACGGATCGGCTGTGCCATGAGTCACTCGGTAGGGGATCTGCTGATGCTGACAGCCTGCCTGAAAGGAGGAAACAAAGGGCTATTGGAGACGGCCATGTTGTGCTTGATTTCATTGAAGCATGTGTTGCAATTCACTACCTACTCGCCGATAGAGATCAGCAACAAGCTGGTTTGCCGTTGCTATTCTTGGTCGCCCTGGTCACCTCAGCATTCAATCGGCCTCCATATCCGGGACATGCGGTGCAAAATTCGCAGACACTGTGCAGAAGTTCCGTGCTAAACCCCAGCCGCCCTCAATAGCACCCACCAGCCGCCTGAACAATAGGCCCTATACTGGTTGCGGGCTGGGTCGGCTTGCGGCTGTCCTCAGCGCTCCCACACCGGGGCTTCAGTGGCTTCAGTGGCCGTTTGGCGCGCACGGGCCCCCCGATCAGGCGGAACTTTCCCACTCAGCGCTAGGCCATAACCAACCGGCCTGCAGCTTCGAAAATCAGGTCGCTTCCACCTCACCATCACGATTGCAAGCAAATTGCAGCCGAAGCCTCTCGAGCACGGCGACTCATCCCGACGACCCCTTCCGCCGACACCGACCCTCGCTGCGAGGCCCTGGAAGAGAGGACCCGAGCCCCCCCCCGAAGACTCCGCTGCATCGCCCGCCGCCGCCGCCTGCATTCTCTCCAAAGCGTCAGGTCGTTCCACTCGCGATTCCCAGCTCCCCCTCCTCTTCGTCTCCTCTGCCCTCGTCGATCCCAACGCTGCGGCCTTTCTCTTGGGTGCTGCTCACGGCAAAACGAGCACACCGTGAGGCCCTGTCCCCAGTCGAAAACCCCCCCGAGAGGCGATTTGGTTTCCGCTCCTGTTTCTGGCTAGAGTTCGCATCTTACGACTCCCACCGGCGCACACCTGCCACCACGACGGATGATGGCCACGGAGCCCTCCACCGACAACTCAGCTGATGTGTTTGCCTCGACTGAACCGCAACCTGTGAGGCGCCTTGTCCCCTGCTGCTGCAGAACTCGCAGGACGCCTCCGTAATGGCGTCGGCGCAGTTGTGCCTCTCAACCCCCCTCTTGTCATGGGTGTGACGAAGCCTTGTGTGCTATATGAGCTGTGCTAACCTGATGTTGATCGGTTCGCAGGCGTCCGACTCTCGACATGGCGAATTGGAGGCCCCGGCTATAAACGGAGGCACCCCACTCCCTGAAGACATTGCAAACAAACGCATCACGAATGTCGAGGACCAGATCAACTCGGCAGACGTCAGTGTGAGTGGGGGGTCCGACACCGAGGCGTCGCGCGCAAAGGATGGTGAGAAGGGCATAAGCCGCACCGGCTCCTCGGCCAAGAAGCCGACCACCTTCAAGGCTGTCTCGGTCAACAAGACGTTCCTGGCCTCCAAGGCGAACCCGAGCGTCTCGTCCAAGACCAGCGACAAGCCAGCTGCGGGCTCGAGTACCCCGCCGACCGGCTCCGCCACCCTGTCGGTATCACGACCGCGGTTGGTTGCAAAGTCTGGCAGCGGCACCGGCACCTCATCTCCGCGGTTCTCATCACTGGCGAATGGCGGAAAGCCGGCTGCTGCGCCTGACCCAAATGCTGTCTGGAACAAGAATAGGCGTATGTCACCCGATCGAACCCCCAGATTCAGAGAAGAGAGTGAGCCTAAACTAACCCAATCTCGTCCTTATTTAGCCCCCGAACCCAAAAAGTTCACTGACGAAGAGCTCAAAAAGTATGGAATTCACATGGCTAGTCGCCTGAATGAAGAAGATACCCAAGGGCAGAACAAATGGGCAGACATCGATGACGATGACGACGACTGGGCACCCGAGGTCATAACTTGGGGAGATGGCACCAAAACCACCCTCCCCCATCCCGACGAGACGGCGAAGGCGGCAGAGCGTGCGTCGGAATCAACCAAGGATGCTTCGCCAGAGAAGCCCTCCTCTCCGGCGCCCTCGGCCGCCGCCACGAGCACTCCAGTGCCCAAATCTGGGGGCCTTCCGTCTGGAAAGGGGCTGGTGCTTAAGAGCGCTGCCCAAGAAAAGCCGGTTCTCGTTGCCAAGCCCCCAGCGCCGCCGGCGCCCGCCAAGTCACCGTGGGCTACCTTGCCGCCTGTCAAGAAGGCATCACCTGGATCCGTAGAGACGGCGTATCCGCCGCGCGGTTCCCTGCGAGAGTCATCCTTCTCCAGTAACATGGCTCCCCTACCTCATCGGGACATGGGGGCGGACGATTACTCGCGTTCGACTTGGAGAGACAGGTCGTCGTATGGAAATAAGGAGCTCTTCAACTCTCGGTCCGGACGATATGAGCCCGTTCCCGATCGACGCCCGTCGATGCGTTCCGATTCACAAACCAGATATCCCGCCTTGCTACAGCGTGGGCCTCCACCAGACCACCCAGCCGAGCCCTCTGCCGCGTTCCAGACTAGTCGTACTGCCCCGGATGCGCCATTTGGACGACGCCGCGGGTCCTCCAATGTGAGCGGTGGCAGCGGATCGTACCTGCAGCGTCTGAGCAAGGGGCACGAGGGTTCGGTACCTCCAGGCCCCGAGTTTCTCAGTATTCGGAGAGGCTCCATGGCAGGCTCAGTTCTGGAGAGCCCAGTATCTCCTGTGGCGGTATCCGTGATGAGTCAGGGACAATCAAGACACCAGCCATTGCACGATCCAGCCTCGCGACCCTCTCCTGGTACAAGCTACGCCACTCCTCATCAGGGGAACTCACACCCTGAGCACCACGCACCACCACCACCCTCCCATAAGCTGGAAGATGACCTTGAGTTCCAGAAGAAATTGATGCGTGAAGGTATCGAGCAGGCTAGGAAACGTCGGCAAGAGGAAGAAGCCCGCGAGGAGGCTGCACGCCGGGAGCGTATACAGAAGAAATTAGAAGCCATGGGGCCTCCCCCTGAAAAGAAATCCCAGGCGAAAGAGGCACCCAAGGGACAAGGCGCGGCGAAATCGACGCCGAGCCAGCAACCAGCGCCCAGTGATCAAGCGTCGGCACCACTTCCCGCGAAGGCAAACCATCCGCATCAAGCAGATTCTGGTAGGAATGACGCAGCCAGCGCACCTCACATCGAAAAGCCCGGGTTTGGCCACAAGGATGCCCCATCGGCAAACACCGTCCCGCCGGCGGGACCGACGACTAGGCGGCCATCTCACAGCCAGGACGCGGAGCCTCCCGGCGTCTGGGGCAGTCGACCCGAGCGGTTCTCTTCGTGGGGCGCCGGAGCGCCACGGAATGTTTGGAGCTCCCCGGACAACGACAACGGGCTCGGAAACGGCACCTTCAACCCTCAACTCAGCCGCGTATCCGGCGCATCTGCCCAGCCCGCTTCAGCTGGTAACGCCCCCGCCCCTATCGCACCTCCCACTACCATGCAGTCTTCGCATAACCGCAACCAAGTCCCCGCGCCTATTGGGTCGCGTGCTACGCGATATGGAAACATGGGAGCTGAGCTCGCCAACAAGTGGGTGACGGCCGTGGCTGAAAACGACAAGAGGATGAACGCGGAGAAGCTGGCTGAGCGAACAGACCGTGAGCGTCAGATGGCTGAGCGTGGAATCTCACTCGAGGATGCTCAGCCAACGATCAAGGACACATGGCGTCCCGTCCACATCCCAGGCGATGGGAGCAGGCGTGCCGTGAGTTCCAGTGAAGGTCAGCTGAAGAACGCAGAGGATTCCCTGATGGGTGGTCAGTCTGGAGTCCTTGGAAATGGGGCTGGCAGCTCTGTCTTGCCCCCGAACGGCCCAACTACAACTCCTCAGTCGCGACCCTCCCGATTCTTCCCCACGAGAGACGTGCGCACAGAGGTTGGCGTCATTGAACCGCTTCGCCCCTCTACGCCGTCTCCTCCCCCACCAACGATGGAAGGCCATCCTGTGTATGAAGGAGACCACACACGTCCGCATGTTTCATTACCCAAACCGCAACCAGTGGTCAAGCTCCCTCCCGCCATGGTGGCTGCCCAGGCACTGCAAGCCAAAGCGAGTAACCCGTGGGCCAATAGGGCACCCTCCAGAGAGATATCTCGCGCCCCCATCCCTCATGCATATCCTGCGCGACGGGTCTCCGAGGCGTCACAGGGAAACTGGCAAGACAAGATCAACAACCTTCTGAATGGTGGAAAGGCGTCTCCGCCAAAACATATGGGAATCGACCCTGCGAGTCGGCACGCGCTGGATCATACGAGCAACCAGCAGCAGCCTACAACCGTATCTCTGCCTACTGTAACCGTGCAGCACGTTGCGGAATCTCCCCAGACGCTCACCTCGAAGCCCATGGCAGAGGAATGCTTTGAAGAGCAGGAAATGGGCTCTCTGCCGCGGATTAGACTTCCGCACAATGCACCCGAAGCTGCATGGCAGCCTGCCGCAAGCATCAAGCCGATGCCAAAGAGGTTCTACGTACAGCCGTCTGTTGCCGAACCATACTATTTCCCGGCCGAGGTCGCTGGCGGCGGAAATGTCGTGAGAGTGTACTTTCCAGGGATGAGTGAGCCTAGGACGGCCACGATTCCCTTTTCTGCCGCAAGGGGCGGACGAGGAAGCCATAGGCCGTCCTCACGACACCGAGGCGGTGGTCACGGATCCCGTGGTGGTGGTGGTGGAGGAGGCGGCAACGGCGGTGGCAGTGGCAACGGCAACGGCAACGGCAAGAGGGAGTTTTCCAACAGCTACGGAGATGCCGCGAATCCAAGCAGTGGCAGCCGTAGCAGCCGTGGCGGATATCGCAGTCGCGGATCTGATAACTGGAGCCGGTTTTCACAGCCTCGCGAGCAAGGCTCATCATCTAACTAGGTGAAGATGAAGCCGTCCTATATAAACAATCTTTGACCGACCTTCTTGGGATATGCTGGGAAGGCAAGGGTCACGGCCGGCTCCCTATGGACCACCGGCAAGCAAATCAATCACACCACACGCTTTGCTTTTCCGACTTACCTTTTACGTCGCGTTCCCAATCTGACCTCTGCCTCTCTGAGGCCATTGATACGATAGCTTGCGACCTCTTCTCTATTCACGGGCGGATGGAGAAACGGACTGACTTTGACTACTAGTTTCAGGGCAGAGTCCGTATTTGTGTGCAATGAGAGCCAATTGCCTCTGGACTGTTTACTAGGGGCGGAGTGTATGTATGTACACACTTTTCATCTCGCTTTTCGTCCTCCGCGTTTGTCATGGACGTACCTGATAGCACATGGTTCAATGGTACCAGAAGGGCGGGCAGCTTTGATGAGGACGAGGGGAAGGCAAAAAGGATGGAGAAGAAGAACAAGAAGAGAGACGATGAAGAGAAACGACTGCTTCATTTTTTTTTCCTACAGTGGAAAGGGGCTGCAGTCGGGATGAAGGGAAGGGCTCGTAGGAGTTGGGCTAGATGTTGATTATCATTGTATTTGTCGTGTCTGACTACCTTTTACCTTACTTTAAAACCTTGCCTTGACAATAAGGGCCTTTTAACCTTTGCCTTGCGGGTTGCTCTTCTCTTTTCGTGAAACTGTTGGAATTTGAGGGAGGGATTGTGAAGAGGGCGGAGGGGGGGGGATAGGCGGGAAGCAAAATAAGGCAGATTCAGACAAGGCAAACCCAAGCAAACCACCATTGTAATTTTTTCCCAATGTACTCTCTACTACTTGTGGGATCGTGTGTGATTGTAATAGTAGGTCTTTGGCACTCATTAGAGACATTTTGCGCCAAAACCAGAAGACGCCTTTAGTTTCTTCGGTGATATACTATGTGTATATGTATACGAATAGGGTAGCTTGAAGAGTAGATGGGAGCTGATACTACTACTGGACTGCTAACTGAGCAAAACAGATTAACAGATGTCTTGAGGCATGATTCGATTTCGTTGCTGTCTTGATAGATGGTGTACTCCAAATGGGTTAACTGATGTATTCAAATGGGTTAAATGATGTATTTCAATGGCCATGATCCAAGTATAAATCTAGCATTCCATTCCATCTTTCGTTAGATGCATACCCTTCATGCGTCCCTTCCAACATGTGGTTTGTTCATTTTATATATCCTTCAACTCCCAAACTCCCCCTTCAAGTTTTCATGAAATCATGTGAGTAGTATTCTCCATCCCCATCCCCGTCCGCTCTCCTGATTTTCCCCTCTTCTTTTAACCCCCCCCGGCCCCCCCATCAAATGGTGAAACTAAACATGTGATGAGAATGTCATATCACAAGGCCTGTGTAGAGAAAGGGGGCAAGACCCCTCTGCTTAGATGTCTTCAACAGCACAGTTGGGGTGCAAAACATAGACGACATTCATAGGCGTAGAGGGCCCAGCGCCCTCGGTCAGACCTTCGCCCCTGAGCGCCATGAGGATGTTTTCCTATAGAGCGGTTGTGATTAGTGAAAATTCGTCGCTTAAAAGGTAAAAAGAAAGGAAGAAGAAAAAATCTCACCTTGACCATCTTTTTCAGAACCATGTTCGCAAGAGTCTTCTCCCGGTGGTAGTCCTCCTCGGTCTCCATCTCGGCTTCCTTCTGCTCCAGGTACCAGTTGATCAGAACGCTGCCCTCGACACCGTCTCCAGTGCCAGCCTCATCCTCTGTGATCCGCTGGACAAACATGTTGACCATGTGGATGTACGTGTCGTAGGAGATGGTATACTTCTTCTTCGTGGCAGCAGCGGAGTGGGATACGCCGTCCTGACCCTCTTCGCCCATAGCAGCGTCGCCTTCGTGGTCCTGTGCAGGGGTGGTTCCAGAAGCCGCATCCGCCGCGCGACGGAGCGTTTCGCTGTCTTCCTGGACGTCTTCCGTCTCCTCAATCTCAATGTCGTCGTGCTCGACAGAAATGATACTTTGGCGAAGGAGGTTATAGGCCTCAATGACCATGTCGGAGGAGATTTCCTCGACGCAGTTGACCTTGGCAATAGCTTCAGACAGACGAATCATACTTTCGAGCTGACGGACGGTGATTCGGTAAGAGTTCTTGCCGGCACCACCCTGGGCATCGTCGGCCCGGAGCTCCTTGTACTTTTCAACAAGGCACTCCCTTGCCTCATCCGTAAACTCGGGGCGGAATGTCTTTGCAAAGCGAATGTACCGCTGCAGCTGTTCCGTGCTAAACTCGGGCGTGATGGCCTCGTCGCGTTGCTGGTGAACCCTGACGATGTGCTCGGAAAGGTGGCGATCGAACTGCTCGGAGCACTCATCCAGCACGACGAAGAACAAGTCGAAACGAGACATGATGGGTGCCGACATGTTGATGTTGGCGCGCAGAGTGGTCTTGCGGTTGTAGCGGCCTCCCACAGGATTGGCCGCAGCCAGGATGCTTGTGCGCGCGTTGAGCGTGGCCTGGATGCCGGCCTTTGCAATGGAGATGGTCTGCTGTTCCATGGCTTCGTGGATGGCAACCTGATCCGCAATGTCCATCTTGTCAAACTCGTCAATGGCGCAGATGCCGTTGTCAGCAAGCATGAGCGCACCGGCCTCAATGGTAAACTCTCCCGTTTCCTCGTCCTTGACAACGGCAGCCGTCAGACCGGCAGCCGACGAGGCCTTGCCGCTGGTGTACACTGCACGAGGAGCAAAGGAGCACACATATTTCAGGAACTGCGACTTGGACGTCGAAGGGTCTCCGACAATGCAGATGTTGATGTCACCTCTCAGCTGCATTCCTTCCGCGGTTGTCTTGCTGACACCCGACATGAGCTGCAGCAGAATGCCCTTCTTGACTACCTCATGACCATACACGGCCGGCGCAATAGAGTTGACCAGTCGGGAGTAGATGTGGTCTCCGTGGACCATGGATCGCAGGTCTTCAATTTCCGCCCTGTTCATGGACGCTAGGACGGCAGCCTGCGCTTCCTCGACAGATTCAGCACCTTCAGAGGTGTTGCCGCCGTTCTGAGTGAGAGCGTTGACTACATCGATGGCGCCGCTGGCAGCAGATTGGCTGGTGGAGGTGGTATCAGGAGCAACCATGCACGCGAGGAATGCCAGGCGATACGTCAAGTCTCGGACTCCGAGAGCCTTGAGGCCGGTGATGCCGTTGCCTCCAACGTCAGCACCACGAGGGGCGCCGCGATCGTCACGAACGGCCGTGGGTCGCAGGCCAGGCAGGCCGAGCTGGCTGACGTCTGGTACCACGATCAAGGCACCTGTGAAGACGCACTTCTCACCCGCCTTGGCACGGTCGACAATTTCGCCTCTCAGGATGACGTCCATGGTGCGAGGCATGCTACCCGTGGGGATCTCGGAGCTGTTTTCCTGGATGCGGACCTTTTGCCAGTCGACAAAGGTGCTATGTCGAATGTCCAGCTGCCACGAGACTCTGTTCTGACAAGTCTGGTTGGGGCATTGAGTTGGTTCGGTGTATCGAAAAGTTTGCTCGACGTTGGGGACGACGGCGCGACAGGCCTCGCAGACAAATGTGGCCAGAGACAACTCAGGCCGCACCTCCGAGGTTCTCGTAACAGTGCCGGAAATGGAGAGCAGCTGGCCGATGTTGGCGGCTCTCAGGGCTCGAATACGCGAGACAAGAGGGAGGTTGTAAAAGGCAATGGAAAACAGCTTGTCCGTCTGCTGGTGCTCGTTCTTCCGCTGAGTATAGTCGCTTTGTGTTCCTGAGCCGTACTGGCTGGCGCCAGAGGTGCTCAGCTTGCTGGATGCGGTGGCTTGTCGGTGCTCGCGGAAGTATTGCGGTTCGTATTTCGCAATCATGTTGTGGAGTGCGGCGGTGAGGAAGGGGAGGAATCGATAATACTGCCGGATGACGCCGTCTGCCAAGCTTCCATTCTCCCAGGAGGCGAGGTGTTTGTAGTCGACGTAGAATGTGGAGAGCTGATATGTGCGCATGCCCCTGATCTGGGCAATGTAGTACTTGTTGGTTGTGACGGCGCTCGACGGGGGGGCGCCTGACGAGAGGGGATCTTCGATGAAGCTATCGCCATGGGAGACATTGTTCGGTTAGTCAACAAGTCAGGAGCAAAGAATCAAGACTAGTTTCTGAGATGGTTCTCGGTTCACTCACTTTTCAATGAAGCCCTCAAAGTGGTCCTGGACCAGCAGGCCGATCCGGTCCTCGACCTTGGGGATGCTGGCAGCATCGGGGATGCGAGAGCTGCGCGGCAGCTGGTCGTCGGCAAACCCGTCGCCCTCGCCATAGTCGTCGCGAGGCGTTCCCATGTTCTCCGAGGGCGGCCCGCGCGGACGAGCTGACGAGGACGAGGGGAAGCCTCCAGGGCGTCGCGGGGCCAAGCCGTCCGACATCATCAGGCTGGGTTCGGCAGGGGTAGCCATTGGGGGCTTATGGGAGGAGGAAAACGGCCTATAAGATGTGTGGTGAAGCCGTCAGGATATGCATCAGCTGTGAGACGAGGCGTTGAGGGTAAATGCTGATGCAAGTGCAAGATTGCAAAGGGCGAGGCTGTCGAGGATGATTATCGTTGCCGAACCCGATTTTGGAGGTTTGGAGGTGGGATTCAATTTCATGCTCCAGTTGGGTCGCAAAGCCTTTGGAGGGGAGAACACGCGTGGGACCGCGTCGAGGTGCCCTGTTCAGGACTAGCGCGACGCGAAATTTAATTGATTGCATCTGGCAGTGCTGCTCTATCTAAGGTACCAGTATGAAGCTTGACAGCTCAACGCTACGAATAAGGTATATCACGATGCTACCATTCGCGGCCTCACATTATGGTCCAATGCTTCATTTCTATAACTGTTTTTTTCGTGTGTTCTATATGCTGGCCTTTTAATCACAACTGTTCGACTTCTTCTGTACAGAATTGGGTATCATCAAATATCGTTAGCAGGTGCCAATAGCCCATCTCTTCCCGTCTCACTTCGCTCTCATTTGGCATCTCCTTTCTCCTCCTCTTCGTAGGAATGAATCTGTAGACAACACCATCTGATCAGCCGATTGTTCCCTGGCAATAGATTTGAGAGCCAACTTACACTTTCCGCCACCTTGAACCACTCCTCCACGCTTCTCAGGTAGGGATCAGACAAAGCATCAGCAACAGCATCATGCGACCACACAACCATCTTGTCGAATTTCGTCATGACGTGCATTGTCCCTAGTCTGGGAGCTGACCCTTCATCTCCGTCTTCTCCAATCATGACGACGTCTGGCTGCTCGGCAGGTTCCGGCGCATCGTCTTTCCGTTGAAGAACAACGCCTCGATAGCCTTCAGGTAGCGAGGCCGTCTTTCCCTGAAGCCTCCTGCCCCGAAGATAGGCAGTCTTGATGCCATCTGAAGAATGAGAAGATATGGCTTCAGTGTCATGATCCTGACCAATTCTTATGGAATTGTGAGACTCACTCTCATCGACACTGGGATTCCAGTAAGCTGAAGATGGCCCGGTTGGGCCGGTGTGCTGGACACGGCAGGGCAGCAGGTTGACAATGCCTTTGCCAGCAGCGGCCTCGTCTGTTCGGATCTCGAGCATCGGCTGTTCAGACATCCTGTATCGAGAGTAGGGTTTGTGTGATAACGAGGTTCTAAAGTGACACTGATAACACTCCTGACCGTCAGCAACAACCGTTATTTCATTCCCGTCGGTAAAACCTGGGTCGCGTCTTCTGAGCAAGACGCGCTGTAGCTTAATGGGATTCCTTATCTAATCTGAGATCTGGAGCTGCGATCTGGGCGTGTTCACGCGCGCTAACCTCAAAATAGCACTGGTCAAAGGGTCTGCCGGTAATAGCACTTCACTTTGATCTTGTATCACCATTTGCCATTCGACTGATTTGATTATTGATTGAAGTATGTTTAATATCTTGTTCGTTTTGATGGAGTCATCTTTTGAATATATATATACAATGCATGTTTCCTCCATCAATGCCTCGTCTAGAGATGGTTGCTACCTAGGTACATTAGTGGAAAAGGGACCAGGTTAAGGTAGGTAGGTACCTTACTATCAGTGGTCCTTACCATTCAACACTCAGATCTAGACCTAATCAGTATCAGGCAGTTTACTCTTAGTGACCGACTGCTTCTGCTGGTCTGGCCAACGCGGTATCATCTAGAACATGAGGTGCCTTCGCTCAAGCTACTGGTGATTTCACCTCCACAGTGGGATATGTGGGAGAATATTGACTTGGCCGACGGGTGCCAATCCATCAGGGGTTGGGGAAGGCGTGTGGTTCCATCACTTCTTCTTCTTCTTCACACGAGTTGTGCCATTGTGTGCTGGCTGCTTGGGAGCAAATCGGTTGGCGTGGTCCATATCGAAGCCAGACTTGTGCTTGCGAAATAGCAGCATGGTAGCCCTTGCGTCTTCGGTGCTCGAATGCGGCCCGCTTTGAATGTCAATGCCGAGAATCTCTCTCGCCAGGATCTTGAGCGCCGGTTTCCGCCCGTGTCCATACTTTTTGAAGGCCGGGTACTTGGCGGTATCGCGAATGTTCCTTGGAGAGTGCGAGAGCTTGAGAGCATCCAGATCGTGCTTGATATCGTGTCCAATGAGGATCCTGTCCTTGAGAATAGCATCGACTTCTTTCTGCACCTCGTCGAAATCCCTTGCGAATCTCATCTCTTTCTGCGAAATGCCGCTGACTGCCGTTCTCCAGTTGGTGACACGCTCCCTTGGCTTCACATACGAGTCGTAGACTTGCCGCCCGTGGAAGTCAACGATGCTGATGCGTGCCAGCGCTGATTCATGGCCGCCGGGGCCGACGCCTACCATCTCGCAATCGATGGCGACGTACTTTCCAATCTCGAGGCCCTTTGTGAGGCCGTGGTTCACTTTGTCCTTCTCGGATGCCAGCATCAGCGAGTTTCCCTTGACACCGAGACCGTACGCCTCAGCCAGATCCTCCGCCGAGACTCCATGATCTTTTGCCCAAATTGCCAGCGACGGAGACGGAGTTTCCTTTGGTTTTTCGACTGCTGTTGAGCTCTGGACACCGCCCATTCTATGTTTGCGGTGTTGCACCCCTGACGTCTTGTTTTTGGAAGTTTCCAAAGCCTTCTTTTTCGCTGGAGGTTGTAGCTGCTCTTCAGCTTTTCGCTTAGTTGAAGGGTTGGAGGCGGCCTCGGCCTTGAGTTGAGCTTGAAGTTTTTTCCAGTTGGATGAAAGCCCGGCCATCCTTTCATATAGGGGCCTGAAAGAGCTTATTGTTTATGAGGGTTGCAAGAAAGCGCATCATGCGTCGGTGATACAGAGCGGAAAAAAAAAAGCTTCAGATTCTGCTCAGGCAATACCTATGCTTGCGTGCGATGCGTGTTAATCTCAATCAAGGGTCTTGAAATTGATGGTTGAAATCAATCAACCAGTCAGTCAATCACGCACCTTGCCTTATCGGATTATTAAGCTTTCACCGCCTGCTTAGAAAAGCCAAGAGCTGGCCAGAAACATGTGATGCAGCCGCTAAAATCGCAATATTCTGCCGGGCCCCTCTGGATCGCATTTCTTGCCTCTTCCCATCTCTCCTTCATCCATTTCTCGACCATTTCGACTTTTCCATCATGGCGGGCGGCACGCCTCACGGCGAGCCATCGGTGGGCTCCGATACGCCGCGCCAAAAGGGCAAAGCAACACCAGAGACGCTCAAGACGGGCTGCATTGCCTGGGTCGAGAAAGACGGCCAGCCGCGACGAGCCGAAATCCTCAGCATAAAAGAAACCAAGTCGGGGAAGCACTATTACTGCAACTTTGACAATTTCAACAAGCGTCTGGACGAGTGGGTGCCGGTCGCGCGCATCGACTTCACCCAGGACGTCGAGTGGCCAAATCCCGAGAAGGACAAGCCGAAGGACTCGAAATCCAAAAAGGCGCCGTCAGGCCAGCCCAAGAAGTCGCAAGTGTCCAAGAAGTCGCAGAAGCGGCCGGGGAAGCGCGAACAGTCTGTGAACAGCGAGGCGACGACGCCGCATCCATGGACGGGTAAGTGTCTAGTCATTTCTGGCGCTTTGATGTCCTTCAACAGCTCCTTCGAGGACTTGGCCCCTCCCAATGGATCGCTGACCACCTGATCCTCACATCAACAGAGTTTGTCGATTCGCAAGGCCAGCGGAAATCTTCATCGGTCGGACCAGATGCCGAATCTCAGGTAAACGGCAGCTTCGAAGCGAGCGCGACACCAGGCGCCGGTGACGACTTGGCTGCGGACGAAAAAGAGGAAGAGGCGAAGAAGGAAGACCATGGTTTCAGCCGAGAGGAGGAAATCGAGAAGCTGAGGACGTCGGGATCGATGACACAGAACCCGGCCGAGATATCGCGAATACGAAACATATCAAAGGTTCAGTTTGGGAAGCACGACCTCTTCCCCTGGTACTTTTCGCCGTACCCCGAGGTCTTTGCGCTCGAGGACGTGATCTACATTTGCGAGTTCTGCCTCAGCTACTACGGGGACGAGTTTGCCTTTATGCGACACCGAAAGAAGTGCACGCTGCAGCACCCCCCGGGTAACGAGATTTACAGAGACGATTACGTCTCGTTCTTCGAGATTGATGGGAGGCGGCAGCGGACGTGGTGCCGCAATCTGTGTCTTTTGTCCAAGATGTTCCTGGACCACAAGACGCTCTACTACGACGTGGACCCCTTTCTGTTTTATGTCATGACGATGCGGACGGACAAGGGATGCCACATTGTGGGATACTTTTCCAAGGAAAAGGAGAGCGCAGATGCATACAACGTGGCCTGTATCTTGACTCTCCCGCAGTACCAGCGGAAAGGCTATGGCCGTCTCTTGATTCAGTTCTCGTACGAGCTGTCCAAGATTGAAGGCAAGCTGGGCTCCCCAGAGAAACCACTGTCCGATCTTGGTCTGCTGAGTTACCGTCAGTACTGGTCTGAAAATATTCTCGACTTGCTGCTGGGATACAATGAGCGGGATGAGAAGGTGACAATCGAGGCCATTTCTTCGGCGCTGGCGATGACGACGCAGGACGTTGAGCATACGCTGCAAGCCATGAAGATGCAGGTGTACCACAAGAGCGACCACAAGATTGTGATACCGGAGAGGCTGATCCAGCAGCGGGAGAAGCAGAAGCAAAAGCAAAAGAGGGTTCTTGATCCGTCCAAGATCCAGTGGAAGCCGCCGGTATTTACAGCATCCAGCCGTACGTGGGGGTGGTGATGCTGTTGAGGTGGTTGGACTGGGGTTTGGAGCATCGTCTTGCTGCCGGTTTGCTCAAAAGGGATCATCACTCAGGGTTGAAGCCTTTTTTTCGGGTTGAAGCTCAGCTTTCCCCCTTGTTCATCGCTTTGGCTTCCTTGTTGTGTGAGTGACGATGGTTATCAGATGGATCAATACCCTCCCTGTACAAATTAATGCATAATGAACAACACATATTCGATCGCTGCTTGCTTTCTCCCCCTGAAGTCAACAAAGTGACATGCCATCTCTCTGTATCCTAGCAATTTATCATTCCTCCAAGTGAGAGCTCCATCAATGCTGACGTCTTAGCAATATTCGAGATGCAGTGACAATCCGAAGCCCGATAATGACGTAGGTAGGTACTGCTGCGGATTTGGCGGCCGGAGTCTTTCAATTGTAGCTCCAGGGCCAGCTTAGCAGTGCAGCTCCACAGCAGCCTGGGGTTGCTGTAGTGGGGGATCTGTAGCGCATGCAGGGCCTAAATTGCCACTGGACATGGATGGATAGTTCAGACGAACCACCTAAAGCCAGCACGATCCTTAGGAAGGCTTGACAACTGCCACTACCATCCCACCACCAAACCACCAAACATCTTCCCCATGATCTCATCATACAGAACCCACCACTGGGCGATATAAAAAGACTGCCGAATTGGCTTCCTCTCGGCCAACATGCCTCTCCAGCAGGTACTGGCCGCCGCCCTGCTCGGCTTCGGCGCAGTGACGCCCGTCCACGCCCAGGGCCGAGGCGACTGGCAGGCTCCGCTGCCCGACTACTACGCCGACATCTGCCCCGACTATGCGCTCTACTCAACCTATCCGCAGTTCGTTGGCCCCTCTCCCGTTGATTGATTGCACGCTTCAGAAGCACCTGACAGGCGCAGTCGTCCCTACAGCTCGGGCCCGCACGCCCTGCCCTACCAGCGGCCGAACCCGCGGTGTCGCACGTTCCAGTCGGACGAGATCGAGAGGGTCATTGAGGAGGTGACGTCGAGGATAAAGGACCCCGACCTGGCGCGGCTCTTCGAGAATGCGTTCCCCTCCACGACGGACACGACGGTCAAGTTCCACACAAAGGGCGGCAAGGACGCGGGCTTTGTCCCCGTCCAGGGGCCTCCGCTGGAGGACGGCGCGTGGGAAGGGCCGCAGTCGTTCATCATCACGGGGGACATTGTTGCGGAGTGGCTGCGGGACTCGACGAACCAGCTGCGGCCGTACCAGGCCCTGGCCAAGAAGGACCCGGCCATCTTCGACCTGATTGTCGGCGCCATCAACACGCAGTCCGAGTATGTCATCCAGTCGCCGTACTGCAACGCCTTCCAGCCGCCCCCGATCAGCGACCTGTCATCCACCGCCAACGGCCAGGACGACGTGGTGCATCCGGCGTACGAGCCGAGTGTTGTCTTTGAATGCAAGTACGAGCTGGACTCGCTGGCGCACTTCTTGGCGCTGGCCAACGACTTTTACGATCACACGGGGGCGACGGACTTTATGACCAAGCGGTGGCTTCGCGCCGTCGAGACGCTTCTGGTGGTGCTTGAGCAGCAGTCGGAGCCGACGTTCAACCCGAAGACGGGCCAGTACGAGCGGAATGCGTATACCTTCCAGCGGTGGACCAATGCCGGCACGGAGACGCTCAATCTGCAGGGCGTTGGGAATCCCCTGAATAGCGGGACGGGACTGGTTCGGTCGGCGTTTCGACCGAGTGACGATGCGACTATTCTGGGCTTCTTCATTCCGGCGAATGCCATGATGTCTGTGGAACTGGGCCGGGCGGCCAAGATGCTCCAGGCGGCACGCAACAAGGCTCTGGCGGCCAAGATGAGCCAATGGAGCGAGAAGCTACGTGCGGGAGTGCTGGAGCATGGCATCGTCAAGCACAAAAAGTACGGCGACGTGTTTGCCTACGAAGTTGACGGGTATGGCTCTTCCATCTTGATGGACGATGCGAACTATCCGTCGCTGCTGGCTCTGCCCGTCATGGGATTCTGCGACGTCGACGACCCGGTGTACCAGAACACGAGGAAGATGATCTTGGACAAGCAGGGGAATCCGTACTATCTGAAGGGCAAAGACTTTCACGGAATTGGAGGTATGTTCTTTGTTTGACGGCCAGGCAAAACGACGGCCAGGACTAATTTTGGGTGTCATCCTATAGGACCGCACATTGGCTTGAAGAATGCCTGGCCCATGAGCCTGCTGCTTCAGGCGCAGACGTCCAACGACGACGACGAGATCAAGCAGTGCCTCGACCTGGTGTTGAACGCGTCCCCGCGCGGCCTCATCCACGAGAGCGTTGATGTCAACTACGTGAGCCAGTACACGCGGAGCTGGTTTGCCTGGGCGAACGGCGTGTTTGCGGTGACGATTCTGGATCTGGCCAAGAGGAAGCCGCACTTGGTGTTTGGGCCGGGGGCGGCGCCGTATGAGATGTGAAGAGTGAAAGGGAATATATTCTCGTGTAGTTGATTCTGTGCATTCTTGAATCCAAATTTAGACGCCTTGTGCATTTTGTAAGAGTTGACGATGCAGCTTCTCGTCCATTTGCAGTGACAAATGAGGCGTGTAAGGTAAGGTATGTAGTACTTGTATAAGGCAAGCCTCGCACCCCCACACTTGCAATGAGCTTCAACTCTCCACACTCCACCCTTGACTCACTTAGTAGTTGCTGTCATGTAACTCATCATAGACGGCTTATGGAAGTAAAGACCAAGGGAGCATTTCATTGTTTGAGCTCTCATTGTTCATATCAGACGTTTCTCAAGAGCTACACAGCCGCGCTATGCGACTGCTTTCGCACCAGCCACGACTCATCATCAGACCCTCTCCACCAAGACACGCCCATCATCACCCGCATCCTCACAGCTTCATCAACCCCCCCCTCTCACCCTCACCCTCACCCTCACCCTCACCCTCACCCTCACCCTCACTCAAACCAAACCACTCACTCTCCCGCCGTCTCACCACCTCAGCCACCACCAAAATGTCTCCCTCGTCACCTCCCTCCCCGCCAACCAAACACACGAAACAACAAATCAACCTCCTCCGCGGCTGGCCCTCCCCCGCCCTCCTCCCCGCGGCTCTCCTCTCCTCCGCCACCCAGCGCATCCTCGCCTCGCCCGCCACCAGCGTGCCCCTCCTGCAATATGCCCCGGACGAGGGCTACCAGCCGCTGCGCGAGCGCCTAGCCGAGTGGCTGGCCCGGCATTACGGCGTCGAGCCGGACGCGAATCGGATCTGCGTCACGGGGGGCGCGAGCCAGAACCTCGCGTGCATCCTGCAGAGCTTCACCGACCCCGGGTGGACGAGGGCCGTCTGGATGGTCGCGCCGTGCTATCATCTTGCGGGGGCCATCTTTGAGGATGCCGGGTTTCGGGGGAGGCTGAGGGCGGTGCCGGAGGATGAGGAGGGCGTTGATGTTGGCGAGCTGGAGAGGAGGATGGAGGCGTGGGAGAGGGAGGAGGAGCAGAAAGGGGGGGTTCGTCCGGAGGTGAGTTCTTCTCTCCATATGAGCGTGATACGAGACTGCTACACCGGGGGAGGGGGGGATATTTGATCCAAGAACTCTTGGGAATACAGGAGCTAACCCCTTTCCCACTACCCCTTCACCCTCACAAGCCATTCAAAGACCCAGGCCCCTTTCGAAAGCTCTACCGCCACGTCATCTACGCCGTCCCAACCTGCTCCAACCCCTCGGGCAAAACAATGTCCCTCGACCGCCGCCAGGCCCTCGTCCGCATCGCCCGCAAGCACGACGCCCTCATCATCAGCGACGACGTCTACGACTTTCTCCAATGGCCCCTCTCCTCCAGCGGCTCTCCTCTTACTCCCGAGCGCCCGCCGGAAATGAGGCTGCCCCGGCTGTGCGACGTGGACATGGCCATGGGGCGCGCGGACAATGACCCCAAGGGGTTCGGCCACGCCGTGAGCAACGGGTCGTTTAGCAAGATTGCCGGCCCTGGAGTGAGGACGGGCTGGGCGGAGGCGACGCCGGCGTTTGCGCTGGGGTTGTCAAAGACGGGGTCGAGCATGTCTGGTGGTGCGCCGAGTGGGCTCTGCGCGGGCATGATGGCGGATTTGCTGGAGAGCGGGGAGCTGGTTGATTTCATCGAGACCAAGACGAGGCCTGCGCTGCAGAGGAGGCATAGGATCATGATGGATGCGGTGAGGGAGCATCTGGAGCCTCTTGGGGTGGTGGCGCGGGAGTCGAGTGGAACGGGGGAGGAGGGCGTCTACGGCGGGTATTTTGTGTGGCTTACGTTGACGAGGGGGCCGACGGCCGTGATGGTTTCGGACGCGGCGCTCAAGGAGGAGAATGTCATTGTGGGGAGGGGCAACATGTTTGCTGTGAAGGGGGATGAAGACGGGGCGAGGTTTGATGAGAATATCAGGCTGTGTTTCTCTTGGGAGCCGGAGGAGGATCTGGTGGAAGGGGTCAAGAGGCTTGGGGAGCTGATTGGGAGGATGCAGGGCGACACGGATCACTATGAGAGGCTGGCGGCTCAGACCAAGGACAGCGATCGTCCGGTGAGCAGTTGGGTATGAGTTGGGCTTTGAGGACAACAACAGAATCTAACGTAGAGGAAGTCATCTTGGGACAACGTGGTCATATATATATTGTATAGACGGCTTGTAAGAAAGAAATAAGGGTGCTCATGAGCAGCTACTTTTTGGAGAAAAACGACATGATGCTGCCTTGGCTTCCGCCCTTCCCAGCCGCTCCCTTCTTTGCCTTCTGAGTCGAAGAAGCCGGCGTTGGTGTAGGCGTTGCTTTTGCAGCTGCTGGTGTTGGTGCAGGAGCCTCGTCTTCGGAAAACGACTCCCACGCAGCCTCCTGAATGGTCACTACGAACAAAAGTCAGTAACGCTTTTTTTGGCCCGCAAGTAATTAGCGACAGCAACCTACCCATGTATCCCTGGTCGTCCAGTATGCGCTTCTTCTTCATGACCCGTCGCTTGCCCCTCCGGCGGCCGTTGCTGGAATTGGACACCACCTCCGTAGGCTCCTTTTCTTCCTTTGGTTGCTGTTCGGGCTCGGGCTCGGGTTCAGGTTCGGGTTCTGGCTCTGGCTCGGATCCCTCTTCCATCTCCTCGTCTGATTGCTCGTATTCCTTCTTGGCCGCCTCCTTGACATCGTCTTCCGGATCCTGCATCATGCGCAAAAGCGCCTCTTCACGCTCTTTCCTTGTCCTCTTCAGAGCCTCTAGATCGACAGTCTTGAGAGGAGGAAGCACATCTTCCTCGTCGGCTTCGCCATCGTCAGACAAAACCATGCTGGTGTCCTCGTCCTTGGCTTTGGGCTCAGGCTCAGGCTTCGGCTTCGCCTTGGGAGGCTTCGCCGCCGCCTTGGCAAAGGACTGCATGATTCCCCCGGAGGCGCCGCGCTTTAGCGTCGCGGGAGGCTTCTTGCCGGCGCTGGACGACGGAGTGGCTTCGGCGGAGGTAGATGGGGTTTCTTTGGCCTCTGGCTTGGCCTTTTCCGGTTGACTGGGCTTTGGCGTGGCCGCCTGTGACTCCTGCTTGGCGACGGGCTTGGGCGCACTCGGGGCCGGGATTTGGGGGCGGCCTTTTCGGTCTCGCTTGCGGGCCTGGGGATTGGTGATGATGCCGTATGTGTCGAATGCCTTTGCCGTGTCTTCTGCATTTCTGTATTCGGAGAGCGATCTTGACACGTCGGAGAGCATGGACAGGTCTCTTTGGGGAAACGGAGCCAGACTGTAGATGTGGAACGAAGAGACTTGCTCGTATTCAGCCAGCACCTCTACACGGCCTTGTTAGCAAAGTCAAGGCACCACCAATGTCGTTCACTGTAAGTTTCGAGACCTTTCAGCTTGTCCTCGGCCACGATAGTGACCGTCTTGGTGGGCACATGGTCGGAAAGGGGCTCATGCTCTGGCGCTGAGCCGTCCATGTCGGTGTCGCCAGAGTCTGGCTGTCTGTCTTGCGCCTTGGAGCCATAGATGAGGTAGGTGGCATGCACTGAGCCCACCTTGGAAGCATTCTGACTCTTGTAGAACTCATAGAGCTTCCTGACTTGGAAATTAGACAGGTAATGTGAGAAGTGAGAAAAAACTAGGGGTTTTCATTACTGTTTGGCGACATTGACCCGGATGTTGAGCGCTCTGCTCAAGAGGCGATATGTCACCTACACCAGACGCGGATTGTCAGGTTCGCTGTTCATGATGCTAGAAACTGCCATTATACATACCGGCACCTCTTCGCTCAGCAGCCGGTCTGAAAGGTACTTTTTGGCCTCGTCCATGATGCTCTGCGTCTTCTCTGTGGCTGTATGAGAAGAAGACAATAGAGGCAATATGCCAGCTCGTTCCCAGCTTACTGGATGGACCGATAGCTCGCCCTCCAAAATGGGCTGCACGCGTTTGGCACTTAACACGAACTCACGTGCCTGCCGATTGGACTTGCAGGGTTTAATGCATATATGCATGTCCACCACCACCACTACCTAGGTAATGCTCCCAGACAAGCAAGTCCGTCGATGAGGTATGCATCTAATCGAACTATCTCTCTAACCAGCCGTTTGCCTCTCCATCTACGCGTCAGTCGCGACGGCGCATTCTGGACAAAATCTCCCAAAGTTGGCCGTCTCTCGTTGTTATCTAAAAGTCACTGTTCAGCTCGTCTCTGTATAGCGTCACTGCTTTGATGCCTGAGTATTAATTGTTGTGTCGGTCATAGAACTGCGCCTTTGCTCAGCCTTCACCAACAAATCATAGACCAAGCCCCCCCCCCCCTTCTCCCCTCTCTTTTGGATATCCCAATTCCTCGTTCCAAGAAGCGCAACCGCCCGTTCTGAATGGCCTCCGACGATGTCCCCGACTCAACCGACTGGCTCTCGACGCCGCTCTCCGGCTTCGCCGCCGTCGAGGCCGCCCTGCGCTGCCAGGTCTGCAAGGACCTCTACAAGACGCCCATGATCACGTCCTGCTGCCACACCTTCTGCTCCATCTGCATCCGGCGGGCGCTCTCCAACGACGGCAAGTGCCCCATGTGCCGCGCGACCGAGCAGGAGCTCAAGCTGCGCAGCAACTGGTCCATGGAGGAGACGGTCGAGGCCTTTTCCAAGGCGCGGGCGGCGGCGCTGAGCCTTGCGCGGAGCCAGCAGGACGGGGCGAGGACGAGTCGGTCGCCCAAGAGGAAGGCCGCTGGGGAGGTGGTAGCTGAGGCGCATGAGCCCAAGAGGTTGCGGACGTCGGCGAGGCTGAGCAGGAACCGGGGCGAGGCGTCAGTGCCGGTTACGCCGTCTGAGGAGGTGGAGGAGCAGATTGTTCCCGATTCGAACAATGACGAGGAGGACGAGGACTATGTGCCGGATGCTCGTAAGTCGTAGATGTATCATGACTTTCAGAATCCCAACCCTCGCTAACAGCTCACTTTTACAGCAAACGGCCTTGTCCCCTGCCCCTTGTGCAACAGGAGGATGAAAGAGTGGCAGGTCTTTGGCCACCTGGAAACCTGTCCCGGGCCATCAGCAGCAAGTCCTTCAAGAAACACAATCACCCCAGATAACCCGTCATCCTTTGCGCAATCCCACCGAAAACAACAAAAGACACTCGAACGCCTTCCTCCCCTCAACTACTCCATGCTCAAAGAACAAGCCCTGCGCAAGAAAATGTCCGACCTCGGCATCTCCAACCAGGGTCCTCGCATCCTCCTCGAAAAGCGCCACAAAGAATGGCTCACCCTCTGGAACGCAAACTGCGACGCAGCGGTACCGAAGAAGCGCTCCGAGCTGCTGCACGATCTGGATGTCTGGGAGCGGACGCAAGGGGGGCGGGCGCCGACGATGGGAAGGGTCGCGCAGACCGCGGCGGTGATTAAGGATAAGGATTTCGATGGCGCGGCGTGGGCGGCGAGGCACGATTCTTCCTTCAGGGATTTGATTGCGAGTGCGAGGAGGAGTCGGCAGGAGACGACGAAGAAGATGAAGACGGAAGAGGTGGATAAAGGGGTGGAGGGGGCGTCCGAAAGCTCAACGCGGAGGTATTCAGAACCGGTGGTGATTTCGTCTTCTCAACCACTCGAGGACGGGCCAACGACGGCTGATAACGTATCGGATCAACATCGAGAGAGGAGATCGGACGCAGCGCCGGGGTTGGAGTCGACAATGCCCCCTTCTCATGCTGAGCCAATGGCTTGGGAGCTGTCTCAACGACCATTAGCCTCGACGCCGTCAGCAGAGGGGGCGAGTGCGAGGATAGTGGACGCAGACAAATACTGAGAGAGTGCAAATCCAATACATACACAACTCTAAAGGTTCACTTGATGCACTTGATGAGAAGAATGAGCAATGGCAACAACGCCTGGCCAGAGTCTTACCCGACTCCAAAGCAACATGAATTTCGCTGAGATCCCATTATAAAGTGTAAAACATCTCGTTACATGCGCCGTGTTCCCAATCCTGACAGTCCTTGTAGTATCCTCTTTCTTCAGAAAAGATGACATCGCCAGCTCATGTTCACCTCCCGAATCTCGCCTGCTGTTCAAGCACCCCACCATTCCCAGTCTCTTCAACCATCGAGCGTCAGATTCGCAATTCCCGTCTCCTTCGTCGGCGATCCTACGCGCTCGGGCTCGTCTCCCGTGGGAACAGCCGGAAGCTCGTTCAGCGCCTTCATAGCCTTGACAGCTCCCTGCTCTTCTTCTCTGCTGCGCTGCTTCTCTTCTCTGGCGCGCTGCTTCTCCTCCTCCTCCTTCTTCTGCTCCTTTTCCAGCGCCTCCAGCTCCTCATCAATCTCCTCCTCGTCCACGACCATGCCCGTGGGCTCAGCCAAGATGGCCGACAGCTCGTCTGTGGCACTCATCTCCTCCCTGAGACGGTCCATTGTGCTTTCGACCTTGTCCACGCCGCCGAGCTGGGCATTGAGGTTCTCGAGCGCGCTGGCGGACGACTCCATGACCTTGACGAGCTGGACTTGGTCAGAGGCCTGCTGCAGTTTCGTGGCTACTGTTTCCAGCTGGTTGAGCGTTGCGTAGCGCGCGGTCAGGTATGATTCGGCTCGTTTCTTCGCCTTGAGGGCGGCTAGGGCGGCGACGCGGTTCTTGCGCAGGACGGCGTTTCTGGCTTCTTGGTCCTGCTCGTCGATTCTCTTGTTAAGCAGATCGATTTGATGCTCCAAGCTGCCCATCAGCTCCTTTATAGACGCCATTGACGAATCCTCTTGCGTGATTCCTCTTGCTTCGCCGCTCGCTCGGATGCGCACGGTCTGGCCGTCGTACTCAATCATGTCTTTGTCTCGAGACAAGAATTTGAGCAACACGTCGGTATCTGTATCGGACAGCCGCTGGTCCTGGCCCAGCACCGCTGCGAACAGTGCCTGAAACTGGCCTCTCGTAAAGACCCGATCATATCTCGGCGCGGTATCACCAATAACCTCCCCCAGCTCGCGACTCGCCGCCTCGACATTCTTCATGACGACATAGTTGCCCTTGGGTATCCTGTCCTCTCCCCTTGCCGGATCAACCACGCCCAACTGCCGCAGCGTCCAGCCCATCACATCCCACGGGATCTGCGACCAGCTGTGCTGATATATGTTGTGGTTCGAGTGCAGAAAGGTCTGCAGCGGGATCAGGTCCTTTTGGGCCAGCGCCTCGTTGATGACGGCGCCGAGGGCCAGCGGCTGGCCGAATTGCTTGCTGGCGAGGGACTTGCGGAGGGATTCGTCGAGATCGAAGACGAGCGCGCTGGGCTGAGAGCCCTGGCGGGCGAGGAGGCCCTCGGAGGCGAGGCGCGCGAGGGCGAGCAGCCAGGCCGAGATGTTGGCCTGGTAGCCATCCGGGTTCAGCGTCTTTTGGGAGCGGAAGTCGGAGTAGAGCGCGGGGAGGCGGGATCTAGCAAGGGGTTCAGTCAGTCAGTCACTGTGTGGTCAACTGGGGCGACGTGGATGAAGATGCGATGGAATGGTAGCCTGGCTGAGAATGCTTGCTTACTTGCGGAAGTTGGCATCGTGCTGGACGAGGTAGTCGGCGAGCTCGCCCATTTCGACAGCCGTTGTGAAGCGATGACTAGATGTTTCTTGCAGCTGCGAGTGAGAGATGGCAAGATTCTTCTGGGGTATCTGACGGATGATGATCCAACGACATCAAGGATAGAGAGGAGCTGCGCAGGAGGCGGTCGTTGTTTGGTTTGTTTTGTTTGTTTTGTCTTTGGTGTTGATGACAGTCGAGGCTTCGAGATGCCGGGGTTGCTATGTTAGTGGATGAAATGCGCTAAGGCACCAGCTGTGTTAGTGCCTGATACAGGTAGTTAGGTACTACTAGTATCTTAGCTAGAAAGTGCCCGGGCATGTGATTCGAGACTCCATGACAACGGTCAATCAACGTCATGGCCCCTATCACTGAATATCCATTTGATGCCAAAGCGATTGTTGCCTTATCTGCATAATGAGTCTGAGGACTTCAATGGAGACTATTCCAGCTTAATCGACAAACAGATACCGCGCTATATTATCAGAGTATGGATCAGGCACACAGCCTGGACCGTGAATCAGTAATCTTTCATATTCACAACGTCCAATCCCTCTATCAAGGAAAGGCCTGCCTTCCATTCATCTTCCCCAAAATCAATGATACAGAATCGCCAAAGCCAAAGCCCGCCATCGTCATCAGCGGTCCATTACCACAGCAGCCAGTCGAAACCAGGTCCGACGAGGAGAAACCAACCCCGGCCAATCATAGTCACATCTTTGCCAACCTCGTGAATTACCCCTTTTTGCCGGGCCTCAGCATACCCAAATCCCGATTCCATTGCCATTGTCCTATTCAAAACCCTCCTGATCTATAGCTTCGTTGGTATCTTTGCTCATGTCCTCGTTGTGCAGTGGTGCCGTCTCCGTCCCGCCCCGTGCTAAGTTGCTCGCTCTCCTCGAGCGTGTGTCCACCAGCGCCTCGCTCTCCTCATCTATGCCACCGTCGACCGCATCTTCCGACATGCCCCTGTCGCGCCCGCCGGAGGGGAACTCCAGCTTCTCCGTTAATTCGCGCTGCAGAGAGTCCATAGTGTCTCGAGCAAAGGCAAACCGGGAGATGCCCTGGCCATGAGGCAGCGTTTCGTACATTCTCTTGGCTTCGTTGAGGCATCGCTGCGCAGGAATGAACTTGGACTGTTGGGCCCAAGCCCTCGCCGCAAAAACGCTCCAGGCTGCTGACTTTCGCCGTCGGCTGCCCCAGCTCCAGCTGCCGACCCCCGACTTGGAGGCATAGCAGATGGCCAGTCGCTCCTTGAGCAGCGCGTCCCCAATGCTGCCCAGGATCTTAGATTCGAGCAGACGAGTGCACCATCGTGCGGCGTCATCGATGCTGGAACCTCCTCTGAGCCGCAGGAGCTCTTGGGCTAGGATCAGAGTCCTCGTCGCTCCATATGGAGAGCTGCACCGTGTGTTGTAAGAATAGAATGCCGATTCCAGCATTTGGTCGACAGTCTCCGCGCGGCTCTTGGAGGTCAACTGCTGTGGCATGAGAAGAAGGCTGATGGCAGCCATCTCGTTCGCTGCGGCGTGGTATTTCCAGGCCTTTGCTTCGCTGAAATCGGATCGCAGCAGGTCATAGGTAGAATGAGCCAGCCTCCAGTCGCGCAGCATAAAGGCAAAGTCAGCCAGCTTGCGCATAATGGCCTCCGACGTATCGGCCCGGTAGTAGCCTGCGGGATCGTAGCCGTCTTTGCTGGTGTTGATGCCGCTTGATGAACTTCGCGAGGTGCTACCAAACCCTGTCCACCTCTTGGACAGGCTCATGAACCTTCCCGTGAGTCCCCTGCGCCTCGACGCCACCTGGTCGTTCCAGATGGTGGCATGCCGCTCCATGGTAGGGATGATGGACTGCGTCACCATCTCGCGAACAAATGTGCGGATGGCCGTAGCGTCTGACTCGAAAATGTACCGTGACGGATCCTCAAAATCTTCATCGTTCTCGCTGCGGCGAATCTCTGCCAACTCTTCGGCAGCCGACATCCAGTCGCTCCGCGGAAGAGGTATGCTGTCATCATCCGTTTCCACACTCTGACTACATCGTAGCCTCAACAAATGGCAATGAAGCCCCAAGTGTCGCTTCATCTGTTCAAACAGTCCCATGGACCTTGCAATATCGTCATTCTCCTCGTCGTGGACCAAAACGTAGTATCTCAGATAATCCCCGTCAACCCATGATGGCAGTCTCCTCTCGCCCTGGCTGGTTTCGCTGTAGAGGCGCCGGAGCTCCTCGATTGGGGCTGCATTGCGCGAGCTGATCGCTATGATGCAGGCAACAGGGTGGGCAAAGGTCTCGTGAGGCGAGATGGGCAAGCCCGAAAGAAGACGGCGCAGGTACAGAGCATAGTATGGAGAGGCTGCCTCGGAATCTGAACCGTTCTTCGTCATGATGCTCTGGTGTGGCATTCCAAGGAACGATTCCTCCGCGTACGAGAGATGGCGCTCAACGACAGCCTCAATGTCGTTGATGGCCGACCTTTTCCCCGCATCCCTTTCTTGCGCCCCATTCTGACTCCGGGGCGCCGGGCCTTGCTGGGATCCGGATGTCAGAGCATCTGGGCGCTCAATGTTCTCACCGAATCGGGTGAAGCGAATAGAAAAGTCCTCCACTATTCGTCCAACGCCGTTGCTGTCCCTGATGTTGACCTTGCCCTGGATGCTCTCGCCAAAGGGCCGTAAGAGCTCCCACAATCCGTGCTGGAAGCCCTTTTCGCGGATCAAAGCCTCGGTATCCCGCGAGGCACAGACGGACACATGAGGCACAAAGGACTTTAGAATGAGATTCAATGGCTCGCTCGGGTCGTCCCCGACATTGTCCGGCAGCCCCCGATTCTGACCAATGTCGAACACGGTGCCCGACAGAACCCGTGACGGAGATCCTCGGCCCGCAGGTGACATGGACCTCGAGCCCGGCGGCGACAGCGTCGAGGCATATAGGGAAGCAGCAGTCGATCGGCGAAAGACGAGCGAGGATTCGGAGGGTGACGTCGGAAACGGCTCGATGGTCGACGTCGAGTGCCTCATGTACGAGAACTTGGCGGCCGAGGCCGCAGCGGGCAACGCCTGAATCGGTTCCGTCGACGATTCATCTTGAGGCCGCGGCATCGAAGGCGACTATTGGGTGCGGTGATTCCGCTGACGCACACGCACACACACACACACACAGACGCACACAAGTTCAGGTTGCTTGCGGTGACTTCATGCGGAACCGGGGGCCAGAGAAGAGTCGCAAGCGTCGGGAGTCAAGGTACGGCTCTGCATGTTCCTCCCTGCGAAACGTGGAGCAGCGCAAGATGCGGATGGGAGAATGTCACTTGGTGTGTCTGATGCCACGGTCGGCTTCTCATGATGTCCAGAGCCCCGACCTGGTAGCATTGCCCCATCATATTGCCGTATCGGGGCGTGACTCGATAGATGCACAGTATGGGCGGAGTGCATATACACGCTACAACGGTGCTCGGCCGCTACTGCAACTGACCTGGTGCGTAATAGTGGACTTTCACTGGATACAACAGCATCATCCAAATCGTTCAAGACGCGCCCGTTGCTGCTGCTGTCATTTTCTTCCTCCTCCTCTTCGCCAATTTCCTATCTCTATTCCTCACAATGCCGTCAGATCTATCAAATTACATTGCATCAAGATACCTTGTTGCCGATCCCAAGCCCTCCAAGAAGCGCAAGCGCAAGCAAGGAAGCGCACCCTCCGGCCTCTTAATCACAGACGACGACGACGACTCAGCCTGGAGGAAAAGTACGACGCAAGACGCCGACGACGAAGATGCGCCCGTGACCGTCGCAGGGGTTACAGCCGAGCTGCGGAAACTGAAAAAGAGCAATTGGAAGACTGTGTCGGAGGCCGGAAAGGCATCTCAGAACAAAGATGACAGCGCCGCGGCTGCGGATGCCATCATTGCGTCGGCGGCTGCTGAGAATGAAGCCGCGAGGGCTGCGGACGACGAGATGCCGGTCGTCGAGGGCGGCGAAGGCGTGGTGAAGATGAGTGACGGTACACATGCCGGGTTGCAGAGCGCCGCGGCTGTTTCTGCACAGCTGAGGCGGCGGCAGCAGGAAGAACGTGAAGAGTTTGAGCGCCACAGGAAGAATGCAAAGGAGGAGGAGACGGTATACCGAGACGCCACAGGTCGCCGCATCGACATATCGATGAAGAGGGCTGAAGCAAGGCGTGCGGCCGCCGAGGCCGAGGAAAAGGAGAGGCTCGCCAAGGAGTCGCTCAAGGGCGAGGTTCAGCAGGAGAACGCGAGGCGGCGCAAGGAAGAGCTGGAGAATGCCAAACTCATGACCTTTGCGCGCACAGCCGACGACGAGGACATGAACAGGGAGCTCAAGGAGCAGCAGAGATGGAACGACCCCATGATGCAGTTTCTGGCAGACAAGGACACGGGTCGGGGTAGCAAAGGCTCGAAGCGACGGCCCGTCTATGCCGGAGCTGCGCCTCCTAATCGCTATGGGATCAAGCCTGGCTATCGATGGGACGGCGTGGACAGGGGCAATGGGCATGAAGCGGAGCGGTTCAAGGCCATTAATCGGCGAGAGCGCAACAAGGGCTTGGACTACGCATGGCAAATGGATGAATGAGGATAGTATGCATCATATTCGAGATACCCCATCTGAACTACTACCTATGGCTGTATAGCCTGGCATCAGAGTGTTTGCCACGTCCGCCCTTGAACCATCCCCTTTTCTGTATACGAGACAGGAAAGTGCTGGATCTGTCTACCATGCCCTATAAATAACAAAGCAGCTCACTCAACGTTCTCTCCTTCACGACCTGGGTTTCACCCAGTTCTCTCCAGACATCACCAGCCTTGAGGTCAAATGTAATGGGCCCCTCCCGTCACTTTCTCCGGCGCAGCCGCTTGTCAGGGCCGTAATCGCAAAGTTGCTTAACCAGTCCAATCCACTCTTGTCTGGGCATACGACCTGGGCCGTCTCCCACACGACCCTGGAATAAGTTGATGAGGTCACCAATCGTGATTCCATCCGCTGGTATCTTCTCCAGAATCTCCCATGGCTCAATAAGCCCACCGGACGAGGGAGAAGAAGCACCTGTCACTGAATGTTAGCTTCGGAGAAAAACACGCGAGATTTGACAGATGTTGGGAAAGCAGCTTACCAGCCGCGGCGGGATTAGGACTGCCAGCCCTGGATGCCGAAGGCGTTCCTCTCGAGCTGCCAACCAGCTTAATCTTCTTCTTCTGCATGGCCCCGTCCGACATCTCTCCTGCCGTGGCTTCTCCGTCACTTCCAGAGCCCGCCGTAATCTTAGGACGCCGGACTGTGGTCTGCGACAGCCCAGGGGTGCCGGGCCGGCTACCAAGAGCCGCTGCGGTAACCTTCTTCTGCTTCTTCCTCGTCGACTCGTTGCCGCTCGACTCGGACAGGGTAGGCGAGCCGGGGCGCTTGAGAGACTTGCCCTTCTTCGCCATCTCGGAGAGCTTCTGCTTGCCTTGCGGGGTGGTTGATCCCTTGGCACCCTGCAGCTTGGCCTTGTCCTTGTCACCCTGTGCATCCTTGGATTCTCCTTCTTTCTTCTCCTCTTCTTTCGCGGCTTCTTCCTCCTCATCCGAGCTATCATCCTCGCTCTAGGGATTGACATGTGAGCAATGGGCAAAGGTCAGCCGTGGCACCAAAAGAAAAAAACTTACCGAGCTGCTCCAAGGGTTAGAACTCGAGTCGTCGCTTTCGTAAATCTCTTCTCGATCTCTCTTAATGAGGGCCTTTTTCGTCGTCTTGCCATATTTCTGTCTCTCCAGCTCCTCCCTAAGCTGCTCTTGCAGTTCCTTGTCCACTTCTTGCTCGTCTGCTTCGCCAAACAGATTGGCTCCCAACTGTTCGCGGCGGATCCTCGTCTTGGATTCCTTGGTGTCTTCGTCCTCCTGCGGCTCAAAATGGGGAGTCTCGTCATCGTCCTGGAATTCGTCACCGGAGACGTCGAGCTCGTCGTGCTCCATCTTCTCCTCGCGGGAGGCTGCTCTGAATGTGTCGCTTTCGGTTTTGATCATCTGGCCCCGTCCGTACAGCAGCCGACGCGTAGCTTCAAGGTCGCTCAGGCCAGCCTTCTTCTCCTCGTCCTTCATGACCCAACGGCCGACATCGACCTTGCGGTTCATGAATGCCTCGGCCTGGTCAATAGTAAACGGTTGGAATGGCGGCTTAGAGTTGAACTTGTAGCATTTCTCCAGCGGAATCATGCGGAAAACCGACCCATCAATCATGAAAGCAACGCTAGATTCGGAGAGGGCAGCCACATAGCTGCCGACCCAGACATTCTTCCCATCCGCGTCTTCCAGGTGCCATGGCAGAGCCTCCTCATATCTCAGGTCTGATTCCTTCTTTGCTGCGGATGTTTTCGGGGCCCGATTGAACATTGTCTTCTCCTCCTTTTGCTTCTTCGGGCGCTTGGTGACTACTTCTTTGGCAACAGGCGCAATCTTGGCTTGATCGATGGCTCTCTGGGCTTCTCTCTCTGCCTTTGCCTGCGCCAGTCTTTCTGCCTCTTGCTCGTCCACCGGGGGCCGTTCGGGTTCCTCCACCTTGACGGCTCTTCCCGGAGGAGGTTGGCGGGCATCACGCCGATGCAGAGTAACGGGTCTAGCGAATTCCTCCTGGTCTGTGGGATCAATGGGCTTCTCACCCAGCTTGGTCTGCGAGAACTTCATGAGGTGATAGCGTATTCCGTCGAGAAGGGCTTTCTTGGTAGTCATGATCGGGATGTCGTTATAAGGGTAGTTGGGCGGCGGCTCGCTCCAGCCACCGTACTGGTTCCGTATCTCTTCGGCACTAGGCTTTGCTCCATTCGCGGCACCCTGTGCCGAAGACGATGGCGCGCCATTCGCGGGCGGTCGGCTGGGTTTGGGCGGAGGCTTGCGAGACGATGCGACGAGCGGGTTCGGCTTCTTGCGAAGAGGGCGCAGCGGATTCGGCTTTGGGTGCCGCGGAGGGCCATGCGAAGGAGGGTGAGGGGGGCCGCCGGGGTTTCCAGCAGGGTCGCTCATGTTGATGGCTTGATGCGGACGCGAGATTGGTTGTTGAAGCGGGCAGGAAAGGCACGCAGCCTCTTTGCACGAGGTTGTCGTGCCTCTGCAGCCGGACGAGAAGCTGCAGCTGACTGCGGCAGCGTGTGACGTGGGAGAATTCAACGACGTCTCAAAGGGCGGGCCAGCCACGAACTGAAGCAGCTACAGTGATGACGAGGGCAAGGCGAAGATGCTGACGTTTCCGCACAGCTGGCGAGGAAGCCGGTAGTCGATGTTGGAGGTGAGTGAAGCCGGAGGAGAAGCACCGAAAGCTAAGGCGATGCCTAGAGCTGTTTAGCAGATCAGATCGGCTGTCCCAAGGCCGGAGAACTGCCGCTCGGGCTGTCTGATGACGCTTGATGACAAAGGCTGCGATTGTAGCATTGTGTAGGTATCCACAGCAAAACTGAGCTTGGAGTGACATGAAAGCGAGACAGTATCAAAACCGTGTTCATTAGAAGGTGATTGAAAGTTGTTGAAATACTGAAGCTTCTAACTATCATCTTTGAGCATCATACAATACTTTTTGCAGGCGATTTCGGTTCTACCTTGCTTCATTATATGAATCAAGATCTTGTCCATACTGGGCACCTAGTACCTACCTACCTAGTAGGTAGTACCTAGAGTTACATACAAGCCAACAGACGTTAATATCTAGAATCACGCTGCAATGATGAAGAAGTTTGATGAGACTATAGAAGCAGAGTAAATGCAGTTATCTGACAAGAAAGTAATTAATACAAGCTGCTTGGCCCAAGAGTGTCCCATCTACTGAAAACCGCATGCCCAGATAGAGAAACCGGGAAGCTGTAGCAGGTCCTTGGCGCAGATTGCTCGCCTGCTAGTGCCGAGCGGCGACTCACTGCGCCGCACTAACAGACTTGTCGGCTGCTCTGATTCGGGGCTCCGCTTCTCTGAAAGAAGTGACTTGGGCCTCTTCGTGTGCGACATGCCATCACCAGCCGATAAATTGCCTGCCTCTTGTCCTCTCATCTTCCCTTCACACGCATAAACAGCAGCTTTTAACCGCCTCGCTTGTCCGAACCTCTGCTGAACCAGAATTTCCCAACATCATCATCAACATCATCGTCATCGTCATCATCGTCACCATCTCTTTCAGATCACATTGCCGAACAGCGCCATACCAGGGTATCAAGATCCTGCTTCGAAAAGTACCACCTACTACTACCTTACTTACCGTCACCAAGCCTGTACGTACGCGATACCATTCGTTGGGCATCCCCCCTCTTTTACCTAGGTATGCTCTACGAAGCATTCACCTGTCTGCCTTGTTCTCCCTCTCGCTTCATATCATTTACTTACCAGCACCCCAGGGCAAAATACTTGTTCTGGAGCCTTGAGAATGTCGAGCTTGTAAGAGGAATCAGTTAAGAGTTTTCAAGGTGCCCAGACACTCGACCAGCCTGCATCATCGCCACATCCACAAACTCAGGCATCATCGACGTCAAGATGCTGCCCAACCAAAGAGAGTCTCACGGTGCCGCAAACGACGCATCAGCCTCGGGGCTCGAGGGCCATCTCCGGAATCTGATTCTTACAAACGCTCATCCAAACCCCCCTCCCGGATTGTTTCCAACAACAAATTCACGGCCTCAGGCTTCACCCCAAGGCCAGCCTCCATTGCTGGGCACGCAGTCATCAACTCATCCCTTCAGCCCGGCACAGCATCAGCCCAACGCCAGCCATCCTCGCAATGAGTCAGTCCCTGAAGCCACGCTTCAGCATGGTGCCCCTCAGTCGCCCAAGCCGGCCAGGAGGCGCCCGAACCAGGCTCAAAGACGACAGATGTCGTCCCAACTGACCTTTGCCCCTGATCCACGGCCACAATTCTCTCACTACACCCAACAGCCGAGCAGGCCTAATACTCAATGGGCGCCGCCACAGTCTCATCCAATTTCAGCGCCGAGGCCTTCAGAGTTTCCCCGTTCCCGCAACTCTTGGAATGGTCCTCCCCATTCAACGGCAGGCAGGTATCAGTACCAGCCTGCGCCGTCAGCGCAACAATACAATGGGCTACCTACTCGGGGTGCACATCAGGGCATACCATCAAGCCCTCATCAATATCGTGCCCATATGAGGCCGGATGAGGTTACAAATCAGGCCCGTCTACTAGACATGCTGTGTAGTCAAGTCTTGGCTCACTCCGAAATCGACAGAGCCGAGATTGCGGAAAAGGAAGCTTTTCGCCAACGCATACAGCACATTTGCCGCGAGGTCATCTGTCAGTTTGAGGAGCAGCAGGATATGAACAACCGGATCCCCCCTATTTCCGTGGAACTCAAATGCTTTGGTAGCCTGGCTTCCGGTTTTGCCACCAAGGCATCAGACTTGGATCTTGGCTTGGTCTCGCCTCTGTCCAAGATTCCTCCCGATGCCCCAGGGTCACCCATTCCTCGTCTGATCGAAAAGGCCTTTCTGCAGGCGGGCCTCGGTGCTAGACTTCTGAGTCGCACAAGGGTTCCAATTATCAAGATTTGCGAGCGCCCTCCTGTGGAGCTCCTCAGGGGCCTGCATGACGAGCGTGAGAAATGGGAGCGTGGCCTTGATAAAGATGATCAGTCTGGTGCTGCTGAAGCCGAGCCCGACAACGACGGCTCTGTTCATGGAGGCGACAACGATGATCACACGCAAGGCGCAACGGCCGATGCTAGTCCAAGTTCTTTGGGCGAGTTTGAGATCATTTGCAAGGATTCCGCCGAACCACAGCGCTTTCAACTCCAACAGGGGCCCAAAAACTCTTTGGACTCCTACTATGGTCTGGCCAAGCGTATCTTACGAAGGGCTGGTGGCTTTGATATCACTGCCTCGAACTACAGAGACTTCATGGAAGCCGACTGGGACATTCTGAACAAGGTCTGCGACGCATTCATCCAGGGGCTAGCAGATGATTCCTTGAGGGATCATGTTGCCACATTACCCTCCATCGCCCCAGCGGGTATGCCTTCCAATGCAGCCCATCATCGGTCTCTCTTTGGATTATTTATGCAGGTAGAGGGAGAGCACATCTTGCGCCGATGGGAATCATGGCCAGAGGGCCTTCCTCTCAAACAGCTGGAAGATGACAAGTGGATCAGACAATGGGAGTCTCTTCAGCAGAAGCCACTGTTCGATATCGACCCCGTTTCGTACAACAGGGAACTTCAACTCGCCCTCGAAAGAATCAAGAAAATCCCCTCTGTACAGCTACTGCTGCTTGAGCAGGAGCAACAAGAGACGCCCGCGCAATACTACACCAGGATGACAAACGTCATCAACAGTCTGAGGGGCTCGGCATCTGCAGCACCACACGCCATAGTCCGACGATACGTGGACGGAGTGTTTCAGGAAGAGATACGGCACCAGCTGAGCGATTATCTCGAGCAGTTCCCGGAGCAGGCAACGATTCAAGCGGTCGGATGCCGCCACAAGAGCATCCATCTGGCCAACGAGCTGGAAAAGGCCGTCGAGAGCAACTTATACGACGCTGTGTCGGTGCCGTACATTACGAGATATGTCGAGCTGTTGCGCCAGCCCCTGCAGATGAGAGTGATAGCACCAGGCAAGACTCGCTATGTCGTCCCAATCCCGGCCGACTTTGCTGCCACTTTTGCCAAGATCAAGACTCTCACCGATCCTCATACACTGGCGCCCAATCAGCCGCGCGAGAGGTATCGTGATCCGCTCGAGTTCCCCAAGACAGACGTCGGCGTGCAATGCGACATTAACTTTTCTGCCCATCTGGCCCTCCAGAACACGCTTCTGCTGCGGTGTTATTCGCATACGGATCCGAGGGTCCGGCCCATGATCCTCTTCGTCAAGCACTGGGCCAAAATGCGAGGCATCAACTCTGGATATCGCGGCACTCTGAGCAGCTATGGCTATGTCTTGATGGTTCTTCACTATCTCGTCAATGTCGCACAGCCCTTTGTGTGCCCGAACCTCCAACAACTTGCACCGCCTCCTCCCAGCAACCTGTCTCCCGCTGAGATGCAGTCCACGATAACCTGTAGGGGGTACAACATCCAGTTTTGGAGAAATGAGGAGGAAATCATACGGCTGGCGTCCCAGAACCAGCTCAATCGAAATACCGAAAGCGTTGGCCATTTATTGAGAGGATTCTTCGAGTATTATGCTCAAACTGGCCTGATGAGCAATGGCCACGGCAGGGGATTCGACTGGGGTCGCAACGTCTTGAGTCTGCGAACTCATGGAGGAATACTGACAAAGCAAGAAAAGGGCTGGACGGGGGCCAAGACCGTCTACGAGGTCCAGAATGCGGCTGGGGGTTCAACTACCCAGACCGCTCCCGCACAGCTGAACTCCCAACCGCAGGCTGCCCCGCCAGCTACTAAGGGTGGCGATGTCAAGGAGATTCGGCTTCGGTATCTCTTCGCCATCGAGGATCCGTTTGAGATAGACCACAACGTGGCCCGAACGGTGACGCACAACGGGATCGTCTCAATTCGCAATGAGTTCCGTCGGGCTTGGAGGATACTTCGCGCGGCTGGCAATGGGGATGTTCAAGAAAACCTGTTGCAGGATATCGAGGAGGAAGAGGGGAATGTCCCGGCTACCTTTCAGCAACTGCTGGCAGACATACACGACATTACTCCTGTATGAGGCAGTGGATCTAGAACCGCTTCCAGCCAGTTTATGGGTGGTTAGGGGTATGCTGATGGATGATATGTGTCATATTTTATGCCGTTGCTGGTGCTTTAGATTCCTTCTGTACTCTCTCTCTTTGTCTTACTCTACATGCGAGAATGCAAGGTATTGATCAATAGGCATATCTAGTAGTTATACATCTATGGAGAGGGCACTGAATATGTTGCCTCTGTTGCCATTCGTCTTGTTTGGCTTCTTGCTGGACTTTTTGGTGCTGCCATCTGAATCCCTTGCCTGTTTGCTGGACTTTTTCCCCTTAAGCGTTGCATGTGATTCCTCGGGGCCTGTAGATGACGGCTCCTCAAGTTCAATAAATTGTGACAGAATCGGCAATACCTGAAGCTCATTTGCCGCGGCCAAGAAGTCAGATAGCACACAAATATCCGGGAACTTGGTGAGAGGAGGCAGCTCTGACAAAAGCCTGCGGATCTGAATCAAGCAGAGGGCCAACTCGTCCGTGCTGGTATTTTGGGCCATTGTAGAGGCAAGGACTTGGCTCAGAATGCGAAGTGAATACATTGCGGCTTGAATGTGTGCGCAAAAGTGAATCGTATCCCACGGTATCTTGCCCCCCGCGGTAGTCGAAAGGCGGCCTTGTTGTTGGAGTGTGATCAAGGCGTGTGAGTTTTTGCCTTGCTGGTGGCATTCTATGATATCCAGGATAATGCACAACAGCGTCCAGTGATGGTTCGGTGGTATGTTGGTTTCTCTGACTCGTTCCATGAGGTCTAGTAGCTGAAGGGCCGCTTCATACGCCTCAGCACTAGATAGTAAGGGGATGTCACGCCCTTTTTGGTCGGTATTTTGTACTCTTCTGTACTCTTCGACGGACGAGGCGTGATTGCGGGCAAGATACCGGCTTGCGACCGTGTAAGCCAGTCTTCGGATATTGGCGCTTGCGTCCCAAGATGTACCCTTATTGGGATTCTCAATCAAAGAAGGAAGAAACATCTTGGCCTTATCTGTTGCCGGGGCCTCCCCAATTTGAAGAAGCAGCTCCGAGACCCGTGGATCAAGGGCGCTCAATGGGAGCAAGCCGCCGCCAAGCAGCCGAGGTATTGATGCCTCTTCGTGTGAGACGTACTGCTGGCGGAATAGGTCATAGCCCACGGCGTCTGATATGGGCCTTGAGCAAGCCTTTAATAGCATGGGAAGGGTTGCATGAGGAGAATTCAATCGCTCGTAGCCCAGTCGGCATGCCTCGAAAGACTTTGGCAGTCCCAGCTTTGTGTAGATGGCCCGAGGGGCATAGATTGTGCATGCTAGCTTTGAGCTGGCATTCTCGTGAATGTCTCGGAAGAAGGCGACTTTGCCACTGCCAAGTTCATGAGCAAGCAGATCGGAATCCCCTGTTAATATCGTGCCGCCATGCTTGACAACGTCTGAAGCGCAGTAGGCATCGGCTTCTCCTGGCATTACGAAGCATTTCTCCCGGTATCGAGAATTGCCCCGGATGGCGTCAATGACTGCGGGCACGACAAAGCTCGGATCCTGGGAGATCTTGTCTGCTGAATACCCAAGACGAGGCGGATCGTCACTTAGATCATCTGCGGGAACGACATGCCTGCGAGGACAGCCTACTGGATACGAGGAGTATAGTAAGCTGAGCCGTGAAGTTGTCTTTCTGACCCGTTCCATGCGGACGGGATGCTTTTCCCTTGGAAGGTAGCCATCAAAGTAGATGGCTCGGCTGATCGGGCATTAGCCATCTTCTTTTGCTTTATTATATGCTGTGTCTGGGGATGCACATCTCACATGGTTACTTGCTGATCCTCTAGACGATCCAGCCATTCAATGACGACTTGACTGAGGAGGCTGTAAGACGGTTGACTTGCCCCCTGAGTCCTGCAGAGATGAAGAACATGGTAGGCAAGTGCTGGGCCGTCAATGACCACGTCCTGATGCTGAAGAATCTCGTGGGAGGCATAGCTCTCCAGGGTGGTGATGAGGTGAGGGATGCCCATGCCGGCCGAGGTTCAGGAGGACAAGTTGGCGAAGGATTATAGTCTATGCTTGGAGATGGAACCATTGGAGGGAGACTGTCATGCATTTGCATCTTTGTGAGCGTCCATATTGTCAAAATAATTGCGCATTGAGAGCTTGCAGTTGTTTGCCGGCCTCCAGCATCATTCATTCACCAAGCTTGTATGCACGTATTTACTGATAACGGCTTGCGATAAATCGATTCCAATATGCCCCGCCAATGAAACGGCTCGCACTGTATGCTCTGCGGGAGGCTGCAAGGAATAGGCCATCTCAGACCAATCAGAACGGCTGCTATCCAATCCGCAGCACCCAACCCACCGTAACCTCACGTGCAGGGCGCACGGTTGCACTGTGCAAATGCCCCACGCCGAGAGAAACGGAAAAAAAGCTTCTCGTCTCACCCAACTTTTCTTCTTCCAAACCTCTTCTCTTCTCTTCCTTCCCTTCCCCCCTCAAGGGTTGGCCACAATGCGCAACACGCTCATTTTCGCTGGCAACTCGTGCCCAGCTCTCACCGGCCAGATATGTGAGAACCTGGGCATGACGCCTGCCAAAGCGGAGCTGACCCAATTCTCCAATGTGAGCTTCCTGTGATAGCTCTTGGTTGCTGTCCATCCATTCTTGAGCGTTTGCTTTGGCTGCCGGCGGCGACAGGGTTACTGACTGAACTCAACTCCCAAGGGCGAGACAAGTGTCAGGATCCTCACCAGCGTCCGAGAGAAGGATGTCTTCGTCGTCCAGTCGGGGAGCCCCCGCATCAACGACTCCATCATGGAGCTGCTCATCATGATCTCGGCGTGCAAGGGCGGCTCCGCCAACAAGGTCACAGGTTCGCTTCGTCCAGACTGAGACCGCTCTGCCCGCCGGAGTATGCTGACATCGTGTTGCACAGCGGTGCTCCCGTACTTCCCCTACAGCCGGCAGTCAAAGAAGAAGTCTCCGCGAGGCGCCATCACAGCCAGGATGCTTGCTAACCTGCTCGGTGTTGCCGGCGTTAAGCACGTCGTCACCGTCGACCTGCACGCATCCCAGATGCAGGGCTTCTTCCGATGCCCTGTCGACAATTTGCACGCTGAGCCCATCATCGCTAAGTGGATCAAGCGAAACGTGCCAAATTGGAAGGAGGCTGTCGTGGTGTCCAAAAACCCCGGTGGAACCAAGAGAGTCACGTCGCTGGCGGATGCGCTCAAGCTCAACTTTGGCTTGGTCACCACCGATAGAAGACGTGGGACCAACATGTCTGGAAGCATGATCATGAGCCATCTGGATGGCTTCGATCGTCGACCCGTGTTTGAGAACGCGGCGCAGAATGACGGCCAGCCGCAGAGCGATGCAGTCCCAGCGCGCGATGGGGCAAGGACGCCGGTCAAGACCACCAGAATTGTCACCGACTCGCAAGGTTCGCCTGTCCGGTCCGGCGATTTGTCGACAAGTGCGACGAATCCTGCTGAGTCCGCCCCAGAAGGTCAACCCGCACCTCGGCGGAAGAGCGCTGTTCACCTCGATTCGGACTATGACGATCGTCGTGCCCAGGAAGTCATTCATGGTCGACTCATCCAGGGCCACATCGTCGAGGACGACTTCCCGTCCCCGGGAAGGTCCACGGCAGGCAACAGCGTCCAGGGCGATGATCCCATGACCATGTCGCACGCTTCGTCCTTTTTCGCTCCCGATCGCCAGTCACTAGCTGGTGGCGGTAACAACGACAGCAGCGATGACGAGGAAGAAAAGGCTTTCGAAGACCCCAAGGCAGAGCACATGATCACACTGGTGGGAGACGTGCGAAACCGCACCGTCTTCATCGTCGACGACATGATTGACAAGCCGGGATCGTGGATTGCCGCGGCCGAAACCGTGGTGAAGAAGGGCCAGGCGAAGAAGGTGTACTGCATTGCTACCCACGGTGTCTTTGGCGGAGACTGCTTGGCGCAGCTGCAGGCGTGCGAGTGCATCGACACCATTGTTGTTACTAACAGCTTCCCCATCAGCGAGGAGCAGATCAGGAATACCCCCAAGCTGGTCATACTGGACCTGTCGTTTCTCCTTGCCGAAGCCATCCGCCGCAACCACTACGGCGAGTCCATCTCCCCTCTGTTTCAGCACATAGGAGATTGAAACTCCGGAGGAGAATGGTGAACTCGACGTGTAAGCTGAAGGCGACTCGCCGCCTCTTGTTCAGGACAACTGGAGGAGGGTCTCGCCGGGCAGTGTGTTTTCGGTCATTTCATTTTAGCGTGGCGTCTCTGGGATTGAGGGCAGGAGAAAGAAACGACAAATGTGTATGTGTGTCTTATTTGACGGAAAAAGGTCAGTCAATTGATGAATTCTCATGGGAGGTCCCTCGTCCGTCCCGCGTGAGTTGTCTCGCCCCGGTTCATCCCCCATCTCGTGTTTCCCAGACGAAACACCCCCAGCGGTGCTGTCCTTGTGGCAGCAAGAGTCCGATTCAACCCAGAATGGATTCTTAACGGAACGTTGGTAGATTGAATCTTTTCGATCTTAGAAGGCCCCTCATTCCTTTGCTGGCTTCGGCTGGTCGTGGATTAGGGGCAAGAGAAATTTTCGAACATGCCATGATGTGTATAGATGTTCCAGAAAGTTGTGGTTTTGTCCAGATTAATATACATTCAATGATATCCGGCTGTATGCCAAAACAACTGAATCTTTGTGTCTATTCGATGGTTGGGTTTTTTAACCCAGATGATGTGTCTAGATATTTTATATACTATATACTCTCCCCTTTCCGTTTAGTTCGGTCGGCGGTGCATGATGAGAGCAGACGCCTTTTTTGGCACGTCAAGTCAGCATCCGACATGAAGAGAATGAGCCATGTGAGTCCGAGGAGCCACTTACCTGGTGGTTGGGGTAGAGCAGAGTATCGGCAACGACGACATTCTCCCGCCTGGTGGCAGCAAAGACAATGACCTCGGCAACATCATCCGGCGTAAGAGGGTCGCAGCCACTGATTGGATCCATGATTTGTTAGTTCCACACAGGTGTTTCTACTCAAGATAAAGTGATGAGATAATCCTCCCTCAAGCCCCGTGAGGGAAGAGGAGCGGAAGGCGGGATTAGAGGTCTTACGCGTAGACGGCATCGGCCTTGGCCTTGTCGCCGTAAAAGCGGACGACGGAAAACTCCTACATGTGCGCAAGCGGTAAGTAAAGACACAAGATGGCGAAAGGGACATTGGTGTCTAGGGTTGTCATTGATAAGGTAGTTTATCTGGGGGAGGCTTACCGTTTGGACCTGGCCGGGGTCGACTTCGATGACCCTGATGCGAGTGGCGATGAGCTCCTTTCTCAGGCTCTCCGTAAAGCTTCGGACGGCGGCCTTGGTGGCGCAGTAGATTGAGCCTCCGGGGTATGGCTCTCGGCCTGTATAACACAGGGGTCAACACCATGTCACAAGGGGGAAGTAAGAGAGTGCAAGAAAACGTATATCGTGAGACATCTCACTACGAAAGACATGCAATGGTCATGAGCAAGAGAGGGGCAACTTGGGCATACCGGCAATGGATCCAATGTTGATAATGTCTCCCTGGCCGCCATCCGGTCGCTTCTGGAAAATGGGCAGGATGGCCTGCGTCATGTTGATGAGGCCGGTGACGTTTGTCGTGAACATGATGTTCATGTCCTCCTCGGCGATTTCAGGCGCCTTGGCCACGCCCTTGACCAATCCGCTGAACAAAGTAGAGAAGTCAGCATTTGAACAATCCTCAACCATCAAAGTGAACAGTCCGTGTCAAGCTCAGCTTCAATCATTCATAAAAGAGAGAAAAAAAAAAAAAAAAAACTTCATGAAGAGAGAACGAATACAAGGGAGAAACGTACGCATTGTTCACCAAGACATGAATATCCCTCCACTCCTCCGGCAACCCCCCCACGAAGCCGCGAATCTCCTCCGCCTTGCTCACGTCAAGCTGCACGGGCAGCACCTTGACGCCGTCCTTGGTCTCGTCTCGGATCTGCGCCGCCAGCTCCTCCAGGGACTCCTTTCGGCGCGCCGTGATGATGAGGCGCAGGTCGCCGCTCGGGTTGGTCCGCGCAAACTCGAGCGCCGTCGAGCGGCCGATGCCCGAGGAGGCGCCCGTGATGAGGATGGTCTTGCCGTGGAGGCGCTTTGCTGCTGCTGAGGCGGACGACATTTTGCGGGTAAAGGTCGTGGATGGATTGTTTCCAGGGGTAATAATGAGAGGAAGAAGACGGCGAGGATGAGTCAAGGAGGAGAGGAGGGTTCGTCGCTGGACGCTACTACTATATCGATAGGAGCACCAAATATAGCCGCCTTGAAGGATAGACGGACGGGCCACAGCTGAGCGGAAGAGATTGGTGGGGACTCTGCTTTGGATGAGAGGCATCAAAGTGGAAGATACTCTTCGATACAAGCCAGCCGACTTGTTCTGTGAAAGCGAAATGGAAAGGAAGAAAAGAGATGGAGGGAACAAGGTTGGAGTGCGAGATGAAGTAAAAAGTGGGTTTGCGGCAAGCAATTGCGAATTTTGGAGACAAATTGGAGATGCTAATCAGACATCAAACAGTCTACAGGGCACAGGTACTCGTCAAGTATCCGATATGAGGGCACTGATAGCGCGTACAGACGAGTCCAAGCAAGGCTCTAAGAGAAACTCAGTATCTTTCATCATGCTCTACCGGAATGACGACAATTGCACCGTCTCCGTCCTGTCAATTGCAGATGCCCGGTTCGATTCTCCCCCCCGCATCGGTTTTTGGTGATGATAACCGGCCGATGATTGACCCCGCGTTGCTTCGGCGTGGGGCAGAAACACATGGCGAAACGCATCTTGAGTGGCGGCATCACTTTTTGCCGTCTTCAACAGCGGGTGATCCCACGCTTGGCATTGGCGGATTATAATCCTCGTTTTCCGTCAAGACGATGCGACTGACGAGAATTGGTATTGCTATGAAGCAAAGCGATCATCTATACTAATATCACATCCGTAAGATGACTAGAAAAGAAAACATATGCAAGAGCAAATAGCAGCTGCTGTTCGTTGCTATCCCGCTTCTCCAAGAATGGCAGCTCAGAATCAAGCCAGACGCTCCGTTACTCATGTTTCCATCCACATGAACAACAAAGTCACGGTGGGCATGAGACTTGCATCCAAACAGATATGATACCCAATTCATTTGGCTGATTCCCCCTGGGCAACTCCTCCCTCAGCCACTCCGCCACCAGCAATAGTTTGCAGCGGAATCGGGAGCTCCGCGATTCTCGGCTCTTCGCCTTCTAGCGCCGCATTCTCACGCTGCTGCTGTTGTTGCTGCTGCTCCACGTCTCTTCGGCGCTCCCTTCGGCGCATCTGACAGGTGATAAAGGCAGTCGAAAGCACTGCCAGACAAGCCGCGACCGCTGCCGTCGTGATGCCCTTATGAAAAGCAGACACATATGCTCTCTTGACGGCTTCCAGGCTAGCTCCCCTGAGGTTTTGCACATCCCCCCTAACGGAAGCTAACTCTTCAGGGGGAACGAGCTCCGGGAGTCGGTTAATCACTTCAGTGTGTAGGAAGAGCGTAGATATCGATATGCCAAGGCTGCCCCCTAAGATTCTTGCCTGCGCAGTGATACCATGGGCAGATGCTAACAAAGCAAACATGTTAGCCGACCGTGCCAATGATACAAGAGAACCAGAGATGTTACCCTTTTGTCGTGTCGGAACATCAACGCTAATCACGTTGGTTGCTGCCGCAGTGAAGAGACCGAACCCGAACCCTGCGAAGGCTAGAAAGCCCAATGCTTTTGCATCGTCTTCGGATCCTTTTATCGTCGGGAGAAGGACAAAACCCAATGCCATCATCCATGTGCCGCAGCGCAAAGTTCCGGAAAGATAGTCTTTAGCAGAGTTGATCTTGCCGCTCACCATACTGCCAATAGCCACCGTTCCCAGCATTGGAAGCAGCATCAGCCCGGCAATGAGCGGGCTCTTCCCGCTCACAATCTGCATCCTGATGGGGAACGAAAATATCAGGAGCAGATGCGGGTAGCCCACGAGGAAAGTTGTCAGTGCGCTTCTTGCATAGCGTTGAATCCGAAAGAGTTGGATCGGAAACACAGGGACGATCCGGTGAGCAAACCACTTTTCAATGGCATATCCCCAAGCGACCACCCCTACCCAGCAAGCCAGGCCAGTGACCACCGGTGCAATGAATACCGCACGTCCCCAGATCGTTGGCTCAGATTCCCCTGCATTCTGGAAGGCAAACACGACGAGGACAGAAGCAGCGATGCCAAGCACGGTGCCGACAAAGTCGAACTGCCTCCAGGGTCGGGTTTGTGGACGTGGCATCTCCTCCTTGCTGGGCCAGCTCAATAAGAATAGTAGCAAAGAACCGACGCCAATTGGTCCACTGTCTCTTGCGTTAGCTGTCTCCATTCAGTGCATCACACGGGGGCTCTTGGGAGCTACAGACTTGACCCAGAAAATCCACCGCCAGCTCGTGTACTCGGTAAATAGTCCTCCTAAGACAGGCCCGAGTATGCCTGCACTCGCAATGACCACTCCGATAATGCTTCCTATATATTGACGCAGCTGAGGTGGACACTGCTGAGTCAATATAATCATTGACAAAGCATATAATCCTGCATACTCGTCGTAAGTGCTTCGCCACCATTGCCCGCAGAAGAGGACTTCATGTGCACATACCAGAACCTCCGACACCCTGAAAGGCCCGGCAGATGATGAGATGTTTTATTTGTCGAGCAAACCCACATGCGATGGAGAATGCCACAAAGAGGATGTAGGAACCCGCAAATGCGTTACGCTGCCCTATGATATCTGACAGAGTGCTGCATGAGACGGCGAAGCCAGTATAGCCGAGTGTGTATGCCAGGACAACCCAGTTGATCAGGCTATGTTCTTGAAACTCGACTCCGATGGTATAGAGACTGGTTGCGAGGATGGAAGAGTCAATTATAGACAGAAGCAGGCCTGCGCATACTCTTCAAGTCCAATCAGTTCGAGTCATCTTCTATAACAGTTTTTGCAGGGTCCTTTCCTAGACTGCTAGTGACACTCACCCGAAACATAGCACCCAAAACCGCCATACTGGAAGGATGTTGACATAGGCTCCAGGGCCTTGAAAATCATCCACCTCCATTGCTTCAATGGCCCGCTCGGTGACTGGTGGTTGTGAAGCATCTCGAGGCTCGACGGAGCTGGTACCGTCCGGGCGTGTCGAAAAGATCGCCATCGTTGGACATGGAGGGAGTTTCCTCAGTTCTTGATCGTGACCCGAGGCTCAAGTTATAGGGGTGTCGTGGATGCGAGATTCTTGTAGTGGTTTGTCGGCGGATCAAGGAACAGCCTGGATATCTCAACAAATGTTCCAGCCTTTGGCTCTGGATTCCGGATCTCTCTCGAACAATATCAAGATAGGCTCAGCACGAAGCTTGCAGTCTATAAATAACGAAAAAAAGAGAGGAAGTTTCTGCAGGGGAAGGAAATGTGCGAGCAGTGAATTGAAGTGAGCAGAAGAAGGAAGAGCGAGTGAGCAAACGGAGGTGAGCTGAAGTTGAGCAGTAACTGAGGCAGGTGGAAGCCCGCCAGATACAGCAGGCGCAACGACAGCCGTCTCCTACCTTGCCCTGACAAGCCAAGACTGCAAACAGACGGTCTGCAGGGAAACTCTCCCGATGCTCAGGAAGTAGCAATTCATTTGCAAACAAAGGCCTTCTTTGGCAAGTTTTGAACGGCAGTAAATCACGCCCATCTGCCACCAGCGGCTGCTGGGCAAAGGCGAAATCTGTGTGCCATGGCCACAGCATATGGAAGCACGAGATTCGAACGATGGAACGCCTGCCGGCCTATTATTGGAATGGTGCGAACAAAGAGTTTTTCAAGTCATTGAATGGCAAGACTGCCACTGATTGCACGCAGAAGGGGGTCCATGGTTTCATTCAGATGCAGAGAGCCGTGGTGGTCGTTGAAGTCCAGAGACGAAGCTGCAAGCTGTGTCTACCTAAGGTAGGCATACATGTTGAATCAGGTATAGAATTATAGTATCGGCATAATGATAGACTCATCTAGATAATCAAATGCATAGAAACTGATCAACCGTCGAGTCGGTAACGGGCTGCGTGAGAACCAGACGCAAATGCGGCCCACGACGCCCTCCCCCGAGGGTGTCATCAGAGGTTGTCATCAATGCAAGATCTTCCCGAAATGCACATGGCAGAATGGCTGTAGCACGAGGTTCCCCAACACGCGCCATTGATGAATTACCGACAACTCGAGCTCCACCATTACCTGATTGGGACTAACCAAGAGTTGGCACTCGGCATTAGCCTACAATAGCCAGTAAGGTAATGATTAGTACTAGTTGGAGCTTCAAGCAGTGCCCCTCGATAGCTCCATTAGTGCCCAAAACCCCCCGTATGATGAATAAGTAATATTCAACTGCATCAATCATCGCCAGCTCGTCCCTACAGAAGCTCTACTTGGCCCGGCATCTGTCATACTCACCACCACTTCAGCGTCTACATCACTCTCCGAGCCACACTCGCCCACTTGCACCACAGTATCATACACACGCAGCGTGCCTCCTTCAGCTTTTACCCCGCAACAGAGCAAAGAGCCCGAGCAACACCTTGTCAACCTCAACCAGAGACAGGCAGCTCAGGCAGCGCTAAGCACAGTATGACAGACATCCTGGCACAGCAAACACCTCTCTCACTCCTCGGCCCCTCAGACAAGGAAAAGAAGTATGACCGCCAGCTCAGGCTGTGGGCGGCCGAGGGCCAGGCTGCCTTGGAGTCGGCGAATATCCTACTCATCAACTCGGGTCCCGGCACAGCGGGCGTCGAGACTCTCAAGAACCTTGTCCTACCCGGTCTGCTGGCCCCCTGTCCAACCATTAGGGTCGAGTGCGAGTACTTACTCCTCTTATTCATCCAGGCATTGGCAAATTTACTATTGCCGACAGTGCGACTGTCCAGGATGAAGATCTAGGCGTCAACTTCTTTCTGGACGAATCATGCCTCGGCAAACCGAGAGCTCGGTGCTGCACGGAGCTCCTCCTTGAGCTCAACCCGGAGGTAGAAGGAGTCTGGACATCCAAAGTAACAGTACGTTGATCGCTCGATCTCAATCCCGTCATGCCTTGCATGGCTCATCCGGAGAATCTTAGCACTGATCTGTTCCAGGATCCCGCGAGCCTCCAGGAGCTGCTTGATTCACCGGAAGTATTCACCATGGTCATGTATAGCCTTCCTCTACATCCAGGCATGCTTGAAGCCATTGAGGCGTACGGTCGCCAGCATCGGACGCCACTCGTCGCGATTCACTCAGTGGGCTTCTACTCTTATTTCCGCATCACACTGCCCGGGACCTTTCCCATCGTCGACACTCATCCAGACGAGACTGCGACGACAGACCTAAGGCTCCTGGCCCCTTGGCCGGAGCTCTCTCAATTTGCGAGAGAAATGACCAAAGACATTGATAATCTGGATCACCATGACCATGGCCATATCCCCATGGTTGTGATTTTGCTTCACTATCTCGATATCTGGAAACAACAGCACGATGGCGCTTACCCACTATCCTATAGTGAGAAAACGGCATTCCGACAGATGGTGGCAGATGCCATGAGGCGAGACAACCCAGAAGGAGGGGAGGAAAACTTTGAAGAGGCCGTTGCTGCCGTTATGAAGCATGTCAATCTGCCACAAGTCCCATCATCGCTCACAGAGGTTTTTGAATACGATCACAAGGATGAACAACAAGCCAAGTCTAGTTTCTGGATCATTGCGGAAGCCATGAAGCAGTTTTATGCCGAGCACCAACGCCTGCCTGTCGCTGGTGGCCTGCCTGACATGAAGGCGGAATCTAGTGTCTACATCAAGCTGCAGAATATCTACAAAGACAAGGCTCGGCAAGATGCAAACGACGTCTTGGCCAGAGTCCGCAAACTTCCGGGAGGCGAAAACGTTGATCTGGTGGAGGTGGAGCTTTTTTGCAAAAATGCGCGGTTCATCAAGCTCATTAATACCAGGACAGAGACCCCCCTGAGTTTGGAGCAGATCATCGGTAGGCGGACCAGCTGATAAAACCATGCGTATGATTGCTAACGCGGACATTCAGAACGCGAGCTCAGCAACGACAATACGGCTGCTGTTGTCGGGCCGGAAATGCCATTCTCCCTGATCCCCATCTACCTGGCATTGAGCGTATTATCGCATAATCCGATGGCTTCAGCTGATGAGATTACAGCCGCGGTCTGTGCAATGGCGCCAGCTCTCAAGGGCAACGAGCGCCTGACGCAAGTGGCCCAGGAGCTGTCGCGAGCAGCTGGCGGGGAGTTGCACAATATCTCGGCCGTGACTGGAGGAATGGTGGCACAAGAGGTGATTAAGATCATTACGAAGCAATATGTCCCCATCGATAACACGTGTATATTCGACGGGGTCGAGAGCCGATGCCAAGTATTGCGGCTATAGCTTTTGCAACAAAGGAGAGAGAGACGGGGTCTGTTACTCGGGGGTGGTGAGGGGTCAATTGAGATAGAATGGCATATTCAAGGCATTGGGAATGGTATCAATACATAAGCAACGATCAAGTGAGATATTTGATTACCTTATGCATGGCTTTAGAGTACACCAAGCCCTTGCTCCAGACGTCCTGATGGAATAATAAGGTTGACCGTTCAATAACCCCTGATACGACCGCAAGAAGATTGCCAACAGGAAGGCAGTAATGTACCTCAGAAGAGCCTCCCTATCACTACCTTACCTTACCTAATATTGCGACCGAAAGAATATAACAGTAGGCAATCGAAGTAAGTGGAAGTTGACCGCTAAAAAAGGAAAGAAGAAGCCTCGTATGAATGGTAGGAAGGTGCAAGATTTACCATCAGCTTTGGATCGGATGGCTCCTGCCCTGGACACGCTTGACAGGGCAAGAAGAAGGTGCACTACCAAAAATTTGATCAGTCAGGCAGTTACAATGTCTTGGCAAGGGGTAGTCACCCGTATAGCTTCCCTTTATCGCAAGGCCTTAATGTCCGCTTGCGCAAGCGGTTTGTGAGAGATATATGCCATCGACTGGAGGCTTCATTGTCTGCGAGAGCCGGCCGAAGATAGTTGATACTGTTTCTTCCCGTCAGCGAAGATCCAAAATACGAAAAAAGATTACGCCCAGACTACATTCGAGGAGAGGCGACGGAAATCAGCCTCCCATGGAGAACACACTCACCTGCAACAACCTCAAATGCAGAAAGGAGCTCACCGATCGTGCGCTGGTGACGACTTGCAGGTTAGCCCCCCTCAAGCCATGGGAAACGCAGAGATATTGATCATTAACCACACCAGTCACATATTCTGCATCGAATGCGTCCAGCGACTCGGCCTCGTAGGACAAGATAACCAGAGACGCAACACTTGCCCTGTATGCAGTGCCCAGCTGGCCAAGGCAGAGGACATCGCCATCAACAATCTCAACCCCTCTGAAGAGTTCAAAACATGCGTGCTCAGCGGCCTGAGCCCCAACATCGTCATGGAGTGCGCAGGACGGGCCATTAGTTTCTGGGCGTACCAAACTACCCAGAACTTGCACTACCAGCAATACTTGTACAAAACGCTCTCGGAGAAGTACTCGGCACTGTGGGCTCGATGTGATCAGATAAACAGGGACTCGGATGCTAAAGTGAACAGTTTGTGCGAAAAATTGGAGAGTGAGCAGTCTCGATAATTTCCTTCCTTCAACTTGGGCTGATAGAGACAGGCATGACCGCTTCACGGGATGTATTGCAGCGAAAGAACGACGAGCTCGCAGAGGCCTTCAAGGACAAAAGTCGCAAGCTGTTCCAGACGCAAGAGCTTTACACAAAGGTCAAGAGAAAGGCCGAGTTGGGTCGGATCGAGCGAGCAGCGTCGGATGCTGTAGATAGCTCCCTTCGTTCAGTGCCCCCGCCCGGCATGAACAACCAAGAGGCACACCCCTTTCTTCCTCCGCAGTTCAATGACCAGAATGAACGGGTCTATCCTCTCGGTCATGGGTTGCGGTTTGATGCCACGGGGTTCATGCCAGGCCTGTCAGGGGCAAACCCCCAGCAGCATGCGCCCGAGGGTCAGTGGCCGAGGAAGAGGACCCCATCGCACGGTATGAGACCCCTATGTATAGCTGGATTGACGTATGTTGACCCAGTACTGTTCTAGGCCTCACGCCAGAAGCTCAGCCATTCCGCCAACCCCCTAATGATCGAGTACGGGTGGACATTCTTCATCCTACCATCCCCAGCAATACAGGGTTGGCCAGGGGTGACAGTCTGAGAGCATCGGGACTCAACTCTCCAAGCTTTCCTCCCCGACGTGATGCTTGGGTTGGCGTCGGCCTCTCCTCTGGCCTAAAGGTCGGCCAACCAACAGGCCAAACAGGACTGAACGGACCACTGCGAAATCTGTAGATCGGGATGCAGCTAACAGCCACATGGCAAGATATCTGGAGGTATGTCAGTCCCGGGGAGGGCAGATGGGATGGACGGGGTGTGGCTCGACACTTCTTCGGAGTGAATTGGGTTGAAACGTGAACAGCCGCCGAAGAAAGCGAGAAGCCGGTGTTTGAAATTTGTTGCTGAGCTTTCAGGTCAAAGCCAAGCCGAAATTTTGTGATTGAACAAACTCAACATCAAGAACACCACGACAGCGACTGACGAGGTTTTTTAAAGGCAAGATACGATGCAAATGTCGAATTCATTTGGGTGCTGGTCGAACCATCAATCGCACGCCAGAAATCTACACAAGCTCCTCATGGTAGCATGCAGGCAGACGCAGAACAAGATACGCACGCTCCAGACGAGGCAACCTTTGTCAAAACTACCGTATCCAAAGTACGGCGAATTATGAGAGATACGGCGTGTAGCCTCAAGTTCCGCAGACGTCAGAAGGGGGAGCCGGCCAACATCAAGGCCGATAATAAAGCAGCAAAGGAGGACACTGAAGCGGAGAGAGCACAGAAAGCAATGGAGGAGGCGATGGAGGAGATGAAGAAGACGCTGGCCATGTGGGACTGGGAAAGGATCAGGCGGGAGATGGACTGGGTGAAGCTGGGAACGCCGGAAGAGGCACTAAACTCGCATCCGCTGCCCTGGAGCAAAGAACAACCGTACGACAACGTGAGAGAGGTCGATGGAACGAGAAGCTTGTGATGCATCAATTTTGGCGGGGTTTATACGAGTTGGAGTTGTACAAGGACAGGAACAGGTTGGAGATGCAGAAGTGATGGAGCTAATACGGGCGGGTGGCTTCGTATTCTATCTTTAGCCGATGCGACGCTGATAAGGCTAGCAATCACATGTACTCGATACTCGACAACAGGCGGATAAAGAGCGTTGAAGCCGTCCAAAGGTGGGCTTGCTGGCCTGTCTGGAATTGAGAGCCCAGGTAGCCGAGACTTGCCTCGCCGCATTTGGACATGGCGCAACGGTCGCCAGTGGTGGCGCGGGTCCGGGCGGCAGCGTGAGACGTGCAGCGCCTCTCAGTGGCTGGACAAGCCGCAAAGTCCACGCAAGTCGTACTGTAGGTAATACTTTGAACCTTGAACATTCTTCCTTTCTTCCACATCACCCTCTTCCCATTTGCGCATTCTGCTTCGCATCGTGTCGCACCACGATTGCCGACTTGTCTCTCGTTCAGTCGCTTCAAACCTTGACCCTCGGATCACTCTCCCGTATCACAAGTCTGCCCCCAATTCGCTCGCTAGCCGTCCTGTTTCGATACCCCTGCCGCCCGCGAATCCTACGTCTCTTTATCGCCTGCCGAATAGTTGCGCCCCTTCGAGAAGCCTCCATTCCTCGACAACAACTTGTCCTGCCACTCGTTTTCCGGGCGCCAACCGACAGGCAGACGGACGGGCTCTCGCCAGTAGTTTGCTTTTCCCCGATTTTGATACTTGGCGACACTTCACCTCACTTAATACCTACCCGCCGTATCGACGACTGATCGGCAGCCACGCAAATCGATCGATCAATTGCGCTTTCTCGCCCTGGCTGGCGGCTGCGAGCCCGACAAAGTCTGTAGTGAATACAGACCCTGTTTGATTTGGTAGTCGCCGCGCGAGACGAGGATTGACTTGGTTTTTGCAATCTGCATGCGCTCATGGGTAAGATGCGACACTCCCCCAGATCGTTTCCCGAAGCTTGAAACCGAGCCATGGGAAAGGGAACAGAAGGATGGAATGAAAGCAGAGACAAAGACGCTGCCTTCCGCTGACATGGCGATGCCGCGCAGGTCAATACGGTGTGATTCTCGATGCCGGCTCTTCGGGCACCCGTGTGTACGTTTACAAATGGAAGGATCCTAGCAAGGCCCTGAAGGAAGCCTCTGTCGAGGATGCACACATACTGCCGAAGCTGAAGCTTCGCAAGAGCAAGAAGATACACCCTGGAGTGTCAACTTTTGCCGAGAATGTCGCCGCTGTCGGACATGATCACTTGAAAGCGCTCGTTGACACCGCGCTCGACGAGATACCGGAATCTCAAGTCGCCGAGACGCCCATCTTCCTCCTGGCAACCGCTGGCGTTCGATTCCTGCCGAAGCACCAACAGACTGCGCTGCTACAAGGGATCTGCACATACCTTAAAGCCACAACGCGATTCCTACTCCCGGACTGCGCGAGCCATATCCAGGTCATATCTGGCGAGACGGAGGGCCTGTACGGTTGGATCGCTGCCAATTACCTGCTCGGCGGCTTCGACAAACCCGATGAGCATGCGCATGGCAAAGGCCACCACACCTATGGCTTCCTAGACATGGGCGGTGCGTCAGCACAGATTGCCTTTGCACCAAACGCAACCGAGACGGAAAAGCATTCGAATGACCTCAAGCTGGTTCGACTACGCCGGCTGGACGGCTCTCCCCTCGAGTACAAGGTGTTTACGGCCACATGGCTTGGGTTCGGAGCCAACAAGGCGCGAGAACGATTCGTCGAAAGTTTGCAGGAGCAGTATGGTGGTGCGAAGGGCGACATTCCGGATCCCTGCCTACCAAAAGGCTTGCGGACGACAGTTACGGGCGAGCCCCTTGGCAACAAGCAGTCGTCAGATGTCGCGCTTGTTGGCACAGGCGCTTTCGAAGAATGTCTACGCAAAACGTATCCCTTGCTGGGCAAGGACGTGCCCTGCGAAGACGATCCGTGTCTACTCAACGGCCAGCATGTGCCCGCCATTGACTTTGATGTGAACCATTTCATCGGCGTCTCCGAATACTGGCATACGACACATGGCGTCTTTGGTCAGGAGAGCAAAGTCTACGACCTGATCGCCTACGAACAAGAGGTGAATGCATTTTGCAGCCAAGACTGGTCGGTTATTGAAAGCGGGCTTGACAAGAGGAAGAAGACAATGGAAGAGAAGGCAGAGAATGCTAGGGAGGCCTGCTTCAAGGCGTCATGGCTTATCAACGTGCTTTACGAGGGCATTGGCATTCCGCGGATCGGCCTAGGGGATATTGCCGGCACCCACCCAAACGTGACCAAGGGAGCTGGAGGAAAAGCCAAAGACAAGGGTTACCTGGACCCGTTCCAGCCCATTGATACGATTGGCGGCGTCGAGGTAAGCTGGACTCTGGGCAAGATGGTTCTCTACGCAGCCGGACAAATTCCTCCCAAAGGCTCAGAGCTGCCTGTTGGATTCGGAAGCAATACAGGATTGGAGATTCCCGCCGATTTCGAGTTTGCTGGATCCAAACCCTTGCTGCCTAGCCCTCACGACAACGATGACGACGATGACGACGACGACATCCTCATTAGTCGGTCTTCACCTCTTCGCGGTCTGCTGGTACTACTTTTGATTCTCCTCCTCATCGGCTATTTCGTGAAACGAACCGACTGGGGGCCTAGAGTTTTGGGCAAGTTCCGCCGTTTCCGTAAAGCCAGAAGCTCATCATTTGTGAGGAGGCTGTTTGGTAGGAACTCGAGTACTGCCTACGAACGGATATTGGAGGAAGGCGATGCGGCTGATTTCGAGCTCGGGGGTACGGAGTCTGACGAAACCGATGGCTCAGAGGGCGGCGAGACACCAAGGTCTGCCAGTGGCACTCGCCGGCCTGGCCTGGCCGTGACGCGAACGAGTCCCGAGCGCTTCGACGGGGTGCGGCCGCCATCGGTCATGGACAGGCACGGGCTCGTTGTGCGGACGGAGAGCTGCGAGCGGCTTGCCCCGAACCTTCAGATGCTGAACGCTGGCCGTCGCAGCAGGACGGGAAGCCCGACGCGGCTGAAGAAATCAATCATGATACCCCAGGAAAGCTAGCGGCAACAATCCATTGGGGGAAAGTCTTGAAAGGAAACGTTCATGATTGTATGATACACACGTCAAAGTCTCTGGGCTCCGTCGTCGGCTTCTTTGTACATCTTCACTTCTCTTAAAGTGTTTCTTTCCCCGCCAGATCGAGCACGGCAGGCCTTTTGGATATTGGGTAAATAGGGGTTTCCGGCGAAGCAATCATGGCTTTAAGCCGAGCTTTAGGAAGAGATAGTCCCTCTTCATCAAGCACCATAGTTAATGTTAATGAGTAGTACCTAGCTCTACGCACGCCTGAGGTATATACCCTTTTCTTCTTTCTGAGCCATAGACTTGATATTATTGTACCTCAGCGGTTTTTTCTTTTCTTTGCTTTCTTTCTCAAATACAGGTGAAATCAATCCCCTACGTGTACTAATTGACGGATGGATGAATGGATATGGAGCAGCAATTATTATTTGCTCTACGCTACAAATGCAGTGCGGGAAATCGATGTGGTGAAATGTAAAAGTGTAGATGTGGGAGGCGTTTTGTAACGGGATAATTCTCAGTCAGACTGCTTCTCGAGGAAACTCGGATCGGATCGGACTCGTGATTCGAACTTGCGCCACCACTCCTCAAAGGCCCGGAGAGGAACGACCTCGACGCCGCCGGGCCCCGCCGTCCCGCTGAAGCTGGCGAGGAAGTTGAATGCGTTTTGGATGATGCGCTGGGCAAGGACGACGGTGGGCACTGGTGATGATGATGAAGACTGAGAAGAAGTTGAGGAAGCTTGTTGTTGTTGTGTCGCTTTGTTGGCGGCGAGTTCTTGTAGGCGCGGGGCGACGGCGTCGGCGGGCTCGACGGAGATGCCAATCATGAGGCCGCCGTCACTGCTGCTGCTGTTGTGGCTACTGCTCGCATCTGGTGACGTCTCGGAGCCGGCGCCGGCGGCGACCTTGAACATGGCGCTCTCCTTGCCGGGGCCGATGGCGCCGAGGAAGCGGAAGTTGGGGGCGGGGCTGGCGGCGGCCTCGCGGGCGGTGGTGAGGTATATCGCGGCGGCGGAGTTGTCGGGGAGGGCGATGCCGGGGAGGAGGAAGACGACGATGTGGGAGAAGGGCTTGTTCGTGGGGAGGGCGTAGAGGAAGGATGTGGGGGATGGGGAGGAGGTTGGGGCTGTGATGAGGGGGTGGCCGGCGGGGACGATGCCGAAGAGGGGTGTTGACATTGTTTGATGTTGATGATGATGTTGTTGTTTTTGTTGTTGTTTGTTTGGGGTTGATTGGGGTTGAGAGAGGTTCGGGTTCGGGTTGTGTGGATGTGTGGTTGGTGTGGTTTTTTTTTGTGAGGCTTCTCGTGATGGTGCCTTGATGCTTGGTGACGTCGATGGATTGGTTGGTGGGTGTGGGAAGCTCGAGTCGGATTGACCTGAAGGGATCTGAGTTGGTGGGTGGGGTATTCTCTCCTCTGGTTCGTCTTTGTACTGGCCTTTAGGATTGGCGGCTTTGAAGAGGTTTGGCAGAAAGATGCAAAGTTCAGCGTCGTCGAAAATTATATGGACGATTTGACCTTGGATTGAGCATCAAGAATTGTGAAGCTCCAACAAAATGATCTGCAAGAATATGACGAACCCTTGTTGCCAGAAACAGTTAGTCGGAGGGACGAAGAAAAAAAAGGTAAGCTCCAGTGCTTTCTGGGGCAGGAACGTCGGGGTACACTTGTACTCCGCGACTGCCTCCCGGTCAAGGAGCAGCTAGATCCGGTCAACCCAACGAATTGAGTCGAGGCATTAATCCTCTTTTTCTTTTCTGTTTTTTTCTAAGCTTCACAAAAGACTGCATCAAATGATATAAACGACGGTTACTCAGAGGCGGATTTTCTTGTAGGCTTGGGTTTCTTCGGGCTTTTCTACTTCTGTGAGTACAACGCATCTGCTTCTTCGACTTTTGTTGGTTGTTGCCTGGGAGCCTCGTTATTCCGTTGCACACACGGATATGAAGAAGCACTGCCTGGTCCTTTCTGTTCCGCCTTGCGCCGGATGGTGTGATGGTTTGATCGCGTGATGGCTTTTCTAAAGGGCTTAGACCTCTGGGCGGTATGAGTAGATAGGTATAAACATCTACAGAGTTCACCCGATTTTTCAATCATTATGTGAGTGCTCAAGTGCGTGCAAAAGCGACTGACTAACAGCCACATCGCAACAGATAGCAAGCGTTTTCAGCATCATGTCGAAGAGTTATCTAGAGCTGATTGCAGAGACGGACCAGTGCGTACCTGTTATACCATTTCTTCCCGTCAACCGCCATGAGGGCAACCCCCTATCCCGTCGAAGGATGAGATCTTGACCACAACTCGGCAAGGTAGTCGCTGATAGACCCCCTGTGCAGGTTTCCGTACGATGACGACCAGACTGTCGAGGCCAATGCCTTCCGTGATGGACTGTACAAGCTACTCTGGGAAGATGAAGACGGCCAATACCCCATCGGTTTCGTCCGTGTCTGGGTCATCGATGAGCTTTCCAAAACGCCTCAAGACATACGGGGTGACATGCGCCTGAACACGGCGGACCGTACCGTCATGCTCTTCTACACTCCAAAGACGGAACAAGAGCGAACCCGTGTCGTCACCGGGCTGACTGCGTATTGGCGCGAGAAGGGCATCTTCAAGTCACTCAAGGGCTGGCGCAACGAGCTTTGGCCGGTGTATGATCGAAAGGGGGGCCTTGTCTTCAGCGTGGAGAGGGCTGCCATGGGCCTCTTCGGCACTACCCGATATGGCGTGCACATGGTTGCCTATGTCGAGCACCCAACCGCCCCTTACGGCATCAAGATCTGGGTGCCAAAGCGAGCAGCCAACAAGTCAACATTTCCCGGCATGCTGGACAACACCGTGGCTGGCGGTCTCATGACGGGCGAGGACCCCTTTGAGTGCATCATCCGGGAGGCCGACGAAGAGGCGAGCCTCCCCGATGCTCTGGTCCGCGGCAGTGCCGAATGGGTCGGTAACGTCACCTACATTTACATCACCGAGGCGGAGCATGTTGGAGAGGACGGCTACATTTACCCCGAGTGCCAATGGGTCTATGATCTCAAGCTACCTGCCGACGTCGTGCCGCAACCGAAAGACGGCGAGGTCGAAGAGTTTCGGCTGTGCGATGTGGACGAGATCAAGAGGGACTTGCGGGCCGGAAAATACAAGCCCAACTGCGCGCTGGTCTTGATCAACTTCTTCATCCGCCGTGGCATCCTGACCGAGGCCAACGAGTCTGAGTTGGCCGCCATCCAGGCGAGAATGCACCGAGAGCTTCCCTTTCCCGGCCCCCATCAGAAGGACTGGCCTGGGTCAGTGACCAAGCAGGCGGCTAAAGCAACGATAGGCTAGCTAGCTGTTGATTTGATATCCCCTTGATTTCTTCCATTTTTTCTCATCTCTTTGATGGCTTGAAGATTGCATGGCTCTAGATGATACATCTCTTCCTCTTCTTGACCTTTTAAAAGCCAGATTCTCTCCCAAATGAAACGCCGAAATTTTCAATATCCCTCTATTTAGTTCGTGAATGATGTGTGATGTGATTAATTGTCCCCGTTCGCCCGGTTTTTGCAATTGACAAAGATACTGCTCTTTTACCGCTTGACCAGCAGATAGACATAGTCGACTCGTAGAGGTGTCAGCTTCTTAACCGGACCCTGCAGAGACATGAGCAATCCGCCAAATGAGACGTAGGCGTTTCTGTAAGTAGCCACAAAAGTCAGCCAGCTGTTTCCTCAATCTTTCAAGTGCAAGGCTTTGTCCGGGCTGCGGCGCATACATGGTGTTGCCGTCAAACGTCTCCTCAAACTTGTAAATCTTGCCATAGCACACATAGTCGTACAGGTCGGCGAGCGTGGCCGGCGCATCGCCAGCCTTGCCGACGTCGCGCCAGCCCTTGTCGTCCTCCTTTGTGCCGTCGGGCGACAGCGTGGTGGTGAGGACGACGTGCAGGGTGTCGGAGACGGAGCAGGGGAAGAGCTCGATGTTGATGTCGAGCGTCATGACGGTCTGGGAGTCGCTTGAAGTGCAGGATATGCGGGCGACGCGGTCGTACTTTGACTGGTCGTAGTCGGTCACGGTGAAGGACTCTTCGAAGAGAGTGGCGTCGCCGCCTGCGCCGCCAGACATGTTGAGAGAAGAATTTGGGGGGTTTGTTGAATTATGAAGGGGGGGGAGGAGGAGATGTTTGTGATTCGGTAGTTGCAAAGAGTTGAGATTGGCGTTTGCGACGGGATTGGACTGGAGGCTCGGATTCGTCGTAGTATCTGGCGTGGGCAGCAGGTGTGTCTGATGTTCGGCGTTTGGAAATTTATTTCAGCTAGAGGGGTGCTGATGGGTCGCGATGTGTCGGATAAGAAGATATTATGCAGACTTTTTGGTGCTGGGCGATAATGCTGAATCGGGGCAATTTAGGGACTGATAAGATAAGGAATTTGTGTGGATGGTTTTTGCAGGTCATGATGCAATGAGAGAACAGCTGAGCCTTGGCTAGGTATCTTTGTTGATGCTCTTGAATTGCCATCTTGATGCCCTTGGCTATCATCCATTCATCGAATTCTCAAACTGAATAAGAATTGTTGCATTCAAGCATTCGTTGCCTTGATACACCGCGACACTTTGGGTACAGTCAGCCCCTCAGCAGCCTGACATTCAGACATCCATCCGTCCAGCATGTCGTTTCGAAAGAGGAATACAGTGATTGGCGTCTCTGGCGCCGCACCAGAAGCACAGCAAAAGAAAGTCTCAGTCCCGGGAACTCGGCCTTCCCCTCATGACGGACGACTCACCACCTCCACGGGAACTTCTTCCTTGGATCAGCTACTCGCGGGCCATGCTGGACTGCCCCTGGGCACAAGTCTCCTCCTCGAGGAGTCTGGGACAACCGATTTTGGAGGCATCTTGCTTCGCTACTTTGCCGCTGAAGGGCTGATTCAGGGTCATGCTGTCCATGTGCTGGGATTCGGGGACCATTGGCGGCGTGAGCTTCCGGGGCTGGCTGCCGAGGGCCGGTCCAAGGAGAGCAGGAGCTCCGGTTCATCGGACAGCAAGATGAAGATTGCTTGGCGATATGAGACGCTGGGCAGCAGAGCGGCGCCCTCAAGAGGTAAGCAATTTGTCTCTTTGAAGTGTCTTTGTAGGCCATATTTCTGACAATGAGCACAAAAGGCCCTTCAATATCAGACTCAACGGAAGGCATGGCCCCTTTTTGTCACACGTTTGATCTCACAGCGAGGTTGGACGACAGCGTCGCCCAGGGGCAGTTTCACACCACGCGAGGGACTGCCATGGACTCAAGCCAGTCGATATTCCGGCGCTTCATTAGCGACGTCACCACCAAGATCAAGAGCTCGCCTCCCACGAGCATCCACAGAATCGTCATTCCCGGCTTACTCTCCCCAACGATATATCCGCCCTCGGCTTCCCGCCCGCAAGAGGTGTTGCAGTTCTTACACCAAATCCGAGCCCTTTTGCGACAGTACCCATCGAGGATTGTCGCCATGATGACACTACCTACCTCGCTCTATCCCCGTTCAACAGGGCTGATTCGACGGGCGGAGCTGATATGCGATGGCGTACTGGAGCTGATACCGCTTCAGCAGCAGCCTCACCATCCTCCCGAACGAAGCTCGGCCAACGACACCAAGGCGCAGGGGCTCTTCAGAATACATTCGCTGCCCATATTCCATGAAAAGGGGGGCGGATTGGAGGGAAGCTGGGTGAAGGAGGACATGTCGTTTAAGCTGAGTGCTTCGAGCGGGCTGATCATCGCGCCGTACAGCCTGCCACCTCTGTTGGATGAGGACGGGTCTTCGAATGCGCCAGCAAATGACAGCAAGCCAAAGCTTGATTTTTAGCTTGGTGCTTGATTTCCCTTCGACTTCTCCCTCCCTCAATGTGCGATGTGTGAAGCCCAGCATTCTACCTCCCGAATCAACGGCCAGTTCAAGATACCTATGCAACTATACGGTATTTACAAAGTGGGTCGATATTCCCTTACCGGGACACAGAGCTTCCCCACCACAATAGCTCGATATTTTCATATAAAACTTTCAAAATGCCTTCAAAAGTCCTTTCCTAGCTTTCTCCCATCTCTTCCTCTCCTCATGTCTTCTTGCTCCAACTCCTGAAGAGGCCGAGGAAGAGACACACAAAGATGCAAGGTAAGCAATTCAATTGAGCTGCAAAATTTTCATTTTCCATTTGACAACACAATTCTCGGGGGTTCATTTACATGATTATTCCATTGAAAATCTGTCAATCCACTGAACACTGATGACAAAATCAAATTTTACGAAGACGACTTATGACTTTTATACCCTCTTGAACCCAAGACACAATGAACACTCTTGCTTGACCTCAATTGTACGCAGGCACTAATCATCAATTGCGTCTTTTTGCAGGATCATAGCCCACACACAATGGAACAACCCCCCCAGCAGCAGCAGCAGCAGCAGCTCATCCGCATCGCCAACATCTCGGGGCGGTACCTCGTCTTCGACCCGGATGCCGTGAGCGCCCTCCGCCGCAGGGCAAACACCAACGGCACCCTGGTGGGCACCACGCCGCAGCAGCCGACGCAGAACATCTTCCTGGGCCTGCCCATTGAGCTGCGGCCCGAGGAGGTGGACGCGCTGGTGCGAGCGGGCGTCGCCTACGTCGTGGATGACGTCGCCGCGCACAAGTCGGCGCTGCTGTCGCTCGGGCCCGACGAGCGGAGGGCGTACATTGGCTCGCTGCGGTCGCGGAAGCAGGCCGCGCACAAGGTCTTTGCCGAGATGACGGCCCACAAGGCTTCCATTGCGGCTACCAAGGCCGACAAGAAGAAGCGTGATCCGGGGGCATCTGAAGGCGGTGGCGGCGGCGGCGGCGGCAAACTTGATGGCAGCAGTGCCTACTCTCGCAATAGCCAAGTGACTTCGCTGGGCGTCACGCCGACTTCCAGCGTCAACTATGTCTCCCCAGATGCTCACGCCCTGCCTGTGGAACACAACCGTGACTCGGAAAGGGGGGCGCTGTGCCAGTTCATGCTGAGCAACGGGTTCTACATGACGCCCGGCTTGCGCTTCGGTGCCCGCTACAGCGTCTATCCCGGTGATCCCCTGCGTTTCCATGCGCACTTCATGGCCAACGAATACGGCTGGGAGGAAGAGATACCCATCCTTGACATCGTAGGCGGCGGCAGACTGGCAACAGCTGTAAAGAAGGCGTTCCTCATAGGCGGCCGTGAGCCGTCCGCCACAAAACCTGATTCGGCCCTCCCTTCTGTAAGAAGCTTCAGCATAGAGTGGGCCGGCATGTAGGAGATCCAACGAAGATTAATGAACATGATGAACCCTTATCCTCATTCAAAGTACGAGAGAAGTAGAAAAGAGGCTACTATATATATGTACCGACATCGTCAGTCTAAGTGAAAAAAAGAATAGAAGAAGAAACGAAGGGGGCAAAAGCAAGCTCCCCAACATCAGAGATGAAATAATTCAAAGCTTCCTGCCTAATAATCCCCAACTCCAAAATATGTGCCTGATGCAAACGTAAAAAACCAGAAAACCGAAAGGTAAACAAGTGTGGAAAAAGAAGTATGAGAACGAAGCAGAGAAGACAAAGAGCGACGACTGCGTACAAGCAAGCAATCTCGCAACCGAGCCTTTGGTCTTTCTCGGGTTGAATTCCCGCTAAATCGAGCATTTCAAGGGACATAAATCCTGCTGAAGCTCATGACATCCCGGCGGCAACAGACGCACTTGTCAAAGTTGTTCATAGCCAACGAGACGCGGCAGTCGTCGCACAAGCTCAGGCAGCGGCACGGCCACACGATGACGGTCCGGGGCGAGCACTGGCAGACCACGCACGGAGGACTCTCGCCCTCGGCCGGGTACGACGGGCTCTCGCTCCCGCGGATGTCTCGCTGGTCGTCGTCGTTGGTCGGGGTGCCTTGGCGCTTCGTCCAGATGAGCTGCTCGAGCAGATGCTCTTCCTCCTCCGGGCTGAGCTTCGTCAGGCGGCCTTGGGGGCCGAGCTTCTTCGGCTGCTTTGCCTTGGGGCTCTGCACCGTCAGGATCCGAGTTCGTTGCAGCTGCTCCATGCGTCTGAAGCCGGATCTGGTCAGAATGCGATCGCTCTGCAGGTGGGCTGCCAGCCTTTCGGCGTCCTGTCGCTCTTCCAGACTGGTAGGGTGCAGGAGACGAGCAAGATCGCTCATGGCCAGTGGACTATCAAGGAACGGGGTGCTCTCGCGCGACGGCTGCGGTGAGCGCTGGGTGGGTGTTCTCTGTCCGCTGCCCTCCTCCGATGAGTAGCCGCCGCCGCCTTCGTCTTCCGTGTCGCCCCCGTTGGTGGTCATGGTGATGACGCTCGTATTGTCCCAGTCCTCGTCGTCCTGGCTTGGCTGATACGTGCCGCTCATGTCGTTGGAACCCCACCAACCTCCCTTGAGCCAGTACTTGTACAAATCGCCATCGAGGGTTTCTTCATCTTGGCTTGTATCGACTCGTCTAAACTCGGCCTCAATGTCGAGAGCATCCATCCTAAGGGAGGCGTCTCCATCCGTGGGCTTGGTTGTCGCATCCCTGCTACCGCCGGAGCGGCTCTTTTGCGCTGACGCTTCGTCGCTTCCATTCCCCTTGGTGCGGCTCGCAAGCCACAGCAGCCATGCAGGGCGAGCTTGGATGCGAAGGACACTGAGGAGCCACAGAACAGACAAGGCAAACACCCTTCCCAGCAGCTTATTGATGGCAATGAGGAATTCAACAGCCAGGACCCATCGCGAACTCCTCTCGGAAGCGCCAATGCCCACTCGAATGACTTTATCGCCACGACCGCGGGGGACCTTTTGCGCAGCACGCTCTCGGCTGTAGCCATTAGGGGGCAAGAGTGGCCCGTCCTTGACAGGAATCAGACCAACTGTGCCTATCTGGTCGTAACGGGGATCGGAAAGGCCCATGCTGATCCAGTGCCTCCGCAACTCCTCTGCCTCTCGATAACGGGCTTCTTCAAGCCACGTCTGGCGTTTCATACTGACGCCGCGGTCTTCATTCAGATACACGGCCTCGCTGGCCATGGTAATAGCGGCGAATCCCGTTCTCAGTAAGGCAGTGTAAAAATCCATTTCTCGCGTGATTCGAAGTTCTGACAAGGAGACATTGGCCTGCATATTCTCATGCGCGCGGAACAGGCGTTGGCGAAAAGTCATGCCCGAGTTCTCCTGGCTCGCAGGCGGCATCACGGCCGTGAGCAGCAAGGCGAGACCGTACACGAACAGACACATGATGATGCCAATGAGGATCAAGACGTGAGGGATAAAGCCAATGATGCAGACTGTAGGGAATCTGAAGAAACCTTGAGTGGCAGGGTTCTCGGCCTCAAAGGTTATGAAACTCCATACAAGACTGCCCATGTAGCAGAGGCCCCAGAATGCCGTGCTCGCAAGCCGATACTTGGCTTGGAGATCGAAGATGCCCAAGACATGGCTCGTGATGTGTGTCATGGACGATAGAAAGGCGATCCACAGGACTTCGGGCGACGTATTGACACGTCGAAGAATTGCCGCGCGTGTCATGACAACAGTGCCTCCTTGGCTGAGTGATGCCGGAATCGGGCTTTGGTACTTAGAGAAAGCGCCCCATCCGAGCTGGCTGTTAACGGCTGCATCAGCCTCGGCGAAGGCAAGGGACTGTTCAAACAGCGTCATGCCTGTCTCGGCAGCCACGGAACGCCCTTGGACCGCGCAGGAGATGGTCTCGAGGAACTGGCTGAGGCAGTACGTGCCGAACTGGGGCCACAGCCGAGAGAGGGAGCCGCGCAGCTCTCGGGGAGCGTCGGGGTCCGGTGACGGCACCATCTGCGCAGCAACGCAGGACTGCTCATCCGTGGCGCCGAAGAGCAGCGTCGAGCTGATGGTGTTGAGGAACGTATTCGAGTGCGAGAACATGAGATCAGAGCTCTTGTTGGCATCGCCCCAGCGCAGCAGCGCAAAGTCCGGCGACGTCTGGCACTGGATAGACTGAAGGACGGTTCTGGCCTGCAAGACCAGCAGGACAACGGGGACGATTCGCAGCACGAGTCTAACTTGCCAGCGAAGCCGCAGCCTCCGCCGTGTGGCCGCAAAGATGTGGGTTCGGTTGAGGATGACGGCCATGGCAAGGCACGAGAGCGCCCATTTGCTGGTGGCATAGCCGAAGACGCTGCCCAGACCCCGAACTCCGTCCAGAGAAAGGAAGGGAGCCTGGGCGGATGAGCCGCCGACCTGGGAGCTGGGGGCCGAGGCGACGTTCATGATGTTGCTGTAGAGGCTCGAGTCGGTGGTGAGAGGGCGGAGCATCTCGGCGTCGGACTCGGTCGCAGAAGCCACGACGTCCTGGGCCGAGAGGGCGAGGGAGTTGGGTGCCGTCATGAAGGAGCCGAGCTTCATGACGATGCGCGGACCAGCCATGACGACGTCTTCGAACAGAGGCGCGTACCGCGTCACGTTGACAGCTCGGGCGAGGGCCGTCAGGTTATACCAGGCATTCGTCGTCGTCGTCGGGTCGAAATCGGCGGCCTGCTGTGTCGCTGCCAGAGGCGGCACTACTCCAAGGCCATCCTGCATGACAGAGGCCAGTCAAGCGATGGCCGCGGCTGGGGAAGCGATTCCGACAGGGCGATGCGCGGGACGGAGACTGTGAGTTGTGATTCGAGGAGATGCGAGCGGGTGGCTGGAGCGACGCAGCCGTGAGGAGATGCGACTCGAGATTGGTTTTGGGGGAAGAATGTCTGTTGCTGAGAAGCTGAAGCCTCTGACAGAGGCGTGAAACGAGATAAATATATCAGGTCGAGAGGAATGGAAGGCTGAGTGGCTGCGCATGGGTAGGGTAGGTTGGCAGCTGGAGTTCAGTGCCCGCCCAGTAATAGTAGCCCTGTATCTACAGGGCATTGGTTGCATGTGGTGGCTGCAGTACCTGAGCAGATAACTGTAGATTGGTGCAGATACCTCCCGTCGGTGACGGGCGAGATTCGGCCCCGGAATAGCAGCGCGATGGGTATCGGGCCCTCTGTGGCGTCAACCCCGAGGGTACTGTGAGATAATCGGCCAGTACCTTCCATGTTACCTACGGGATCAATCCATTAGTGCAGTGCCAGGAGACTCCATCCATTTACAGTGTTTACATCGTATGATAGCATGCCGGTTGACACAGATCTGGGCGCTTCATCTCACTCTGCACTGTGTCAGTGAATGTCGTTGGTGATGAGGAGCCAAGTAAAGGAAATGCTTACCTACCTAAGCTCGTATTGGAGTACTGTGATACCATATGGATATAAAGAGCAGCAAACATGTCGGCTACTACCTATCCAAGGTAAAAGTAGGTACATACGAGAACATGTACTTGTAGGATCGTTACCTTACTGCTCAACATCAGATTCGTCAAAGAGAGAGAGAGAGATGGAAACAAGCTTCTCACGCTTCGGATAGCGACACAAGAGCCTTGCAGCGACTAGCCCAGACATGGGATGGTACAGTAGGCACATCAGATCTACATCAGTCTCGAGCCGTCAACCTCCAAGTAGGTACCTATCACAGACAAACCACCCGCTTCCTGCAACGACGCCTCAACACCCCTTCAAGAACCCGATGCCCGCCTGGTCTCCAATCCGATGCGTCCAGGTCCCTCCAAGTCACTCTGCAACAGCCACATGTCACTGCCACCAGCACATCACCAGGCCTGTGGCGACCACCGTTAGGCTCCTCTATAGCATTGATTGAGTCCCGTAGCACAGCGACGTCAGCCCTCCCTCCTTGGGGTGCGTGCTGTATATGCATATATGCCTGTACGGAGTATAACGATCCCATCTGATCGCCCTGTACGACGTCGTATTATTCGCCCGCCGCTCGTGAAGCAGCATGTCTGCGGACCAGCAGGATTCCCCGGGCTCCTCCAGCGTCGTCAACCCGTCACAATCACAGGAACTGGAACAGGCACAGTCGCAGCCGCAGTTGCAGTCGCAGCCCCCGACCTCGGACGCCAGCATCCAGGCCTCGGTGCTGCAGCAGAGCATCGAGACGCCCGGCATTGCCTCGCCCACAGCCCGCGAGCCAGGCGACGACAACGATGAGCCCGCCATAGCGACGCCAGTCGCCCGCATGTCCAGCCCCGACTCGGCGGCGGCTCGCGCGCAGGGAGCCGCCAACCCTGCGGCGGATGACGATGGCGGCGACGTCGACAGCAGCCCGGACGACGGGCGGTCCTTTTACAAGATGCACAAGTTCACCCTCTACGAGACCGTCAGCCGCTACTACATGGTCGGCGTCGACGTCAGCGAGCGCCGGTACCGCATCCTCAAGATCGACCGCACCACGGAGGGCGCCGAGCTCAACATCACAGACGACAAGATCGTCTACAGCCTGAGGGAGATCAACCAGCTGCTCGACACCATCGACGACGGCAACCGGGCGTCGGGCGGCATCAAGCTGCGCTGCACCACCTGGGGCCTGCTGGGCTTCATCAAGTTCACCGGCCCGTACTACATGCTGCTCATCACCAAGAAGAGCACCGTCGCCATGATCGGGGGCCACTATATCCATCAGCTCGAGGGCACGGAGCTGGTGCCCCTGACGCCGGGCCGCTCCAAGGTCGACGTCCGCAACAAGCCCGAGGAGCAGCGCTTCTTGACCATCCTCAACACGCTGGACCTGACCAAGTCCTTTTACTACAGCTACTCGTACGACATTACTCGCACTCTCCAGCACAACATCACACGGGAGAGGACGTCGCTGGCTAATGGAACCATTCCCTGGCCCAACGAAGACCTCAACGCCATGTTTGTGTGGAACAGCTACCTGTTGCAGCCCGCCGTCAACGTCCTTCAAGACCCCTATGACTGGTGTCGGCCCATCATCCACGGCTATATCGATCAAGCAGGTGTGTGTCTCTCATGCTTTTACAGGTATCTACTCCTCATCGTCCATGAGCTACTACTGACCTGCATGATGAAGCCCTCTCGATATATGGCCGTACAGCCCACATCACCGTCATCGCCAGGCGATCACGGTATTTCGCAGGTGCTCGTTTCCTGAAACGAGGCGCAAATGACCTGGTGAGTCCATGTTGCGACCTTCTCGCCCCCGTCTCCTCCACCTTCACCTTCACCTTCACCTTCTCATACGGCATCAGGGATACGTCGCCAACGACGTGGAAACGGAACAAATCGTTGCCGAGTCTCTCACAACCTCCTTCCATGCCCCTGGCCCCAGGCCGTACTGCAGTCCTCAGTACACCTCATATGTCCAGCATCGCGGAAGTATCCCTCTCTACTGGACTCAGGACAGCACCGGCGTGACTCCAAAACCGCCCATTGAGCTCAATCTCGTAGATCCCTTCTACAGCGCCGCCGCTCTTCATTTCGATAACCTGTTTGAGCGCTACGGCGCCCCCATCTATGTGCTGAACCTCGTCAAATCAAAGGAAAGGCAGCCGAGGGAGTCGAAGCTGCTAGCGGAGTACACGCACGCCATCGACTATCTAAACCAGTTTCTGCCAGCCGACAAGAAGATTATTCACAAGGCGTGGGACATGAGCCGTGCATCCAAGATCCGCGGCGGCGACGTCATTGGCAATCTGGAAACGATTGCCGAGTCCGTCTTGAAGACGACTGGCTTCTTCCGAAACGGCGATGGCATCACAAGCCCCATGACAGCCCAGAACGGCGTTGCCCGTACAAACTGCATCGACTGCCTGGACCGCACCAATGCGGCGCAGTTCGTCATTGGCAAACGCGCTCTGGGTCATCAGCTTCACGCCCTCGGCATTCTCGAGAGCACCTCTGTCGAGTATGATACCGATGCCGTCAACCTCTTCACCCACATGTGGCATGACCACGGTGATACAATTGCGGTCCAGTACGGTGGTTCACAGCTGGTCAACACCATGGAGACATATCGAAAGATCAACCAGTGGACCAGCCACTCCCGGGACATGATTGAGAGCTTCAAGCGATACTACAACAACTCCTTCCTGGACAGCCAGAGACAGGAGGCGTACAACCTCTTCCTCGGCAACTACATCTTCACGCAAGGCCAGCCCATGCTCTGGGATCTGCCGACGGACTACTACCTTCACCACGCCAACCCCAAGGAGTGGACGGAAAAGCCGAGGCCGAACTACATCAACTGGTACACACCGGCGCATCTGGAGGAGAGAAAGATCCCTCCCTTTGTAGCGCCAAAGGCTCTCAAGCATTGTAAGAACACGGAATCCTTTGATGACTACTGGCTAGAGTACTATCGACCGGCCACTCTGTCGTCCTTCCCCAAGATGTTTGCGTACAAGATGAACTCGACTATCAAATACATTCCCTTGAAGGCGACTCAGGATGGCAGATATGATCTCAGCCCGTTCCGAGTCCGAACCGACGGCGACGTCGATCCTGAGAAGAGGAAAGTGAAGAAGGAGCCGACATCGCCGACCGAGTCGCTGGCCTCGACGCAGACATACCGGCAACAGGCAGCTTTCTCGGATACGGGAGATAACGCCTCGTCGATATATTCCGAGAAGACTGGGAGGGACGCGTCTCGAAACGTCTGGCTGCGGCCGAGGCAGCGCGGGTCGCAAAATGGTGAGATCTGGGGCATCTACGGCAGCCACGGGGCGATATCGCCTGCGAAGGCCTCTCTGTCGGCGGACACGCTGAGGGAGAAGCCGTCGGATCTCGAAAAGTCCAAGGGGACGCAGTGGACGTTTACCAAGGCGGTGCATGACGCGCTCAACCCCTTTGTGAAGGACCACGAAGCGGATGACTATGAGCGGTACATTCGCCATCCGCAGAACCTCCCGCTCGTCGTGTCAAGCGATACCCCGGTGGACGTCGACTCGTCCGAGTACAAGGACTATGTGGACGGCGCATGGCTAGATCAGGGCTTGATGGTGACGGGGCTCGACGAGGATGCAGACCTCTACTCGGAGCTGGTGAAGATAGGAGAGAACCCCCTGACCGTCACCGAAGAGGATGCGCCCAAGAAGAGGTACAAGGCCTACGGCAAGTGGCTGCGAGGCAAGTCGTTCTTCAAGCAGCAGCCGCTAGATTAAAACGTGCCCCCCTGCGGCTCTTGTCGCGGGCATTATGATGATGACTCGGGATATATTTGCTTTACTTGAGGGGGTTGGGAAGTAATCCAGCGAGTCGGGGCTCTTTCTCCAAGATAGCGGCGAGTTGGGCAGGGGGGCCAGAGCCGCCTTCTCGACTCCAGAGGGTTTGTAAGAGGTTTGATGTACGAATAAGATGAGCCGAAATTCGGTCTCTGTCTTGAGTCGGTAGCTGTGAAGATGTGAGGTTGAGCCAGCATCGTGAGATTGTGTAAAGCACTTGAGCTATGTATCCGGAAATAGAAGACCTCGGCCAGCAGTTGATCAAGGTCGCGTTCAGCGCTTCAACTGTTGCACAGACGAGTGGTGGGTATTCCGTGACAAAGGGGTCTGACAGCGTAGCCGAGAACAAGCGGAGGAGCCTCTGCGTGAGGATTGGTTGATTAGCACAGAGCAAGTTGGGGGTTGAGGTCGAGATAAAGTGTGAGAGGTTGGCTTTACCTGGAGGTACTTTGCAGAGAAAAGGCCCATGCAGGAGACAATGTCCTTGATGACGATCATGAGGACTTCAACGATGCGAACGTGCTGTGAGGCGTGAAAGTGGCCCGTGAAGACGCCGTCCCGCAGGATCCTGTCGAGTGCTTTCCGCCTTTTCGCGCTCTTTGGGTTTGGATCTAGCTGGGCTACGCGAAGGAGGACCTGGTATGCGGGATACAGGAGCTGTAAGGATTCGCTCTCGGGCGTCGTGTCGGGCAGGAAGAGCAGCGTAGGGAAGACGGCGTCTTGGATGACGTTGTCGACGCCGGCGGAGAGGATTGTGTTGGGGGGGCATTTGTCGAGGAAGAGGAGGAGAATCTTGAGGCCTTTGGCTCTCACTGCTGTGCTGATGTCTTCGGCTAGGGAGAGGAGGATGGGGAGGAAGAGAGGCCAGTGGCGGGCTATTGCGGCTTGCTGGTTTGAGTTAGCGATTATATTGCATGGCATTGTGTTGAGATTGAGCATTCTGATTGTTGTGGTAGCTTACGCTGCATGATGTGACGGCCCATTTGAAGCTCGATGCGGCATGGAGCTTTTCGTGTTCTTGAGCGAGGGAGTCGAGCTGTGCGCCGGGCTGTCTGCCGCTCGGCTGGTGAGGGACTTGCAGGGGCCGGCCGGAGGGAGCCAGTCTGGTGGACGACGACGACTTGGCGAACTGGGGGCGGAGGGTGTCGTTGAGGAGGGTCTGGATGATGAAGGTATCCCGTTTTTCATCATCGTCATCGCTGAGGCTGGTTTCCAGGAGGCGAGTTGCGAGGCGGGCGGATTGTGTGGTTGTCCAGGGGTCGTTGTCGTCGGTGTATGGGACGAGATGGATGAGCGCTGCGTTGTCGAGGGCGAGGGGGATTGATGATGAGGGTTGGAGGAGGGAGATGAGGGTGAGGAGGGCGAGGCCGACTTCTGCTGCTAGGGAGCGGATCGTGTAGTCGACGGCTACATGAGGGATGTTCTTAGCAATGAGTTCTCGAGCTGTACAGATGGGGTCTTGACTTTACATTGTGCCTCGTTGTTCGCGGCATCGTTGGAGAGGTCGAGAAGCTTTTCAACCACAGGGCCGATGAGGCTTCGAGCATGCGAAGTGTCTTCATCTGAGATGGCGCTGGAGGCCAGTAAAGGTTCAGTGGAGGGGTTTTCCTCATCTTTCGCCTGGTTGGCCAGCAGAGCATCGAGATGACTGAAGAGCTCGAGGCCGGTATCACGGAGTGCCTGTGCGTGGGAGACGGTGCATTGTGAGAATTAACGCGGTGGTTGTCAGTGAGGAATGTTGAAGACATTTACCTCGAGAGCAGCTGTGGCCTGTAGTCTGGTCGAGGCATCTTCTAGATTCAAGTCTATGACCTTTTCCTGCGCTGGAAGATGGAAATTGTTTAGCTAACACTACCTTAAGACAAACGGCGAGATGGCACGAGAGGGCGTGAGAAGTGCAGACATACCGGATTGGATCGCCTTGAGCCTTTCGCGGTTGGCATCGCCAAGCAGTGCTTCATGCATCCTGAAAGACTGTGTCAAGGCAGGTCTGGAAAAGGTCAAAGTCACCGTCAAAGTCGCACGTTGGATTAGAAATGGCGGCCTTGGGTGATGATGATGATGATGATGGCGTGAGTTGAATCAGAGTTGTCTAAGGTTTGGTACGCAAAGTGAATGTATGTATCTTGGTAGTGGTTTGTCAGAGGCGCCCTGGTTAACTGCCAGGCTCGAGTATCCGCCTAGAATCCCGCTTGCAGCTCTATTATTTATTCACTTAGGGGCGCGAATTTCCACGACAGCGCATCAGCTGCAGAATGACCAAAAGATCTTTAATCATTCACATACGCAGCAGGATTAGGGACGAATGTTTAAATCATAAAACATCTATTTTCTCTCTCTTTGCTTCTAGATGAGACGGCCCAACATGCTTGTCTAATGCACGTCTTTGATTGTCTACATGTAACACGCAACATCTACGACTTACCCTCTGAGCTTCGGCAGTTGCGCGACAACCATATGAAACCTTGCCAGGTGTTAGCATTGCTTTCCATCTCCAGCAATGTACACCAAAGAGCATCGAGAGCAGCACATCAGAAAGCCGGTTTACTCATTCATCCAGCCGGCCTCACCTGCAGAGAACCCAAAACGAGCTCCCCGCAGGCAAGACAACGAGAGCCGCATGACATCAAAAGAAAACTCCATCCCCCGGTAGTATGCGTGAACAAGTACCAGGGAACGGAGGGCGACTTGGCTTAGACGAGATCGTTGAATGGATAGACTTGTTTTCATCACTTGACGCCTCGAGCCAGGTTTGGCAAGCAGAAATCTCTTCACATACCGGTTGACAAAGGACTGTGCGCGGCGCAGCTTGTAACGTAGAGCAAGCAGAAAGATTACTACACAGTAGAACGGAAGAGTCAGCAACTTGAATCAACATGCCATTGTGCAAACATTGAAAGTGAAGAGTGAGTGACGATATCAGAGATCTTGGTTTGGTAATTTAGGAGTCATCAAAGATGATCAGAAGCAGAACTGAATAAAGGTTTTTCATCATCGACAGGGAAGGGTGAAAGGGTTCGAAAAGAAAAGCAAAACAGCATTCAAGCTTACCATTGTTAAGGTTAGTAGAGCATAAAGCATCTCCCAATGTTCAGCAGCAATAATAGCAGCAGGTAAAGAACCCTAAAGCAATACAGCGTTAGTTGACCAGCGCCACACGTGTATAGCAAGAATAGTCGAAGAAGGGCTTGGTCAGATGGTGATGCATGTTGGAGTTCTTCGCTCAGGGTTCGCGGGAACAAAAGTGTGTAAAATCATCATAGAAAGATGCTGGGTAAAGTGCGCGAACGATGAGGCATGTGCGGGTTTGTCGTACCTTGTAAACTGCAGGCTGCGGTCAAGTCCAGCTTCCAGTTGGCAATTGGCATCATGACCGCAGCGTCCCCCGGCATAGGGAGGCATCAGCCACGGCGCTGTTCCAGCGGCGCGTGTTTGAAGCTGAGCTTTGCTGGGTGAAGAAGAAGAAGAGCAACGATGCGAAGAAAAATTTCGGCGCGCAAAAGAAATTTGTAGTGGAGGGGACAATTGCCGTATCGATATGCGAGTATGCGATCATTTTGTTGAAGACCCACTTGCCTTATGCAAGTAACAGTTCCAGCCTGCGAGAGCGGTACGTACCTGAGCTATGCCTCTTCTGGCAATTCCAGCACTTCAAGATCCTCTCAAGCCTCTCACTCGCAACAAAGGGAGAAAAAAGTTCTTTCAAGCTGATCAAGACATAATAAATCCTCATGGCAGATCGAAGAAGAATAAACGGGCCAGGAGGCTCTACCTTACCGCCCGTATACGATGAAACCGAATCAGACGCGGCCTCGCTCCGCCAACGAGCGCCTGATGCCATCCGGCCACTCTGTGAGAATCTCATCTCATCGTCTTATATTCGTCTCAAAAAGACTGACCATCTCACTCTTCATCAGATCTCAAGACGGGAGTGACTCCGTCAGCATCTGGCTCGGCATATCTGGAGATTGAGCCGAGAGAAGGAAAACATGGCTCCGGCATGAAGCTGGCCTGCACCGTCCACGGCCCCCGATCCCTCCCGCGCTCTGCGCCTTTCTCTCCTTACATGGTCCTCTCGACGCATGTCAAGTTCGCCCCTTTTGCCACGAAGCAGCGCAGGGGCTATCTCCGGGACTCGAGCGAGAAGGACCTCAGCACACTGCTCGAGACGGCCCTCCGCGGCGCCATGATTGCGGACCGCTGGCCCAAGAGCGGCGTCGACGTCGTGGTGACGATCATCGAGGGGGAGTCGACCCGCCAGGACGCGGTGGAGCGGCGCGTCGAGGAATGGGACGCGATGAATGTGCTCGGAGGATGCATCACCGTTGCCTCTGCGGCCATTGCGGACGCAGGGATCGATTGTGTCGACACCGTCTCGGGAGGAGTGGCTGCCCTGGTGGCGGACAAGAACGGCGGCGAGCTGTCCATGGTGCTCGATCCCGTGGCTTTGGAGCATGAGTCTGTGCTTGCGGCTTGCTGCGTGGCATATTTGCCTAATAGAGATGAGGTCACGAATCTTTGGTTCAAGGGCCAGCTGCCCTCGACGGGAACGCACAATTACCAGACACTTGTTGCAAAGGCGGTACAGGCGAGTAGAGGAGTACATGGGCTGATTTCGGCGTCTCTCAGCGAGGTTATTGAGAATTCTCAGGGCTAAAATAGTACATATACTGAATAATAATGACCATGAATAATGACATATCCGAAGAATGTGGGTGTCTCAAGAGGCACCTTGACCATGTTGCGGGAGAAATACAGAGCAATACTTTGTTCAGCCATTATCATCTACTACCTTTTCCAAGTCTGCCAAGTCAATCTCGCAATCCAAATCAAACATGGCGAAAATTTCCATATCCAGACATTCCCTCTCAAGCATTATTACTGTCTGCCGTCAAAGTGTTGGCGGCCATCTAGGCAACCAAGCAGTCGACTATGCAGCCATCGTCACTCAATGAGTCGCTGCTCGCTTCCCCGAAAACCTCTCCGCAGGCCATCCCTGCATCGTCCACTTCTCTTCCACCACATCGCCACCCATAATGAGCGTGTGCTCCAAGAGACAGCTGTCGTTCTTCATCGTGGCGCCGCTAAGCAGTCTGCTCCCTGACCGCATCACACATCGATCCCCAATGCTCAGCCTATTCAGATCAAACTTGCCTCGGGTATTGATGTGAGCAACGACACTGGCATCGTCAATTGTCACTCGGTCTCCGAGCTTTATCAAATCGGGCTCCGTGAACATGAGGCTGGGGTTGCCATTGGCGAAAAGGGCACAGTCTTTGCCAATGTCTGCTCCCAGCGCTCGAAAGTAGAGCACAATCCAATGGGTTCCCGTGAGAAGCCCCAAGACGCCTTGGCTATGGAAGCAATGGCGTCGAAGCCGCTCAATGCTCAAGAAAAGCTGCCACCGCTGGCAATAGGAAGACTTGTCCCAGTCATAGTTACCAGGCATGCGGCGGCCCAGCAGAATCCACTTGCTCGCAACGACGATCAAGAGCGCCACGGCGGCCATTATGGTGAAGAGCGCTGCAATGGCAGCCCAAGACATCAAGAAAAGAACTGCGATGTTGTATGCGGTCCCCGACTCCCGGGGGATGAACCGGTTCATGAGCAAGTCAACCAGCTGTGCGCAGGCAACGATCGGCACATTCCAGTAAAAGGAGCTGAAGACCGTGATGAACGAAGAGTAGCAAAAGATGGTCAGCGGCCCGAGAACGCGGTAAGGCGCAAGCTTCAGATAGAAAGCCCGTCCGAATGGGGACATGCTGTCTGCTTCCCCCTTTTCTGATCTGTTGTCGTCCGTATCGCTTCCAGAAGATGTGCACAGCTCTTTGGGGCTACCAGCACGCAACTTGCCTGGCTTCGCCTCTGAAGACTGCAATTCTGCCAATGTGTCTTCACTGCCGGAGCGTTGGATTTGGGTTCGTACGGCGCCCTTCTTCGGTTCCGCCTTGGTGCTCATGAGAGTCTCATCACTGCTCATGTGCCGCATGCGGTGTCGAGCAGGGTTCTTCTCATCCTGTGCCGTGCTGCGGCCGCCAGAGAGGTGGATACAATCACGACCCTTGGAGCCGACATATGTACCTCCTGGTAGATACGAACTTCCCCGGCGTGTCAAGGCGCCAGAGCCCATTGTGGTTTGCTCGCCAACCGTGACCCCAGGAAGCAGGCACACTCTGTCCGCGATCATGGCACGGTCTTGGATCGTTATTTTTTCAGATCCAGTGCCATCTGAGGTCATGAGGTGAGCTCGGGAGCCAAATACGACGTCGTTGCCAACGTCCAAGAGATGGTAGTCCCCGATGCTTGGACCCGTGCCCGGCCAGTAGACTCGCTTGCCGATTCGGCCCCCTAGAAGCCGCAAGGCTATGGAGGTCGCTTCATAATGTTGTCCAAACATCGACGTCACATCGTGCAGGCGTGACACCGGTAGCAGCGTCTTCATCAGATCTGCTCGCCAGGTGACGATGGCGCCCCGGTCCCTAGCGGAGGTAAAGGTCATCTTTCCCAGTACGGCATCCAGCAGCAATTTCACCAGCACGGCAAACGCAAAGAACATAAAGGGGCCGACAAGGCATCGCAATACCAGAGCAAGGGAGTGAAATGCCACCCTCTTGTTCTCTGAGAACCAGTCCAGAATGTCCCTCACCGTCGAGGCATCTTCTGAAGGCATGTCTTGTACCATACCGACAAGGCCAGCCATCCAGGGCAGAATCGAAAGTATCCATGAGAGTAGAACCAGTGGGACGGTGAAGAAACAGGTGAGGAGTAGATGAGGTTTTGGTGCTTGGCTAGGAGAAAGGTCTCGGTTCTCCTCGTCGGCATCCTCTAGCTCCCAGCTGGATGAGTTTGGCCCAATGCAGGTATTGGGAGGAATCACCGATCCCGGTGCTACGATGGAAGATATGCCAATCGAGGCGTTTTCTCCAATGACAATCTGGCCCAGATACATCGAAGTGTTGCCTTCCGCAGCGAATGGACGACAAAGACAGCGCGTCAGGGTTGCGCCGTCTCGAATGTCGAGAAGATCCCACTCCCCAAGCGATGTCCCAGCAATCTTGACGTCTTTACCAATCTTGGCTCCCATCAGGCGATAGTACAGCCGCTTCGTGGAGTCATTGGTGTTGAAGAGCCCTTTCCCGCAGATGCTCACAATCTTCTGGACCATCCACCAGCGTGTGTGGTATGCTCCCCACATGGGATAGAGCCCTTCGCGATAACGGCCAATGATCAGCCACTTGGCAATGATGCCAAAGACAGGGGAAACGCATCTGATGATGAACTTGGAAAACATGACCGACACCGCCACGTTAAGCAGCCGGCCGGTCGTGTGTTGATTCGTCGGCCATCTCTGCACATAACTCATAACGATGATGAATGCAGTCCATTGGACGGCACGGCGCAGTGGATATACAACAGCAAGAGGGATGAGTTGAATGAGCATGAGCAAAGGATTCGTGGAGCTGTAGGTCTTGGAACAGCCAAAGCTCTCGTCCTGAGCTGAAGGCTCAGGTGTAAAGTCTGCCGTTTTCTCGATGAAGGCGGCAATAGCGGAAACAGTCCCTTGATTGAAAACGAGACTGATTGGGATCTGGGTATTGAAGGTTGATCGTAAGGCAGATGCCAGGCGCCCTGCCTTCAAAGAGTCTCCTCCAAGGGCGAAAAAGTCAATGTCGAGCTCAATGTCCATTGGTGGCTGGCAAAGAATTTCTCCAAAGACTTTCCTGACTCTACCCTCAATGGATGCCTCGAGTTTCTTTGAAGAAGCGCTGCCCATGCCTGCAAGGAGTACATCTAGTGCATCATCATCGACAGCGCCACTGCGATCAAGAGGCAGGGGATTAGGAAGCAGGTGTATATGTTCGGGAACCATGTATCCGTGGGTAGACTCGATCAGCTTTCTCTTCAATTCATCGAGCTGGTGATATGATGCCCTCGATGCCCCTGAGCTACCCTCGAGGGGAGCAATGAAAGCCTCCACGGTCCCCCTGAGATGATGCTGTCTGCAGTAGTGTCTGAAGCTACTGGCTGGAAACATATCGCTCACGCAGGCTGACAGCTTGCTGTAGTCGATAGTGCAGGGCGATGACTTGATAGGTATTGAGAGATCCGTGTCTGGCAGGGGGCATATGGCCTGCCAATGCCTGCTCAAGTACGGTGTGTCGTCCGTCAGCTCCGGAATGCCACATCGCTGGCCCAATTTAATTCTCAACACTTTGTTGTTCTTCTTCGGCAAATCATCCATGTAGGTGACGAGAACTGGCCACTTGACCTGCTGCAGAGAGGACCGCAATGCGTTCTGCAACGTCTTCAGGTCGGCACGAGGAGCGTTCGTTTGGGTGACCAGCACCACCGCCACCACCTCCTGAAGTACATCATGAGGTACGGAAAACGCAAGGGCTTGAGCGACACGCCCATGCAGGGGCGACTCTGGCGACATGGATAAACGCATAATAGCGTTCTCGACTTCAAACGGCGAGATGAGTTCGCCGCCCCGATTTATGACTTCCTTGCTCCGACCAGTGATGTAAAGGTAGCCATCTTTGTCCATATAGCCAAGGTCGCCAGTGTCGAACCAACCACTTGGGTTGAAGGGTGATCTGTCCAAGGTTCCGTCTGGCTTGAGATACCCTGGGAAGACAGGCTCGCCGCGAACGCAGATTCTACCCACGTCGCCAGTTGAGACACCTGAGTCTGACCAGTCCAGAATAGAAATCTCCGGTCCCGTACTGATGCCCGAGGTGCCTTCTCTGTCAAGCTGGTAATCCAAGGGAGGCGTTGATATCGGCATACATCTGCATACACGTGTCAGAACATCATCCTGCACCAGCAGCAAATCAACTCTATGCTCCTTACTCAGTCATTCCGTAGCTTGGGAGTACTGTGCAACTGAATGTGTCTCGAAGTCGACACGCCAGCGACGGCAAGAGACCTCCAGCAGCATTACATGCTAATCTGATGCAGTTCTGCTGCAAAGCGTCCTGGCGCTCGGAGGCTGCAGCCAGAATGACCGAATGCATTGACGGAGATGCGTAGTACCACGTTACCGGAACCTCCTGAACAACATCCCAAAACAAACTGGGATCGAACGCTGGACAGCAGACAGTCGAGCCGCCCGAGAAGATTGGAGCAAAGATGTTTCTGACTAGGCCGCCGCTATTGCAATCATCAGCTCAGAAAGTACTCTATAGCAGCCGCGTCTCCATATACTTACACATGGTATAAGGGCATCATGTTGAGGCAGATATCCGATGCCGACAGTCCCCAAGAGTCCACCACGAAGCTGATGCCGGCAATGATGGAATGTACTGTCAAGGGCACGACCTTCTTGGTGCCAGAAGTGCCACTCGTGAACAATATCAATCCAAAGTCATCTGGCCCGTTATAGTTAGGTTTTTGCCTTTGAAGTGGGAGGGGAGAGCCCCCAAGGTCTCGAACATCGATCTCGTCACGGTTGTCCCATCTCATCAAGAAGACTTCGATTCCTGCTGCGGCAACCCACGGATCTCTCAGGCCGAGCCTCTCACAGTCGTCGCTTGTGGTCAGTATGAACTGCGCACCAGCTTGCTGAACGTCTGCGCGGAATTGCTCTGCACCGGCAGCGGGATTGATTGGCGCAGACGTATAGTAGGTAGTGACAGCGATGCAAGTGGCCGCCAGCAAGGGACCATTAGGAAGAGCTATCGCAACGACTGGCTTGCGCGCAGAACCGTTTGTTGGGAGGTGAAAGCTATCAACGAAATTCCGTAGCCCATTGTGGGTGATGAAGTCTCCAGGTGTTGAAGAGCGCAAAGCCGGTTGCGAACTGGAAACGAGAAAAGAGGCAAAAGATGTATAAGACTTCTTGACCAGATCCGAAGTAACATGAACCAGCTGTGCTAGATTCTTATCCCGACGAGACTTTGCATCTTCTGGCAACAAGTGATACAGCCTTGTGTAGCATCTGATCAGAGGGAATGTCGGCCATGATCCCCGTAGCTCGCTCAACAAGAGATGTAGTAAAGCGAGTGGTCGATGGGAGGGATTCGGCGTACTTGGTATCGACTCTAGGATTCGTTCTTTATCAGCATCCGAATGTAGGAGTCGTTGGAACTCTCCATGTGTGCTAATATCGGATATTGGTAGAGAACAGAAACCCTCAAGCAAGACTGCGAGTTCTGACGGGGTCTGTAGAGAGCTCATCTTGAATCAAGGCCCTGTCTGGTGTATGCTCTAAACACAATTGCTGGTTGACGACCAGAAGAGCTGCGGCCTACGGAGAGGCATACCAAGGAGTCTCCCGAAGCAGCGGGAGCTTCAGCTTCATATACATGGAGAACATTGACGACCAACTGAATACAATCGAGACACGGCCGACCAGGACGGGCGATCAATGGATGATCACAATGGCCATCCCAAAGAACACACATGCCAGTTGCAGCAGGGCTTTTTCCCCCGGTCGTCTTGTAGCCACTCGTAACGTCATTGCGATGGGAAAGAATGGCATGTAAGACACCACGCCCAAGGCTGCACATCTAGGGGCCGATTCCAAGTAATGAGGGCTTACAGACGATGAGGGCATCATTGATTATCTCTCACACATGTCCCGTGGATTATCCCGTTCGAGAATGCTCGACAAGGGATCAATCTCTTGAATCCGAATGACGACGCATAATAAATTGACGATAGCCTCATTGGCTGCTTCTGGATTTCCCGATCAGAGCCGCCAGCAGAATAAGATCGTAGCAATCCGTGGTAACCGGGTGCCTATTTGGGAAGGAGCCCTGTTTCGTTGCCATACGGAAGAACGGGATGTTCGATCCCACGCTGAGGGCTTTAGATCTAGGAGCCGATCTCAAGACAGACAGACCAATGGCAGAAGTGCCGATCCCGAAGGCTGGGATCCATGGTTTGGGGATGCTTTGTGTCGAATCATAACTTTACATATAGCTCCATACACGGCGTCCGGAGTCGTATTAAGGAGTGAGGATGTTTGAGATAAGACATGTTTAGGACCAGGGGTAAGGTGCATGGCCATAACAATCTGCTGGAGAAGGGGATGTCCCCAGCGCAGAGTCGCCATTGTCGTCGATCACGGTTGCTTCGGCTCAGCTCGCTCTCTCGCATCGTCTTCTAACCATGAGATCCATAGCTAAAGAGTTGCCATCATGAAGCCTGAGCAACCCGTTGTGCCTTTGGAGGCAGCGGATCAGGCATTTGCAGGCTGTCACGTCGACTTGGTCAGATAGAACCGCCGGTTGAGAATGCTCGCGACTCACCTACACGGCACCACCAAGCTAACAACGAGGCCGGTCCAGACCATCGGAACGTAGGCCCGCACGCGCCGGAGTATCTGGCGAGATAGCTTGACGACAAGGAATGCTTGGCACGTGAATCAGTCCGATGCAGCAGGTTTGAGGTTGGCGTAGAGGCAATCTCAAGAAAATTAGCCAGGTGAAGATGCCAAGGATTATGTCTCTTCCTCTGACGGCTCGCTTCCTTCAAAACCTCCGACGATCCATGCCAGTCCGTGACGAGGGAAGAAAGAAGAATGGCGATTCATGGCCATGCCTCTTTGAGCTGAGGTTAAGCATAATCATGTTTGTCCGGTACATTGCGACATTCACAGTGGAAAGGGAGAGATGCTCTCTCCCTCCATATCTGAGCTGCCTTTATCAGTGTTAGTGTATAGTCAACCGACAAGGCGACAAGAATTGCGAATGGGGGCTTCCTTACAAAAGAAAATGACCTCTCACATTTCCTTTGATCGCCGTCCTCACCAAGCTGGTCGAGCTCACGATGCCCTGGAACAGAACATTCGCATGTCTGCTCCAGGTTAGTGACGATTTACATGCAAAGAATGGAGTTGTAATTGGCAGGCTGGGCTTCGTGCATTGGCCAATGGAGGAGCTCCGAGTGCGACGAATGGGTATCCTTGTAACAGCTATCTGTACAGTATAAGGTCGATATTCCTGTATCGAAGCCTTGATTCAATGAGAACATATCAGACCACAATCGATTCCTTTGCTGCATAGGGGTTTCTCTCAACCGTAAAGATAAGGGAAACAATCTTTTGGACATTGAAATAAGCTCCTTAAATGTCATATTAAAGTACAGCAAACTCTCAAACTGTCTCGTAATAAGGAATCTCAGGGAGCAAATATACCTATGCATATTACGGATACTAGACAGTACATAGTGTTTCCCTAGAGCCAGACCCTGCCTAGTCTCAAAGCGGTAGCAGTCTTTGCCAAAGCACTGCCTAGGCTGGTTTACGCAGCGGCAACAGCTCGTGCTAGCTTCAACCTTTCGCGCGCGTCCCCTGTACGTCAGGTACGTTCTGCGCCAACCTGCCTCCAACGCAAAATCAACGACTGCCCATTGTTGATGGATTCGTCGTCAACACCAGGCTGAGAGGATGGCGACCGAAATGCCCATATCTACGTACGTGTCATTGCACAGCGACGCGTCCTATATATTGCGGCACAGGCTGACATTCTCGTAGTGTCTATGTCCACAACCTCGAGGAGAGGGTGAAACCAGAGGTTCTCACGGACGCACTCAAGACTATCTTTTCCGAGTTTGGCAATGTAGTCGACATCGTGGCCAAGCGAAACCTCAAGGCCAAAGGCCAGGCATTCGTCGTGTTTGACGAGCCCAGCGCCGCCCACAAGGCCATCGAGGAGGTGGAAGGCTTCGAGCTTTTCGGCAAGCCCATGAGGGTTGCCATGGCCCGCATGCAGAGCGATAAAACCGTCGAGTTGCACGGCAGCAGCGAGGATCTCGATGCGCACAAACGGCACAGGCAAGCGGAGAAGGGTAAGATGAGATGGGATATACCAGAGTGGCTGGCTAGATTTGCTAACGCTTCTCCAGATAAACGCAAGGCGCTCGAGGCAGCAGACGAGCAGAGGCAGCTCAAGAGGGCCGCCGCGGGCGCGAGCGAAGCTCGACCATCGAAATCAGTCAAACCTTCGGGCCTCAAGTCAACAAGTGCTCCGGCTTCAGCCGTTGTGCCAGACGAATACTTGCCGCCGAACAAGATTCTCTTCGTCCAAAACGTTCCCGACGAGTACGATGTCGAGGGTCTTACGGCCATCTTTGGCCGCTTCGACGGGTTTCGGGAAATCAGACTGGTTCCAGGTCGGCGTGGAATTGCTTTCGTTGAATATGAGAATGAGCAAGGTGCTATTACAGCCAAGGAGAACACTGCTGGCATGAGTCTGGGAGACAAAATGATCAAGGTCACTTACCAGCGCCAATAACTACTATACCCAGATTAATATAAGGGCGTTTGTATTTTTGTTGAAAAACTTCCATGGGTCAAGGGATTTTGTATCCTCTACAATTACAGGAACAACAGAGACCACCATCATTAATAGTAAACGGAAAAGCAAAGCAAAGCAATGCAAAGCAGAAGCAGAAGCTGTCGGGTCCTTGGTTAGGACAGCCCATGGGCACCCTAGAAAATCACGTCGTCGTCATCCTCCCCAGCCAGAATATCTGCAGGGCCCGAATCCTGCGCCTTAGCATCTGTCTCGTTCTGTTCCGCTGCCTCTCTCTTCGCTTTCATCTCGGCATCGGCAGCGGCAGTGTCTCGTTGCTTCTTATTGGCGACCTGTGAAGAGTATCAGTAATGAGTCCTGAAGCAACGAACTCTGACATCGATTCACTAACCTTCTTCAAGCGGTAGAACTCTTCACGATCCAATTCGTCCAGCTCGGAGTTGATGTACTTGATTGTGTTTTCCGTTCGGGGGATGATGACGTGCTCGATCGCGTTCACTATAGAGAGGTCAGCTAGAGCAGTATAATACGAGTCGTGCTGGGGGATCGAACCTCTGCGATTGACCACCTTGATGACCTCGTCTAATATCACAAATGCGGTTTGTAAACTTGCCAGCTCCACGAGAGCTTCCACGGCTCGTGCATATGTTTCTCTGCATCGCTGAACCTGCTGTCCACCCTTTCCCAGGCCGGTAAGCCCAAAGTCATTGTTGCCTTCTGTCAGGTAGCTCTCGAATGATGGCAGGAGAACACCCGAAACGTTGTCCTGCTTGGTGCGTATCCGAAATCGAGCTGACTTGACTGATTCCTGGACCTGATATCCAATATCGCCGCCCACTGCATAGCTAACCTCAGCCAGCGAGAATGCGGCAATTTGCATCACACGTCCCATCTTCCGCTTTGCCTCATCGATTCGTCGGGTGATCTCTGCGCTGATGTCAGTTCGTCCAGTCTAGACGGCGGCCGGAATAGTGATGGCTGACCTCGGAATCGTCTATAGTAGCTCTGGTCAGCTGTTGCATCGCTCAGATTGGCCGATTCGTCTCCATTCCCTTACTTTGTAAGCGCCTCGCTCTTCCTCTTTAACAGACTGTGGCCCGTCTCAGCTCCCTTGAGCTTGGCCTTCATGATACCGAGCGATTGCCGAGTCGGGAAGACGGCCTCGCGATCCTAACAAGCAGAGCAGTTGAGCGTCGAGCGTCGAGCTAATTGCGGTAAAGCTGGGACGCAATAGAGACAATAACTTACTGCAGCGCCAGACATGTTTGCGAAGTTGACTTGATGTTCTGCAGGCTGTCGGTGCGAAGATTGTCTGGATGGATGTCACTCGCCAAGTTGCGTCGAGTTGCGTACCTCATCCCAAGCTCTCGGACCTCAATACAAGCTGCCGATGACTAAGGCAGTGGAAGGCAAGGTAACGGACGGCTCGTGTAGAAGCATGCTCCCCCACAAGGCCAAATTATCACTATAGCGGGTGTCTTCCGCCTGCCACTTCGGTAACGCTAAGCAACCTGGTCCTCTCATATCGTGACAAAGTGCCTACCGTAATTATTTTGGTCGCGAGCATCATTTGCAACCAACGCCTCCTGCAAGCTGGGAGGAAACCGACACCGACTGCGATACGACTCCCAGAACACACCATCATGGGTTTCACTGCATAAGCACGCCGAAAACCACTATCGCAACATCCTCTCCAGCCTCTCGCCTGAGAGGAGGAAGCCACCATGGCGGCTACAGAAGTGGGCAAGCAGCAAGCGCAGCCGGATCTATATCTCGTTGTGAGTTTGGAGAGCCAATTGCGCCGCTTCAAGATCGTTCTAATGCTTCTCACAGTCCAACGAAGATTCCGTGTACGAGCAAGACATCCTCCGCGATCCGACACGTGTGAAGCCATGGCTCGAATACATCGACTTCAAGACTCGCCATGGGAGCCTCATAGAACGGGCCTTTGTGATGGAGCGCGCTTGCATGACGCTTCCGCGGTCTTACAAGCTCTGGAAACTTGTTTGTCATCCTACGAATCTGTCGTGGCCTTCCTGCTGACTGATGGGCAGTACCTTACGTTTCGCGTGAAACACATCTCGAAGCTGAACCCAGCCACGCATGCCGCTGAATTTAGAAAAGTCAATGCTCTGTTTGAGAAGTCACTGATCCTGCTACACAAGATGCCGGTAATATGGGAAATGTACCTCAAGTTCCTCATGAAGCAGCCCCTGGTCACACTCACTCGGCGAACGTTTGATCGAGCCCTCCGAGCTCTACCGATCACCCAGCACAACCGCATATGGTCATTATATCTTCCCTTTGCCAACGCAGCTTCCGGAGAAACCGCTGTCAAGATTTGGCGACGCTATATGCAAGTTCATCCGGAAGACGCCGAGGACCTCATCGAGCTTCTGATTCTCAGGGGCGCCTACACTGAGGCAGCGAAGCGATACATAGATATTCTCAACGATACACGGTTCACCAGCAAACACGGCAAAGGCCACTATGAGCTCTGGAGCGAGATGGTTGAGATGCTGGTGGAACATGCGCCTGACATCGATACGAGCTATGAGAACGGGGTCGATGTAGAGGCCATCATCAGATCCGGCATCATTCGATTCAGTGACCAGAGGGGGAAGCTCTGGGTCGGCCTTGCCACATACTGGATCAGGAGGGGAAGCTTTGAGCGCGCGCGGGACGTCTTCGAGGAGGGCATCACGACAGTCATGACGGTCCGAGACTTCACTCTCATCTTCGACGCCTATGCCGAATTCGAGGAGTCCATTATCGGGGCCCTGATGGATGCTGCCACGACTCGTGCTGGAAAAGGCGTCGAGAACGAGGAGGCTGACTTGGAGCTCGACATACGGATGATGCGCTTCGAGAATCTCATGGACAGGCGTCCATTTCTTCTCAACGATGTCCTGCTGCGACAGAACCCTAACAATGTGCTAGAGTGGGAGAAGCGCGTTGCTCTTTGGGGCGATAAGAAGGCTGAGGTTGTCCAGACGTACACCGATGCGATTGCGACGATCAACCCGAAGAGGGCTGTCGGTCCATTTCACCAGCTGTGGGCCAATTACGCCAAGTTCTACGAACGTGGCGGTGATCTCAGAAACGCTCGCATCATCATGGAAAAAGCCGTCAAAGTTCCGTTCAAATCGGTGGCAGAACTCGCCGACATGTGGATTGAATGGGCTGAAATGGAACTTCGGAACGAGAACTTCGACGATGCGGTCCGAGTCATGGCAAAGGCCATCCAAGCGCCCAAGAGGTCCAACGTTGATTACTTTGACGAAACCCTCTCTCCTCAACAGCGAGTGCACAAGAGCTGGAAGCTGTGGAGTTTCTACGTGGACCTGGTGGAAAGCGTGTCAACACTGGATGAGGTGAAAAAGGTGTATGAGCGCATCTTTGAGCTCAGAATCGCGACTCCCCAAACAGTTGTGAATTACGCCAACCTCCTGGAAGAGCACAAATACTACGAAGAATCCTTCAAGGTCTTTGAGCGCGGCCTGGACCTCTTCAGCTACCCCGTAGCTTTCGAGCTGTGGAACCTCTACCTTACCAAGGCTGTCGACCGGAAGATTGGCATCGAACGATTGCGGGACCTCTTCGAGCAGGCAGTGGAGGACTGTCCGCCCAAGTTCGCCAAGACGATCTATCTCATGTACGGCAACCTGGAGGAGGAGCGTGGCCTTGCCCGACATGCAATGAGGATCTACGAGAGAGCAACGCGTGCCGTTGCCGATGAAGACCGGGCCGACATGTTCAATTTCTACATCACCAAGTCAGCTTCCAACTTTGGACTGCCGTCGACACGCCCCATCTACGAACGAGCAATCACTGCTCTCCCGGACAACGAAGCGAAGGAAATGTGCCTCAAGTTCGCCGATATGGAGAAGCGGCTGGGTGAGATTGACCGGGCGAGAGCCATCTATGGGCATGCCTCACAGTTCTGCGATCCTCGGACAAATGCGGATTTCTGGAGCAAGTGGGAGCAGTTCGAAGTCCAGCATGGCAACGAAGACACGTTCAAGGAAATGCTGCGAATCAAGCGAAGCGTCCAGGCCAAGTTCAACACCGATGTCAACTTTATCGCGTCACAAGCTTTGGCGCGGAGTCTCCAGAAGCCGGAGGGCTCACCAGGCGCAGACACCACGGATGCCATGGCGGCCTTGGAGAAGCAGTCTTCGACGCTGCACGGCTTCGTGGCTTCCAGCACGGGACCGCAGGGCACGACTCAGAGGGAGGAGGTGGTGGCATCCAATCCAGATGCTATTGATATTGACAATCTCGATGACTAAAATTACACGGCGGGAAATAATAGAGCGGCAATCAGGGAGGAGTTTGCTGGGATGTTTGCAAAAGAAAGTTCAAATGTGCTTCCATAATTTGACGGCTTCATTTCATTAATTGACATGGAATCAAGTGTCCCCTTCAATGTCGGCAGGGCAGATCACTTGCTGCCTTTCATCTCGGCAATCTTGGCGAAATATTTCTCGACTTTGTTCTTATCGACGTGGCCATCACGCGAGCTCGGCGTGGCATATATTGAGCCTTTGCGCTTCTGGAACCGACTCGGAGGCACCTTGGCAGCATCTGAGATTTTGTCAGCGGATCGACCACGCGAATACTTCCCGCGGCGACACTGGAGAGCTAAAGGAGCGACGGAACGAACCCCATTCATCACTGAGCCTGCGATCTCTGTTCACGGGTGGCTCGCCGGCTTCAGCTGCCGTGGCTGTGCTGGGCGGAGGCTGGTGGTACTGCTCCTGCTGTCCTGGGCTTTCTGCGTTCTGCATGATGTCGCCTTTGTCTCGGCCAGATATCTTTTGTCTCGGTCTGGATATGAAAATGATGGGATTGAATCAGGAACGGATCATGTTTCCGGTCCTCTGAGAGTGAGATAAACACGGCTCTAGGAATAGTCGAGAGTTTATATACACATGGCGGGGGATCCGCGGCAACTGCCATGACACGGCATGGCGTGCCAGCATCAGCTGTCGTCAATGAAGACCTCTGTCCTTCCTGGGATTGGACGGGAGGCCTCGTGGCGCTTCCAGGCTCTGCTGTAGACTTACCCCGCAGAATAGTCTTTGTGGACGGCAAATGATGGGTTGACGAGATCGAAGCTGCCGCCACACGATCTCCTGGCTGATTGACGTCACTGTGTGAGTAAGAGCCGGATTTGCGCTTCTGGTGTAATAATAGATGGTTTATAGCAATTTCATACACAGGTCCAGGAGTCTGTATTGAATTCCAGCTTCTTCGTGTGAATATCATGGATGTCATTACATGAATCTGATTTTTTGCCTTGTACAAGCGATGATCTAGATGAGATATAATCACGATAAACAAAAATCGATGCTTTCAGCATGATTTCAGAGGGACGGGAAAGAGTAGCAGCACTGGCTACACGAGGTTACATTTGCGAGTTTGGTTACCTAAAGGTCGGCATGCTGTATGACGGGGTCTGCAGCACAGCCGACCTTACGTATGCCACCTCTGATTGGCTGGCGCATAGCTATCTACCTACATACCTTATGCCGCCCATTATCCCCCCAGGTAGTTGTAATACCAGGCACTACCTCAGCACCTACAGTACCTACCTATACGGAGTCCCCCCCCCTGCAAGCTGCAACCTCCAACGCCAATGACACTCAGCTGCCTTGCCTCGACCATCGTCCAGTTCCACGCCGTCGATTCGCCGCTGCACGCGTCATGGCTGTCGGGGCGCTGTCCAATAGCTCGTACCACGCCGTCGACGAGGAGGCCAGGGCGGAAGTCGACGTGCTCAACTCGCGGCTCGACAGGACCACCCAATTGACCAAGAAGATCCAGGCCTCGCTCGGCCGCCTCGAGGCCACCGGCCAAAGCGTTCGAGATGTCGCCGCCCCCCTAAACGGCGAGACGCGGCGGCTGCAGACGCTCTCCAAAAGTCAGCTCTTCATCTCCTCGCCGAGGCCTCGCGTTCACTGCTAAGTAGGGAAAGCTAGATGTCGAAGCCGTGCTCGCTGCCATCGACCGTCTGCGGCAGCCGTCCGACAGCAAAGACGATGAGGAGCAAATCATCCGATCCGGCCCCGAAAAGGCCGGCCTGTCAAACTACCTCGCCTCCATCCAGCGGCTCAGCAACTCGTACAAGGAAATGCAGACGTCGAACCTGCGCGCGAACCAGGGCACCATGTCGGACCTGACCCGCCTCATCAAGCTGGGAAACACGCAGCTCGAGAACCACTTCGACAAGATCCTCCGCGGCGAGACGCCCCGATCCCTCGAGCCGCTCCACTACATCACCAAAGACAAGCCCTTCCCGGTGCTTTCTCAGGACAAAATTGCCCGGCTGGGCCTCGTATACTCGCATGTTGCCGGCAACTTTATCAACGGCTTCGAGTCCCCTGTTGCCAAGATCTACGCCGACATACGGGGGCCCTACCTATCCGCCTCCCTCGCCAATCTGGCCGCAGCCACCATCAACTCCTCCAAGAAGAAGAATCCCGGGGACATATACCAGGCCGGCGCAAATGGTATTGGGACGTACACGCAGGCCATGGAGGGCCTCTTCCTTGCCGAGTACGACAACATCTGCAGCATCTTCAAGCGGGAGGACTGGGGTCCCATCCTGCAGGCAACCTGCCAGGGCGCAGTCACCGAACTGGCCCGAACCCTGCGAGAGCTCAACACGCACATCAAAACCTACCTTACCACCGACTGCTACATGGCCTACGAGGTTACCGAAATCATTTCCGGCCTATCAAATAACCTGGACAAGCGGACAGGGGAGCTAAAGAGTTCGTTATCTGCTGCCTTGAAACCCGTTCGGGAAACCGCCAAATCTTCTCTCGCCGAGTTGCTGGAAGAGACGAGGCGGAAGATTGGCAACCTTCAGACGTTGCCAACGGATGGGGCTGCAAGCCCCATTGTAGCAGAGACGATGCAACGTTTAATCTCGATGGTGCAGTTCCTGGGGCCAATATCGAGCATCATGATCTCTCTCGGCGACGGTGGCTGGAAGCCCGGAGCTGCTGCTGGCGGCCGCACAACCGAGGGCATCCCGAGCTTAGCCTCGTTCGACGTGGGCGCAGACGGCAAAGAGCTATTCGCCCATTACTGCCTTGACACGATCGATACTATGCTCACATCCTTGGACCAAAAGGCCCGCGTGCTTCTCAGGAACAAGTCCCTGTTGGGCGTCTTTATGGCCAACAGCGTCGTCGTGATCGATCATTCGATTCGCAACTCGGAGCTGGCCCCACTGCTCGAGTCTCGTCTCGAGCTGCTGGATCAGTGGAGGAAGAAGGCCACTGTGCTGTACACTGATATCTGCAGAGACCTGTCTGTCTATCTCTTTGATACCATTCACACCAACCGAACCAAGCGGCCAACTTCTGGCCATGCGGATTCCGCCGACTCGGCGTCGGTTGTCAAGGGCCTCAACAGCAAAGACAAGGACAAGATCAAGGAGAAGTTTACGCAGTTTAACAATGCCTTTGACGACATGGTCTCCAAGCACAAGTCTTACACGATGGATCGTGAGGTGCGAGCCATGTTTGGCCAAGATATCCGTCAAAAGCTGCAGCCCCTGTATGAGCGATTCTGGGATCGATACCACGAGATTGACAAGGGGAAGGGCAAGTACGTCAAGTACGACAAGCAGTCGATTGCGGGTGTCTTTATGAGCCTCGCAACCTGATGTGCTGAGCGGAGCTGGGGCGAAGGATTTTTTTACGATAATGAATTCCAGAGACACAACCTGTCTCGCGGAAAAACCAATGAAGGCTGAACATCCTTCAGGAGATGAGATGTCTATGATGAGGTTTCTCGAAATCTGCACTTTTCAGCGCCTACTGGCATCAAATTACCACGCGATGGCATAGTTCAGCGAGTCGAGCCGAGTTCATCATCCAACCCTCGAACAAAGATGCAATCAACGAGAATTGTCCACTGGATTCTAAGGCGTGCAGCAATATGGACGGCTTATGGACAATTTATTCAGAGCCCTGTTTAACGCCTTCCACCGGCACGTATGGCTCTACAGATGGTGTTCGTTCCTACGCTGCGTGCGACAAGGTGCACCAAAAAACGACGTCCAATCTCACCTGTATATAACAAGCGGAAATGTTTTACCCTAATATACCAAGATATCTAGCGCAATAATCAACCTAATAAGCTACCTACTTCAACCCAAAGGGGATCCCGTTTATCCACTCCCAAATATCGCATCTACTCGTGACCTCCTATCCCAAACAATGACCCCATCACTCTTGCGCTTGAAGTACAAGATTCGATGCTGCGGAATAAACTCCTCGTCCGTCTGCTCGGTGCGCCAGCTATCCAGCGCCTTCTCCTGGGCTCCGAGGAACCGGTCTTCATAGCCCACGACGTAGTCGGCCGAGTCCATGCCGGGGTCCCAGCGGATGCGGTTCAGGGCGTCGACTGCGGTGCGGAGTTTGCCTGCTCCGGGCGGTTTGACATGGGAGGTGGTGGCCAACTTTGACACTCGAGCGGCATCTTTGTTGGAGGCGAGAGGATCGCCCACTGCCTCGTTCTGTTCGAGTTCCTCCGCGTCATCCTCATCGTCTGAGTCGATATCGGTATCGGCGGCATCGTAATCGTAGAGCTGCTCGGGGGCAAGCTGCACGGGACCGAGGCTCGATCGGCGCGCAATGGAGGCGCTCATCCAGCAGTGCTCGGGATCGAAGTACTTGTCACTCTTCTGGATCCGAGATTCAAACTCCTGGAGGATGCCTTGGATGGCGCCCTCTGCGGTGGTCAGACTCGTCGCGGATTTGTTGGCAGCGGCGTCGTCCTTTTTGAGGCCTATCAAGTAACACGCAGTAAGCTCCGGATTTTCGGCGTCGGTGTTGCTGGATGACTGTTCTTCGTCTGTGAATCGGGCAGGCCAGATGCGTGGTACAATGCCTGGAGACTTTCGGCTTATGTCTGGTGATCAGAGTAAGTATATGGCGCTTGGATGTTGGTAGTTGTTTGAGATACTTACCGACAAGGATGGAGATGAGCCTCGATTCCAGCCAGCCCAGATATTTTCTGCCCTTTTGCTGGGATGATCCCCAGTAGCGGGCACTTATCTTGATGTAGGTCCGATATGAATCGAGGAAATCAGCAGCCCCTTTCTCAAGCAGACTAGACGGTGATTCAGACTGTTCCACGCCGAGAAACTTGCTCCACGTCATGCCTTCTTGGGAAAGGAGGGTTGCTGCTCTGGTAAACTCGGAAGCCAGGGCATTGACGGTGGAGATGGAGGCACTGGACGCTGTGTTGAGGGACGGTCCGTGCCAGCCAAGAAGGCAAAGGGGCTCCCTGAATGTGCGGTGGTATCGCAACTCAGTATGGTAGAATGGATCGTACACCACTCCTGTAGCCCAGTCGAAAGTCGAGTAGTGGTGGAAGAAGGAGGTGAGGACATCGGCGGTGGAAGCTGCCTCGGGCTCGTTTGCCAGTGCCTTGCAGACGGGCACCAGCATGGAAGTGATATGGATGCCTCCCAGTAAGCCAAACTTTGCCGCATACAGACCTCTTGATTTCGCCCAGGCCTTGATGACAAGGTGTGCCACGCGGTATTTGGTCATGTCTGGAATGGACCTCCGGAGGTAAAAGAGGTCCCGGGCTGGCTTGAGTTTGGCCAGTGATTGGAGAGGCAAAGCGAAGATGGGATCTGATGAGGGCCGTTTGAAAACCTCAGGGTATCTGAGCGAGATGTTAGCAGATGCTGGAGTCTTAGACATGAGGTGATGGAAGATGGGTGACAGGTGTTAAAGGGAAACGCGAATCCTTACCCCTGAGCTATTGCTGCGGCAGAGCAGTACTGGAGATCAAACTTGATGCCGCGAATCTCCAATTCGAGCATTGTTCCGGAATTTGCCTTCACACGGCGTAAGATCTTGATGCCATTTGCCGAAGCTTTCCTCAGCTTCTGTATGGCCAAGGCGAAAAAGGTCCGGGAACTGATGTTTCCCACGCAGAGACAGTCTACATCCGACGAGCTGGTCCACACGCCGAGGCCAAAGGATCCCACGGGGATGACGACAAGCTGCACCTGTGAGCGCGTGCTGTTTCCAGCACTTTCAGCATCGCTATCCAGTAGGGTTGTTTTCAGGAGAGATATTGCCTCGTTTCTCAGTTCGGCGTCGGAAGAAGCAGGGAATTGACCACTGGATACCAAGCAGCCTTTCAGCTCCTCGAAGCTACCCAGCGTGACGCCAGCCTTATGCAGACTAATTTCTTGCAACTTGGAATTTGACGGTCCTATCACGCTTGAGTTTTGAGTTGATGCCACGAGAAGACAGCGGATGCCCCAGTGGTCACTAGCAGGGGCCTGAGAGTCGTCTCCTTTGGAGTCCAGGACCTGACCAAACATGTTGAATCCGCGGGGCTGAAAGGGAGCATCCTTTGTGACCAGTATCCTGTCATATCTTTGCGGGCGAGCGCCATCAACACCACTCGAAGCTGCAGCAAGAGGGTTGGACAACGGATCAAAGGTTGCTCCTTGCTCACCCTCATAAAGCTCCAGAAAGTACTCATGGTTTCCTTTTGTGCTGGAGCTTGAGGATTCTCCGGGACCAACTCGAGAGGCCAGCCATGCGTCTTGCATTCCGGCTCTCGACACTGTCGCTTCGATCTCTCGAAGAAGCTCAAGACCCTTGTCGGTGACATCGCCCCTTTCCAGGGCTGTATCAATGGTATGCGAGGACGAGGCCAAGTTAAAATCGCCAGCGATTACCCAGGGATGCCGAGGGAATGATGATTCCAAGTGCTGAGCAACTCTCTTTATCTCGTCTCGTTTGGTGGCAAGAGCAGCGTCTGTTAGCCCTTTGCTAAGGTGACAAGCTGCTAATACCAAGGGCAGTGAGGGAGCATCTGAAGCTTCGCCAAACCTGACCGTGGGAAATTGGAGGATTCCAAAGCCCTTGTGTTTCTTGACACCCGCAAGGTACTCCCACTGGAAGGGAAGCTTGCTGAGCACCACAACATTGGAATGACTTGGCAGAGGCCCAAGGCCATGCTGATGAGGTGGTCCATGGGTAGCGTAAGGGTAGCGTGAGCGGATGTCTTGGTCGTCCAGCAAGAAGCCGAGGAAATGGTCTGTGACTTCTTGGAGGACAAGAATATCAGCTGAGGCACGTTCGGACAGGATGTTGCCGACCAGCGCGGGATAGCGAGAAGAACTCGGAGGCCAGTCAAACTCGGCCATGACATTATACGACGCGATGACAAGATGTGTGAGAGAGGTCGGCCCAGCAACTGTGTTAGTGATCGGACCTCCCAGGGGTTCCCACAGCTCTTGGTCTTTGTTGTAGCGGAAGGTAGCTTGGTGTCGTGGCAGAGAAGCATCCACTGGTAGTCCAGGAATTGCGGCCAAGGCTGCAGAGTCACGCACAAGAGACCGAGATGCCAGATCGATATAACCCCAGACTCGCATCGGCCGGGAGGCTCCGGATTGACCCTTTGATGTCGGATCACGCATCATGATTGCGAGCTGGTGATTGCGCCATGTCACGGGCGTCAAGAGCCGTGCCTTTTCCATGAGAAACTGGTGCCATGATGTCGTATCGTCCTCGCTTTGGGCGAGCGTCATATGAGGCTGATAGTCTCTGCCTTTGGGCCATTCCAGGAAACGGAGAATTCGGTCTCTCAAGTCTGACAGGCGGTCGACGTTTGGCCCAGGTCTCGGCCGGATAAAGACTGTTTTGCTACGTCGACGGTGTGAGAAGACTCCAGGCTCTTCGAGGTTGATGGAGATGTCGTCGTCCTGGGGTTCCAGATGGGAGCGGCAAAGCGCTTCGATCACTTCAGGGAGAGCTTCTGGCGTGACAAATGGATAGACGAGAGTGACATGAGGCGGCCATTTGGTGAATTTCTCGTCATTGAGTGAGCGCAGCGTGTTGATGGGATCCCAGAGCTGGGGCGGAGGGATCAGACAGAGGGCGGTATCGTGAGATGCTTCAAAGGAGGACGCTTCAAAGGACTGCCCAGCAGGCGCCTCGTCCGGCAATTGATCCATTGGAGACGCAATGTTCTGCACCAGATGGCTCGGAGAAGGGGGCGTGTTATTCATGAATTATCTGGCGAGGGTTGACGACCTGAACAGTTGAGCTGTCGATAATGGCCGCGAGAGAGACCTGCATCATCATCCTCCTCCTTGCCTCATGTGCAGCAATTAAATACATTCTTGAAGTTGCTTCACAACATCCAGGGTAACAGCGCAAGCCTCTCGAAATACGAGGCGCAATATACTGTGACGACGCTGCATACAAGGAATCATGCGGCGTGAGTCACGGATTCATTAGCGAGGCGTTTTTGCCTGTAAGAGCGTGGCTGAGGCACGAGTTGAGATGGATCGTGGTGTTTGATTGGCAGATGAATCGGCATGTTCAGCGGGGGACAAGATCATTTCATCTCGACCAGTCAGTCATCTGTCAGACAGGACGGATATCTGGTGAGCAGACATTGAGTTGACAGAGTAGACGTTGAAGAAGAAGAAGAAGAGGTCGGATCGCTATAGAGATCGGAGGTACAGCTACATATTACCTACCCAGGTAAAGGTATTCAAAGCAACTATTTGGCCGCTAGAATAATCGAAATGACATGCCTCGGAAATCGAGGCCGACAACGGCAAAGAGTCATTACACGAGTCAAGGTCTCTTGGCACAGTATTTCGCAGCGCCGGTACCTGCAAGCACACTGCAACTCCACCTGCGAAGAATTTCTTATCAAAGATCAACTCTATCCGAATACCAAACTACTACTTACTGGGTACCTCCCTTAACACGATGCCTCACTCTGTTGTCTCTTCTTTCAGCCTTGATGGGTAGTAGTAAATAATCGCCCTATATTCGGTCGTTGCTTGCGTCGTTTGTGTTGCTTGCTAGTAGTCTGTGCTGCGTCACTTGCTGCAACAAAAAAAACTGTTTGTCTCTTCTGATACACATCTTACCAAACCTTCACTCACTAAAACTGACTCAATCAGCTCTCAAAACCTCTTCAACTTGATTTCCCCCGTCCCCCACAAGATATCGCTCAGCATGTCTTCCTGGGAATGACAACCGTCATTAGATAGTGGGCATCTTCAACTCCATCTCAGACAAGGCTTTTCTTCCATCTGGATTCGCAGCCTCGTCCAAGCTTCCCGCCGGCGGTCCGGGATGCGGCATGGCCTCTACCATCTACTGGAGCCGTGCCAACATCAACTCTTGCAGCCCCAACCATGGGGTTCTCGCGTTCAGTCAGAAACTGGCCTCGCGCTGCTCATCAGTTGTGTCTGTGTCTCAATGCTTAGCCAGAAATAAAGCGGCAATCAGCACGCTTGGAACTACCACTACACAGCCAAATGGCTCTCCACCACAGCCAGCTGCAGCTCGCAGCTTCTCTTCGCCCACGACACCCAGGGCAAAGCGACAAATGTTTGATCGGGTGGGTGTCCAATCGCTTGTTCTGAGCTCTCAGCAGCATACTATAGCTTCAATCACTCGGATTCATACCGAGCGGCCAAGGAGATGCAACTAACACCGCGGCAGGATGTCATAGTCTCTGTTCTAGAGTCAACAGCCACCCGGCGAGATGCCAAGGGCTATCTTCAAAAGTACGCCTCACCAAAGCCTACTTCTCTGGTGGCAACGTCAAAGCCAGTTGAACACCTGCACAACCCTCTGTCGAAGCAGCTTCACGCTCAGCGGCCGTTCGACGTGGCGATTGTGGTCCTGCGAAACCCGCAGAAGCTACGGCCAGACACAATCCACGGCATAGCCAAGACGCTGACCCAGCTTCGTGTCCTTGGCCTCTTGAGCGTTGTCGTCGTGGATTGCGATGTGGGAGAAAGCCGCTTCACTTTCCAGTCCGAAGCGTTGAGGCTATGTGAGGCGGTCGATTCCTTTGGCAAGCCCGGCGCCCGACTGGTCGAGAACGTCCTCGTTGGAAGTTCTCACTATCAGGGAGCTACGCCCTCTCCCTTTTGGGATGACATATACGTTCACGACTATGGTATCCTGAACCGGGCTCTTCAGCATGACATGATCGCGGTCATTCCGTCCCTTGCCCTGAATGACGAGACTACTACTCCCGCGCCTGCTGACGCTCAACGAACTACTCTCGCACTGACGAGGTACTTTACGGGGATACAGTTTGAACGAGACACAAGCCGTGCCCAGGGCGGGAGCTCTGCGCAAGGCGCCGAACCGCTGGCTTCCGTCGAAAGAGTCATTGTCCTCGACTCGCATGGCGGCACGCCCGTGCCCGGCCGTCCTGGGTTTTGCCAGCGATTCGTAAACCTCGAGCAAGAATACGACACGCTCCTGGATCATCTAGGGGGCTATAAGGGCTCACACGCTCCGGAAAGCAGCCCACATGAGGAGGCTGGTAGAGCACATGCAAAGAACCTCAAGCTGGCAAAGGATACCCTCTCCCTTTTGCCAGAAACGGCTTCCGTCCTCATCACTACCCCATCAGCAGCAGCCAACACATCGTCCGTCTCGTCCTCTATGGTGCGCAATGGCGACTTTCAGTTTGGTTTCGACGGCATGGTCACGACCCGCAGAAAGCAGAATCCCCTGCTTCACAATCTCCTAACCGACAAGCCGGTGTTTTCCCCGTCGTTGCCGCTGCAGCGCATCCAGTCTTCAGAATCAGCGTCGCTGGCCACAGGAGAATCAATTGACGCAACTCTCGTCAAGCGAGGCATGCCTCTAGCCATCTTTCCCGATCCAAGAACAGCGCCGTGGAGGCCACCGGCGCCCGGCGAGCGTCGTCTGCAGCTGACAGACAGGTCGATTGATTTGCAGCGGCTTGTCGCTCTGATTGAGGATTCCTTTGGCCGCAAGCTAGACGTTGACGACTACTTACAGCGGACAAATCAGAACCTGGCCGGCGTCATCATTGCAGGAGAGTACGAAGGATGTGCCATTTTGACCTGGGAGAAACCCAATCATCTAGACGCTCGTACAGCCTACGAGCAGGGCCGCTTCGTGCCGTATCTCGACAAGTTCGCCGTGCTACGGAGCCGTCAAGGCAGCGGAGGGGTGGCCGACATCATCTTCAACGCCATGGTCCGAGACTGTTTCCCCGACGGCGTGCTTTGGAGGAGCCGCAAGGACAATCCTGTGAACAAGTGGTATTTTGAGCGGTCGGTGGGAACCAGCAAGCTGGCCGGCTGCAACTGGGCCATGTTCTGGACGACGCTGGAGCTGAGCGCCAAGGGGCAGAAGCTGGCGGACTACGAGGCGGTTTGCAGGGAGATTATGCCATCTTGGGCAGACAGCGTACAGAAGCGGACATGAATGAGCAGCTGAGGTTGGTATAAGTATGAAGTTGTTAGAATTGACATGGAGCAATGTTTTCAATATCCGGCATGACGTCACATCTTGCTTGGGTGGCTGTTAGATTGTGAGTCTTACACATAGATCAAACCTTGGTACCTATGTGGTATATATTTTTTTCTTAAAGCAAAAAATTATGAAATATATAGATTAAAGGGAAAAAAAATCGTGATGAAATTTAAAATGAATTTTCAAGATATTATATAATTTTTGCAGTTTGCGTTGGATTTTACCAGCTACCCAAATTATCTAGGGTAAGGTAGGTACAGGTAACCGACAGCTTTATCGGACCTCTGACCAGAAGCTCTGACAATGAACGCTCAGTACTACTTTAATCATTGAGCTCTTGTGACTCAAGCTCACACCTTCATTTCTACCTACTTACCCACCTACTGCGCATAACTGAAGAATTGCCATCAGCATGGCCAGCGACTAAGGGCAAGTCTAGCAGAGGGGGAAAAAAAAACAAAAAGAAAAAGGATATGCGGCTGAGCTGTTCATGTTGTCGCGATTCTTCGGCCCTCGTCTCATGATGAAGAGGAAACTCAGCGCATTCCTCCAAGAATCAAGCTCAAGCTCAAGCTCAACCACCACCATGTCGACAACTGCTCGATCAGTGCAGCTCACCCAGCGCGAGCAGCAGCTCCGCCTCCTGCTCGTCAACGTCGCCCAGTTCATCGATTCGACGGCCAAGCTCAATCAGCCGGTCGTCCTGCGATGGGCGGGAGGCTGGGTGCGCGACAGGCTGCTCGGCATCGAGAGCCACGACATCGACGTCGCCATCAATGCCATGACCGGGCAGCAGTTTGCGCAGCATCTCTCAGAGTACTGCAAGCGGCCCGAAGCCGTCGAGACGCACGGCTTCCTGCCCGGAGACGTCGGGAGGCTTCACCACATTGCGAGCAACCCGGACAAGTCCAAGCACCTCGAGACCGCCATGGTCAAGCTGTTTGGCATGGACCTGGACTTTGTCAACCTGCGCAAGGAGACGTACGCCGAGGATAGTCGCAACCCGCAGATGGAGTTTGGCACGCCGGAGGAAGATGCGCTTCGGCGCGATGCCACCATCAACGCCCTGTTTTATAACCTGCACACGGAGGAGGTGGAGGATTTCACTGGCGGCATTCGAGACTTGGATGCCAAAGTTATACGGACTCCCATGGAGCCTTTCCAGACATTCATGGATGACCCCCTGAGAGTACTTCGCCTAATTCGGTTCGCTTCTCGGTTGGGTTTTGCCATAGATGCGGAATCAGAAAAGTTCATGAACGACGAGAGAGTCCTGGAAGCACTACGGAAGAAGATTAGCCGCGAAAGAGTTGGCGTCGAGCTGGAAAAGATGCTGAAAGGTACGTGCGAATCGCCTCTCAAGTTCAATTGTCTCCCAGGTCTCATAGAATAAGAAGCCATACTGATATCAGTTGCAAAACAAGGCAAAACTCCCCGAGTGGCTCTGGAACTACTGGATCGCCTCGGCCTCTACCAGGCCATTTTCAGCGACCCGCTGCAGGAAAACGTAGAGATGCCTGACATAACCCGATGGCACGTTGCGTACACCTGCCTCGACGAGCTGCTGCGGAATCAAGAACCGGGGTCGATAGGCCAGGTCCTCATCGATGACGCCGACAGCACGTATCTGGCATGGAATCTCGCCGCCGTCAGCCCCTGGATCCCCGTGGAGGATCGCTCTGGGCGCAAGCAAAAGGCGAATGCCCTCCCTCCTGTCGGCGTCATTGCTCGCGAAGGCTTCAAGGCTTCCAACAAGCTCACCACCGTCATGGCGGCCTGCCACAAGCATCGCGCGGAGATTCTTGCACTGAAAAATGCAGTGTGCGATTCTGCGCCGACGATACACGAGCGGGACACGGTCGGCATGGCCATCAGGAAGTGGGACGCAGGCAGTGGACACTGGAAGCTGCAGGTATTGGGGGTGATTCTGGTGGATGCCATGGAGCAGCTTGACAAGTTTCCCGCAGAGGGTGACAAAGGTAAGCTTTACTTACGACGCCAGACGAAGGGTCGCTGGGCTAGAGCGCATTACTGATTTACAAACGTGCTAGATCGCGACGAGTTTCTCCAGGGGTGGGACAAGTTCCTCAAGCATCTGGCTGAGCTGGACGTCTACGACGCTCCGAATCTCAAGCGCCTCATTGACGGCCGCGCTCTGGCCAAGGCCCTAGGCATCCCACCTGGCACTTGGATGGGCAAAGCTTTGGAGATATGCACGGCTTGGCAGCTGAGAAATCCAGGTGAAACAGATCCCGAGGGGGCTATACAGGCAGTAAGAGACAAGGCCGACGAACTCGGCATACGCCCAACAACATGAACCATGATAGTTGAGCAAGGGGAGACGACGGCCATCCTATCCCTGCTGAAATTCGTAAAGCCTACATGTGCACACACACACACACACACACACACACACACACACACACACATATATATATATATATATTCGTAAGAAATACATATATATATGTCTCTACTACACTCTAAGTCTAATACAAGATATTCATCGTACAATCATGATGGAACCACCCTAGGCTTTCCCATGATACAAGGGAAATGGCATAGCTCCCGTGGACCCAACACACGATTGCTCTTTTATGACGAAAAAACCTCCTAGACTAAGATCCTGGTCGCCGTTTTCATGCCTTGATCTTGGGCTTCACCACCGCCCCTCTAGTTCTGTACCTCTTTTACGTCCTTTTTTCCATTTACCAGACTCTTCTGGCCCTCATGTGACACGTCGCCAACGTCAATGCCACTGATAAACATGGCGCTGACGCCCTCGAGCAGTGCAACAAACACACACAAAAGACTGGCAATCACAAAATGGCTGATGGTGGATCCAATTTCCAACCAAGACCCCTCATCCTTGACGACCCAGAAGAAGTAGAGGGTCAGGATGTCGCTGACTGCCATGACGACCATGAAGAATGCCGACGGCGCCACCCGGAGCCGCGTGTTCAAGATGCCAAGGTTTGCCGAAATGAGGACAAAGGGGATCATGAGCTTAAGGATGAGCAGTGCGCCCTGTGAAAAGGGGTCGAAGACTGGGATCAGCCGGTTCACGCTCTCCAGACTGAAGGATGAGACGGAGGCGACGTTTCCGGTGCTGAAGAAGGCGGATTGGAGGAGCACCATGAAGAACAGGGCAACGCGGGCGTCGGACAACCGCAATGGCCGGTACGATACGGCCGTGTCGGTCTTTGCGGCCCCGGTTGCACTGCCGTTCTGGGCTACGCCGAACGTCTCGAGACGATGCTCTAGACGCACCCAAATGAGAAGCAAAAGTGAGAAAGCGACATAGAAAAGGCCCTCGTACGATATCGTGAAGATGATGAATGTGGGAGCGCATGTGAAGAACATCATGGCAAGACGGTGCATGAAATTGCTGTTTGGTGACAATCGATGCAGCAGTGGCGTCAAAAAGGAGGAGACTATTGCTTTTGCGTTAGCCGATTGCCCTGTCAAACCCACGATTTACACGAATACATACTCAGAACAATCCAGCCCATGACCTGGTTGCCCAAGGGCAACCCTCGCTTGGCTTGAATTGACAGGGCGCTCGAGCGAGTCACCAGTGTAGCAAGAATGATGAGGCCAACCTGTGGTGGCAGTGTCAGCGCATTTCCCCTTGGTCAGCAAGACGTGAGATCGAATGATCATTACCTGGATGCCTGTTGCCACCCTGCTGAGTTGAGAGTTTTTGTACTTGTTGGATTCAACGCCCGCCAAGGAAAAGTCTGACAGTACAAACGGCTCGAAAGCCATGTACAACAAGCCGATCAGGCTCATGATCACACCGCTGACGACTCTAATCCGCGTTGTTAGCATGAATATGACAGCACAGGGTGCAGGTTTGCAACATACATCAGGTCAACGTTCTCAAGCTTCATTGCTGGCAAAAGTGTAAACGTGCTCATGACCAAGCAAGAGACTGCCCAGGCCGCGCTGAGTAGTGCATTCGAGCGAACAAAGGAAATGCCACACGTGAGAGGCCATATCGTCCCCAAGATGAACAGACCAGTCAGGATTTCGCGATGAATGTACCCAAGGGCCTAGTCCAAGTCAGTAACGGTCCAGAGTGCCGTGCGAAGAGCGAACTAACCAAAGATATGAGAATGGCACAGTAAATTATTGCATTCGCAACAAGAGTCGCAACCTGGCCAGCCGAATTGATGTGCGCAAACAGCAGCCGACCTCCCTCTCGCAGGTTGTCCCTCTGCGCAAAGACCTCTTCCCAAAACACAACGGGGAACAAGGCATAGGCGTAGTACGTAGGAGGGGACTTGGATGCGATGAAGGATGCGTACAATGCAGCCAAGACGGAGGAGAACCCAACAACGGTTGAAATGTTGCGCTTGGGTGCGGTGGGCGCCGGAACCACATACAGGTTAATGACCGTGGTGATGGCATATGCTATCCAGCCGAGGTACCCAACAGTGATCAAGGCACGCAGGAACAACCAGTCATAGGTCTGGAGATAGCGCAACCCTTCCAGGGTGAGGTTGATGAGAGCGTCGGACTCCTCGATAGCTTCTTCGTATTTACCGGAAGAGATCAGCTCGTCGATGCGAGCCACACGCTCAGCCGGAGTCAGTCCCGCAGCGCCAAAGGCACCGTAAGGCTTATATCTCATCTCGTTTGCTTGCTTCTTCTCTTCCTTGACCCTGTACATTTCCAGGATCTCGCGCGCATTGGCGAGCAATCCCTTTGCCTTTTGCCGTAAGTCTGCAGAGAGGTACGGGAGAGGCAACTTGCCCACAGAGTTTGCTGGAAACTCGGTGCCGATAAGGTAAGACATGAGCGCAGCGATATCAGCCTGCGCGACGTCGTGCCTTTGAACGTGATCCAGGTTCCAGTCGGCCGACAGATCGTCGTGGCCCGGGGCAATCTTCCCCGGATGCAAGACAGGGGAGGCCACGCCCGAGCCCCAGCAGACAAGAGGCGTCCTGGTGTTGTCCGGATGACCATCGCCGTGGCTGCCCCAGTCACTCATGCCGTGGTCCGCGGTGAAGACGAATGCAGTTCGGTCATCTCCATAGAATTTCTGAATGAGGTCTGTCACCTCTTGAACACCCCTGTCGACGATTTGGATATTGCGCAGATACTCCTTGGAAAATGGCCTAAACCCATGACCAGTCGTGTCCAGACCGAGGAGGTGAAGGAAAAAGACAACCTTGTCCTCTCGAAGGGCTCGGTCAAGAGTCTTGTTCTTTGCGGCCTGGGTGAAGAGGTCCTTGACGTGGTCAAAGACCCAGATGTCGAGGTGCGTCGCATCCTTGGAGAAGTCTTCAAAGTCGGCAGCATACATGTAAGCATCGACACGGCCGGGCACGGCTCCGCGCTCAAACATTGGCAAGATGTCGGGACTGCCCCAGCTCCAAGTATGACGGCTCCTGTTAAACACACTGTCAAAGTTGACAGGGTTGAGCTTCCACCCTGTTGCGACCGCAGAGACATCCTCGTAGAGACCGGCAATCATGGCCACATGGCCGGGTCGGGACTCGGTAGGCACACGAGTGTGCGAGACGCCGAATGTTCCATGGTGGAGGGCGCGGGAGCGGATAAAGGGAGCCAAGTGCCTGGGGACAAGGTCTGCGTCCGACTCGGGATATGGCTCGGGGAAGGCCTGGAAAGCTTTGTCGGCACGTAATCCGTCACCTATTGCCGAGGAGTCAGCTCGATTCGTAGAGTATAGCGGATGCAACCCAGAGGTAGAGGAAGCAGCCGTGGTGAAATCGTACCCACGAAGAGGACAAGTCGATCCGCAGGGCTCTTGATGTTTGCGGGACGGTCCACGGAGACCAGCTGCATGCCAGACACGATAGGGCTGACGAAGTAGATGTCGAAGATGGAATAGATGTACACCAAGTGGAAGACCACTGCCGTGGCCAGGAAGCCCAGCCGACCCATGGCGGCCATGATGGCGAACCTGGAGATGCGAGGCCGGGGGAAAGCAGGAGGAGAGGGAGAGGAAGCGAGACAGAGAGAGAGAGACGTCGAATGGCAGGACAATCAAAGAGCTTCCATAGCGTACCTTTTTACCAAACGCCTTGCAGAAGCAACAAACATGCGTGGTAATGACAAGGAAGAGAGAATGGCTAATCTAGGCGACGGATTCGCAGATTCCAGGCAAGGTAATGATCGTTGGCGCATTATGAGAGAGAGTAAGTCGAACACGACGTCGCGAAGGACATGTTTCTTGCATGCCGGCATTTGATAGGCCAATGGACGTTGGCAGTGACAGCTTCACAGCCACTCTCACCGAGGGGCAATTTTAATCTGGAAAAAAATAATATGGAGCATCCAATGCGCTCCAGAGAATTTCATGGCAGCAGAACTATTGCAGAACTAGGTGAAGGAAGCCATTGGTTTGATTGATACTTGATTGCGCATCTGGTTGCCTTGTGACGATCCCGACCATCAAGGTACACCTTCGTAGCACATAAGGTACCTAGTAGTTGTACTTAGGACTCTCACCACCTGAAGATGGCATGGCATTGCCGCACCATGGTGGGCATCGTATTTTGCCAGCAGCGAGTATTCCAACCATGCAACCCATCGCCTCAAAAGTTACTGGTACCTATCTAGCCTTTCAACAGTCGCAATTCTTAGGGAATGATATAATGATGATAATAATACGACAACTCTCGGCCTCTCAGTCTACATACCTGGTAGCACTGAAGCCCGCTGCTGCTGGTCGACGTCTTCCACGTGACTCATCCTCTGCTGGCCCAGCAGCGGCTTGCCGAGTCTACAACCGAGGGCCGCGTCCAGCCGCTCGCCGTGGTTCTAGTACTAATAGTCGCCTCGACGATATCCAACTGCTTCTGGGCCTGAAGGCGATGCTCGCAGACCTCTGCATCTTGTCCACCGATCCACCACCATGTTGCCCCTAACTCGACAGCTGCTCTCCAGGCGGGGAGACGCAGTCCTCGGCCGCTCCCTGCGGTGGGCGTCGTCCAGGTACAACAACAGCCGGAGCAGCGCCCTGTCGACGCTGGCGATCCTGGAGCAGCGAGACGGCCAGCTGGTCCACGGCTCGCTCAGCGCCATCACCGCGGGCATCAAGCTCGGCGGGCCCGTCCACGGCTTCCTGGCCGGCAGCAAGGTGTCGTCGGCTGCGGAGCAGGCCGCCAAGGTGAAGGGAGTGGAAAAGATCATCACCGTCGAGAATGACGCATATGACAAGGTCTGAGATACCCGCAGCCCTCATTGAATTCATATGGCCTGATGCTGACGCGAGATCAACCAAACTTTCAGGGTCTGCCAGAGAACTATGCGCCATTGCTGGTCGAAAACATCAAAAAGGGCAACTACACGCACGTCGTTGCCGGCCACACGGCCTTTGGCAAAAGCGTCCTGCCCAGAGTCGCCGCCCTGCTCGATTCGCAGCAGATCTCCGACGTCACGGCGATTGAGGACGAAAAGACGTTTGTTCGCCCCATCTACGCCGGGAACGCCATAGCCACCGTCGAGTCCACCGATGCCATCAAGATCCTCACCATCCGCGGGACTGCCTTCCCCGCGGCGACGCCAGAGGGCGCATCGACTCCCATTGAGAGCGGAGTGGACGCCAAGGCCGAGCCCATCTCGGAGTGGGTGTCCGAGGACCTGGCCAAGTCGGACCGCCCAGACCTTTCCACGGCGAGCAAGGTGGTGTCGGGAGGCCGCGGCCTCAAGTCCAAGGAGGAGTTTGACAGGATCATCTACCCTCTGGCCGACGCTCTGGGCGCCGCCGTTGGCGCATCCCGAGCCGCCGTCGACAGCGGATATGCAGACAACAGCCTACAGGTTGGCCAGACCGGAAAGGTGGTTGCGCCGCAGCTGTACATGGCCGTCGGCATCTCGGGCGCCATCCAGCACTTGGCGGGCATGAAGGACAGCAAGGTCATTGCGGCCATCAACAAGGACCCCGATGCGCCCATTTTCCAGGTCGCCGATGTCGGACTCGTGGGCGACCTCTTTGAGAAGGTGCCGGAACTGACTGAGAAGATTAAGAGCTCATAAAATGCTAGGATATACTACAATATAATACACTATCTACAATGCATCAAAGTACAATATAATGATCTAGGGCCCCTGCTTTTCAGTTGAGGGAGCCGAGCATGTCTCTAACGCTGGTGAACTTCTCTCTAGGTTTACCTCTTGTCGCCCCTCGAGCTGTTTCGGCCTGATCTATCTGGCGCCACTGATCCCAAGTAACCACTTGGTCTGCTTGAGGTCCGACATCTTCCTTAACTGCGCCCCATCCTCCGGCTGTGCCTTCTGCCGGGTGGTTCAGGAAGGGGGCCCCTGATAGCCAATCCTCAACCACGGCGTCTCCTGTCATGAAAGCGTCTCTCATGGTGGAAGCAATGACGCCCGTGGGGCCTCTCTTGACCCAGCCAGCACAGTAGACACCGGGCAGGGTGATGGGAGGGGTGCCGCTAGGTTCGCTCAGTCCAGGGAGCACCTGCGTCGCTCGACCCAGCCCGTCGTTGCGGATGACTCCTCGCTTTTCGTCGAACTGAATCCCGACCTCGGCAAATCCCGGCAGAGGCACCGACTTGTAGCCGACGGAACGGAACGCAATGTCCGACGGCAGCGTCCTTGTCTCTTCTGTGAGAGCTACGGACGACTGAGGGTTGTATGGGTCATCCAGTTTGGTCACGTAGAACTCGGTGCTGCCCACGCGGGAAGGATCCTGCTCGCTGCCAACAAAGGCCTTTGGCGACAGACAGCTGTCGAGTGACCAGGACTTTGGCGAGTCAGCCACGCGAGCTGCGGTCCCCTTTCGAAGGACCTCCATGAGCCTCTTGGCCGCTCTTGGAAGCTTGTCGAGAGCCGGCGGTATCAATGATTCATCCACTCCATGGAAGGCCACCCCCGAAAGGTTCATCAGCTCTCTGACTTCTTTGATTGTAAATGCGGCCTAGAATAGCTCGTTTAGCCAACGGAGGACGATTTGCCTCGGTACTGGTAGTTTCGCTTACTTGCATGGGCCCTCTCCGCCCTACAACGTGAACCCTCTTGATTCGGCTTTGAGCCAACTGCGCAAGGGCTCGATCTGAGATGTCAGTCTTCCTCAGCACGTCAAGGTCCTCTAGCAGGATCCTAGCCACATCCAGGGCAACGTTGCCTTGGCCGATGATGACGGCTTCCTCTGCCCGAGACAGGTCCGGCTCAAGGTGGCCGCAGTCGGGGTGGCCGTTGTACCAGCCGACGAACTGGCGGGCTGAGAAGATTCCCTTGAGAGACGCCTCGCCTGGAATGTGCAGCTTCTTGTCCTCTGCCGCCCCGTAGGAGAAGAGGACGGAGTCGTAGTGGCTCATGAGCACCTTGAGAGGAATGGTGCAGTGCTCCTCCAAGTGCCCGGGATGGCCAATGGAAGCATTCCCTATGAAGGTGAAGTTGGGGGACGCGGCAACCTCGTCAAACTTTTCTTGACAGTTCTGCAGAGGTGGTCAAGTCAGTTCGATTTGCTCTCCATCTGAGAGATACGACTCATAGAGCGGCAAGCGGGCTTCTTCTTCACCTTGACCTCCGGATGATCTGGCGCAACGCCATGACGCACGAGGCCAAACGGTACCGGCAAGGCCTCGTACATGTCGACGCGGGCCTGCGGGAGCTTGGACATGACCCGATACGCCGTGTAAAAGCCAGCCGGGCCGGACCCGACGACGGCCATGCGAAAGGGAGCATCGGCCTGCCGCGAGAGACATGGCGAGACAGAGAAATTCCGCCTGCAAGACAGGCTTCGGCGCGTCCACGCAGCACGCCTGCCACAGGTGAGAAGCATCACGAACACGGGCGTTGGCAAAGGCCCGTTCCGGGATGAAAGATCAAGGGTCCCTTCATCGTTGTCTAGTCGGATCGCGGAGGCTTTGCCGTCAAGCCGGGGGGGCCTCGAGATTTTAGACTTCTTCCCACAGCTCCATCCATCGGCATTCGGAGCTCCGAAAGCGCGTTGCTGTGGCAACCCGGGCCGACGCCGTGGAACGCAAACCAATCACAGCTCGGCAGCAGCAGTTCGTATTGGAAACAAATGCTGGCTGTGTATTACCCAGGTAGGTAATACTACTGTCTTTGTCTTTGCGCGACTGGCATTCCCGACCCTGTTCTTCTTCCTCTTCTTCTTCGCCGTCTTCCCTTGCGTGGGTAAAGCAGCAGCATTCCATTCACATACACGCAGCGCTTGCAAAGGGCCGAAGTGGCCCCCCTCCCACGACTCCGAGAGAATGGGCCAGCAGCCCTTCCTGTACGATGCGCAGCCGCGCGAGGACTCGAGATTCCCGCCGGTTGTCTTTGACCCAAAGGCCGTTACGCGCGCCAGCTGGGAGCCGAAGCCGAAGAAGCCCGTCCGAAAGGGACCCATGGTCTCGTTTGACCTGCATCCCGAGTATGTGTGATTCTTTCCAGAGCGAGACCCGAGAGCCACCAATTGATAGCATCCCCCGTTCAGCTACCATGTCATTCTACCGCATCGATACGGCGACCATACACCCTTGGATGGCAGTACCAAGGTCTACATTATATGGCTGCGGCGCTTCCAGCTTGTGCTGCGCGTGCTGCAGGTAGTCGCGGCCATTGGCGTGCTGGTTCTGTTTTCACTATTCACAAATGTGGACGACACAACGGCATGGGCAATGCGAATCCTGGTATGCATCTCGTCTCGCAGGCGCCATTCGGTCGTGTCAGTACATGTGAATCTAACCAGACAAACGCCGTTCCCAGCAAGCCGTCACCATTGCCCATTCGGGCTACGCCATCTATCACCTCTCTCGAGACGCAAACGCTAGAGCACCTGCATCCTCGGCGGCTTACCATTTCTGCGGAGTCTTGTTGGACTCGGGGTCCGTGGCTGGATATGTTCTCGGCGGTCTGACAGTCCACAAGAATGCAGCGGCCTGGGGCATCGCCCTCAACAACAAGGACCTGATGCCGACTTTTGTGTCGGCCGTCTTCTATGGCGCGATTGGCGCGGGCAGCACCCATCTGATTTCGCTTTCAGCAAGCGCCTGGTTGGGGTGGCTGTTCCGCAAGATCAGCCTTATGCCTCCGGATATGAACCCTCTGGAAGAGAACTTGACGGCGCGGCCCCTGCACAAGCGAAACAAGTCGTCTGTCTCGAGCGTCACGAGCACCGGAGCTGACCCCGATAAGCCGTGGTTGGAGAGCCGTCGTAACTCTGCAAGCGTCACGGACGGTGTCCCGGAGCGCGTCTCGATTTCGTTCATGCACACAAGGGGGGAATCGCGCGACTCTGCTATTAGCATGGGGTCTAGGATCAGTGCTTCTCCAGAACGAAAGAACGCTCCGCTGAGATACCTGCCGCGGGCTTCGAATCCAATCTCCTATGCTCAAATTCCGTCTCATGAGCCTGAGCCTGATTCTGAAGCTCAACCTCAACCGAAGAGAGTGCCGCAGACGCTCAGCGAGGCCTTTGGGATCATCAGTACGGAGATTCCAAAGCCGTCTGCGGCGCCGCGACCAATGAAGCCCGGCCAGCGACCAGCCGCTGCGGTACGCTCACATCGCTCTTCCGGGTCCAAGTCGTATGCGTCTCTGGCACAGCCCTATAGCATGGGCGGGATCTCGTCCGACGAGGAGGACGAGGAGGGGAGCACGTTGGGCGACATTCTCCGAAAGAAGGGCCGACGGGACGCTGCGCACCCCAAGCCCCTGACGTCGAACCCAATCCTGCCCAGGCCGCTAAATACTCGCCGTGGCCAGATCGACTTCGACGCCCAGTACGACACCGTCTCGGATGCCGAGCCGTCCAGCTGGTTGAGCCGCGACATTGACGACGGCGAGGAGCAGCCCAACATGCGGTCCCAGCGGTACCGCGACAGCTCGATCCAGCTCGACAGCCACTTTGACACGAGGCATTCTAGCGGAGAGGAAGATGCTGCGGCGGCAGCCCAGGGCACGCTCGGCAGCGGCCGCAAGGTGTCGTCTGGGAACGACTACTGGCCGAGCTCGTCAGCCGCGTATGAGCGCCGGAGGGTCAGCGGCAAGATTGCGGAAGAGGGCAGAGCAGAAGGAGGAGGCGGGTCGTATGGCGGGTATAGGTAAGGGGGGATAATGATATAATGTGCGTATGTGTCTATGTATGTGTCTTATGTATGTGTCTTATGTATGTATGTGGGTTAATTGAGCGAGTGAGGACGAGGCAGGGTTCGTCGGTAGAGACGTCGCGATGTTGAGATGATGACTGATATCAATGGCAAGCAAGCAATTTGGTTTCCCTCTGAGCATCTAGTGCTAAGGTACTAATAATCAGATCCATATCATATCTTCAGCACTGTAAACAAGGTTAGAGCCTCTGCTACTAATCGGATCACCGGCGCGCTCCGCAAATTTTAGCGGGAGGGGCTCCGGAAGCTCCGTTCGTTGAAGCATCTCTCGAGGCGCATGTACTCTGGACCAGATCTTGGCCACGTTCTGCTGCGACCTGTTCTTGCTTCTGTGCGCTTCGCCGGAGTACTCGGTACCGCCGGACCTGGAAAAAAACCGCCATGCCCATCCGGATCGCCCTGCTTGCAGCCACTCGGCGTTGAGTTTCTTTTGGGGGAGAGGCGTCTTTGTCTTACCTGGCACCACCTATTAGGTATTTTCTTTCTCTTTGTCTAGGCCTGTTCTCGTTCTTTTTTTCTCCCTTCTTTTTCTTTTTCTTCTTCCCTTTTCTTCTTTATCTTTCTCTTATCGTGATTCTCTTTCGTCCTTCTTTCTTCTTCTTTTCCTTCTCCCCTTTCGTTCATTGCGCGTCTTCCTTGACCCAATTGGCGTTCTGGTGCCGGTGATTTGCTGCCATGGCGAGCTCGCTGCCTCTTCCCACCATCGACAGGCCCTTTGGCATCCGCCTCTGGCCGCTCTTCAGCAAGGCCTTTGAATATGTGGCTGGCTATCCGGCCGAGGAGTTTGACTTTGTCGTTGGCAAGACGCCAATGTCCACGCTGAGGGACACGTCCATCTTTGTCGCCATCTACTATCTCGTCATCTTTGGTGGCCGCGAGCTGATGCGGAACCGGGAGCCGTTCAAGCTCAAGACGCTCTTTTTGATACACAACTTTGTCCTGACTGCTGTCAGCGCGGCGCTTCTGGCGCTGTTTATCGAGCAGCTGCTGCCCACAATTGCTCGGCGTGGGCTTCTTTATTCCGTTTGCGATGCCAATGGCGGATGGACACAGCCGCTTATCGTGCTGTATTATGTAGGTTTCTTTTTTTTCTCCCTCCCTCTGCTGCATTGTGTTGAGGATTGGGCTGTGTAACTGGTGCTAATCATCATGAACAGATGACCTACCTCACCAAGTATCTCGAGCTCTTGGACACGGTGTTCCTCTTCCTTAAGAAGAAGCCCCTGACGTTCCTTCACTGCTACCACCACGGCGCAACGGCACTCCTCTGCTACACGCAGCTCATTGGCAGCACGTCCGTCCAATGGGTCCCCATCACCCTCAACCTGCTCGTCCACGTCGTCATGTACTGGTACTACTTCCAGAGCGCTCGCGGCGTGCGCATCTGGTGGAAGGAGTGGGTGACCCGCCTGCAAATCATCCAGTTCGTCATCGACCTCGGCTTCGTCTACTTTGCGTCCTACACGTACTTTGCGTCCACCTACTGGCCCTGGATGCCCAACTGGGGCAGCTGCGCCGGCAAGGAGTTCGCCGCCTATTCCGGAATTGTCATCCTCAGCTCCTACCTCGTCCTCTTCATCTCCTTTTACTTTGCGACATATGCGAAGAAGGGGGGCAAGGCTGGCGGCAAGAAGTCGCTGCGCGAGGCTCCCAAGGCGGCGGCTTCGGCCTCTGGCTCTTTTGTGGACGCTGCCAACTCTCACCGCACTTCTACTCCTAATGGTTCTTCGGTTCGCTCTCGGAGGGCTTAGATCTCTTCACGCTACTACTACTACTACGACTACTACTACTACGACGAGACGACGAGGACGAGGACGACTAAATGAGGCTGAATGACCGAAAAGCACGAGCACTGCGTTCAATATTCGCGGCATGGGCCTTTGGACAAGTGGTGCCACGCTCGACAATCAAGCGTATCCGGCTCAAAAGTAAGGGGAAGGCATGTAATGGCAGCACATTGTGATTTGATGAGGACTTTGTCTACAGGTCGAGCGAGAGGCCAAGTCATAGAGACTCAGATCTCATTCTGTCCATGGTCAAATAACCGCTATCTAGTCACTTAGTACACGTAATATAATATAGAATAGAACGAATGAGTTACGACAGAATAGCACGCCGAGGCTATATGCAGCTTATCACCAATATCATTACAAATTATACAGAGTGTGAGCATGGATATACCAGTATTCTAGCCAAAAACAAGAAGAAGAAAAATGTCCATCTATTGCTTCTCTTCGTCCTCTTTGGCCTCACCAGACTGCTCGGGGACTTCTTCACCAAGAATCTCGTTCCGCAAGTCTGGCAAGAATCTGTTCACTCTCTCCCACGTCTCATCCCAGAGCTTCTTTCTGGATGGATCTTTTGCAGGAGACACCAGATAGCCACTGGTGGCCATGAATAGAACAACGTTCTTCAGGTTTTCCCGTACCGCTTCCGCCTGCAGAACAATGGGGTCAGCTCGTCCGTCCAGCTCTTCGCACGCCTCAGGCGTCCATCGAAAGAGACAAAGGCGCCAAGGGGACTTACCAAACTGTCGCCTTGACCACTATTCATGAGGCGATCCATGATCTCGATAATCTTGATCCACAGGTCCAGCATGCCATCCCACTCGCTCAAGAGCACCATGTACTGCAAGAAGACTTTGCAGAGGAGGGATGCCACTTGGACGCGCATTTCACTCATGCCTTCGCGGTCGGATGAGTACACCTCCGGCTTCAGCAGTCTGAAGATCAAGGGAAACAAGACTTTGCTGAAAATTGCCGTCCATTCCTTTGGATCGCTGCAGGTGAGCTCGGGCGAGAGCAGTGACCTTTGCAGGGCAGAGAATGCCAGCTGCCGAACATCGCGGCAGGAATTGGTGCACTGCGTCGTCAGTGCTTGCAGAATGGGCAACCAATAGGCCGACCACGCTGATAGACCTGTTAGCATATCAACACATACCATGAGGGACTGATACATGGACAACGCACCCTCGCTACTTTCTAGATGAGACTGCTGCATAAGCTGCGGGATCCGAGCCGTCATGCCATACAAAGCATTGACTGCCTGGCAGCCTCTTGCTGTTACTTGGGGGTCCCTGTCTGATGTGTCAGCTCTTGATTCTTTGGAAGAATATAAGAATATGGGTCGCCAACTTACACCTTCTTCCTCGTTGCTTCGGGAGACTTGGGATCGCGGGCAGCAAGGGGGTCGGCCGCTGATGCAAAATGATTCAGGAGGGAAATCGCTGCTTCGTAGTTGTCGGCCATGATCGCTGGCGGAGTTCCGGTAGTGCTTCTCTCCAATATGTCGAATATCTGAGCCGCGGCATTGGCGTCGCCAGCCACAACCCGTAGAATGACCCAAAAATCAGGAGACGTCATCATCTCGCTCCTTAGGGGCCCGGGGTCCCGCGTACAGATCGACAGACCAGAAAGTATAATGTCCGCTGTCTTCAGCAGCAGATCCTGCGGTAAGCTGGAGATGGTATGCAGGAAGATGGGAACGTTGACGAAATCGTGGTCCTTTCATATTCAAGTTAGTCAAAGCGACCTCTTCGGCATGGGCAGGGGTACATACGTAGCCCGACTTCAGAATCATCAGACCATAGAATGCCGCCCGCGAGACGGTAATACCGTGCCATTGACTGTGGTCGCGCAAAATGCCATGAATGGCATCGAGGACTTGCTTCGTCGTAGTTGGATCACATCCACCGTCTCGGATGGTCAATATGGTACAAAGCTCAAGGATAAAAGGCGTGCTAGGGTCGTAACTCGGTAGGCCTGTTGCCGGGTTTGGCCCATTAGGGGGTACAACCGCCACATTATCTTGCTTCACCCCGATGACGGCCGAGGGGTCACTCTCCGGCAGCTGATCCAGTAATGCCTGGACTAATATGTCGATGCGTGCTGGAGGCAGTTTGCTACATAGGATCAGCAAAAGTAGCATGTCTTCACGAGGTAGCCGGTAATGGCACAAAAGAAAGGGCCTTTAGTAAACTTACGAGATGTTGTTCAAGACTTTGTCAATGTGACAGGAGTTGATGCAGTCAACAGTGCATAATGTGCTTTCGAGCTCCTCGTCTGACGGCTCTGGAGGATCATCCGCAGCATAGCTGGAGATGTACGAGGTGAATGCAGAGAAGAATCCAACGTCGTTAGATCTTGCTGCCCTATCAATGACTTGCGAGGGAGTCTGTAGAGGAATGGCTGGGATTGGTAGAGTTGGAAGATCAGTTGAGGACAACGGGGGTGCTAGGGAGTTCAAAAAGAGATGAATCCATATCTGAATGATCTGTAGGGAGTTAGCTTGACGTGACGATAAAGATACCTCAGGAAATCACTGACATGTTTCCACCCGTCTTGAATGAGAGCCTCGCTGCCAGTGACGACCCGGAATAATACGAGGACTGCGAGCTGCGCGCGGAAGTCTCTGCCGAGCTTCACAGCCAGCTCACTGACCATGACACTGCCGTCGCCAACTTGGACCTCGGTATTGAGAGAAGTGTTGAACGGCACGCGGGTAGCCAAGGTGGTGATGTGACTGAGGCAGTAAACAATCTGATCAAGTGCTTCGACATTGCCATACTTGGTTGCAATGCGAGCGCACTCATCAAAACCGGTAACAATTCTGGCGAAAACGGCATCGTCGGTTGCAGACATGAAGACGTACGACAGGGCTGAGACGACCGGCTTCCAGGTTGCAGCAAACATGTCGCCGTCGTAGATGTTGGTGTCGCAGAGAAAGAGGTTGCCAGCCGTCTCAGACTTCACAAGAAGCTCTCGCCAGGCGTAATCGAAAGCATGCTGGTTGTCGTGCTCGTCTGGCAAGATGATTTCGTTCGATTTGATGGTCTCGTAGATATCTCTTAGATAGTCCGGCGAGAAATCCTTGCCATCATTTTGCCCTCGCAAATTTCTAGAGAAATCATTGAGCGTCATCCTCTTCATGCTCTTCACATTCGGGTTGTGCTGATCAGTATTCAGAATGATGATGGCATATGTCAAGATGAAGACAGCGTCTTTGTTTGCCACCTCGGAGAGCGTGTTGCAATCACAATACTTCTCCGAGAACGACTCGACTACCGCCGCGATTAGGGGCGCTTCACCCGGCAACCGGAATGACTCCAGCAGCAACCTCAAGGCTTGGTCGATTCGTTTGCCGGAAAAATCAAAAAGGTCCATGAAGGCAGCCAAGATAGCTTCGTTTCCCTTTTTGGACAGAAAGTCTCCGAGCACGGCCTTTGATATCCGGGATGTGCCTTTGAGAAACTTGGCCACCGAAACGGGGTCGTTGATATTGGTAATGATGTTGTTCGCTTCCAGATAGCTCAACCCCAACTTCGGCTTCTCGTTAAACTTGCTCGTGCCTATGATAATCTTTCTTTTCTTTCGCCTTTTCTCTCTCAGCTCTTCGGGATCTGGGCAGTTTTCGTAAACGGGCTCATCATTTAACCTCTCAGCCATGAACTGGATGAATCGAAGGAGTGCGTCCAGGCAGAGAGGCGGCACACTTGTAGTACTCCACGTAGCAGAGTCCGGCAAGGCGTTACGCGCAAGTAGCCCAATGACATCCTCACACAGGTCCGACCTGTCTTCGTCACAGTCGTAGTTGACAAACAACTCAGTAGCAAATGTTGGCATCCTCGAAAGCACGCCGAGGGCCTCCACCATGGCCTGCCTAGCATCAGGTTTGCGCGCTCCTCCCTCCAAGCCAAGTTTTTGTCGGTCCTTGACGGGAACTGGAGTCGCTCGTCCGCTGTTGGTCTGCGACGGTGGCGGCTTGACCAGTTTCGGTGTCTCGGGTATGCCAGCGTACAACGATGGGTCGATTCCGGCTTCACGAGGGATGGGGACCTTTGGGTGAAGGCACGCTACCAGATAGGACAGGTAAAGCTCCTGCTGGAGTTTGAGGATGCCCCTGCAGGTCGCAAGCAGAGTGCCGGTAACCGTTAGCGATTCCTGCAGAATAGCCATGTTGTCAGACCGTACAAGCTGGAAGAGATAACAGCACAGCTGATCCTTGGCAATGGTAGCCAAAGCAGGGTGACGAGCGATGAATGACCCGGACACTTCTAATGCAACATGTATGATCCTCAGGGCCACCACTCTCATTGTGTCTGTATGATGCCGATCGTTGGGGTCCAGGAAGTTGACCAGAACTCGGAACAGCTCCCTGACGGACGGGAGCGAGTATGGCCGGAGATCCAGGGACTCTGTGTCGCTTTCTCCATTGTCTTCGTTGTCGGGATCGAGGACAGGCCCTTCGTCAGCCTTCTCACCGTCACCGCGTCCTTCTTCTGCCTTCTCAGGCTCGCTGCTGTCGGGAGCTCCCATAGCAGGAGGACTGTCTCCAGTAGTTGCGGGCACAATGGGCTCTGCAACAGCGCTACCAGCGGTCGTGTCCATTTTGACATTTTCCATGTGCTGGTCAGCCAGCTGATCCATGACCGAAGAATCGTCGCCAGCCTCGACCTCGATATGTTTGATATCCTCGAATATGATTTGGCACATCCGGACCAGAACGGCTTCGGCGGTCCTTCTCAAGACAGGCGAAAATCGAGGTTGAGAGCATATAGCCAATCCACGGCCCATCATGTCGCAAACGCTCTCGTCGCTGAGTATGTAGCCACCCGGTCCGGACATCATATCCTCCATCAAGTTGAGGATCATGAGCAGCACAACTTCACCCTGCGCTGAATCGCTTATATCGAATTGACAATGCGTAACAGCCGCCGAGAGTGACTGCATAGCCAACGCAAAGCGCGGGGATTCGGGAGAGATAAATCCATATGCCAAGAACTTTCTTAATGCGCCCAGAGCCAATATCGTAATTGGTGCTGCGGTCCCCTTCTCCTGGATCACAAAGAGGAACGGCGCAAGCAGCGTCAGGGCATCGAATGAATGAATATCTACGTAACATTAGCCGACAGTAAGTGACAAGCTGAACTAGGTACACACTCTGAACTCCGGTGATCTCGTGGCGAAGGTTGCTGAACCCCGTGATCATGGGGCTATCCTGCAAGCCCTTGGCCCTCTGCCCCTGAAAGCTCCAGCGGCTGCTGGCCGCTTCATCGCGGTCCCCGTCCCTGAAGGGCCCTCCTCCAACGCCTCGTTCCCGTGGTTTAGGGGATCCGAACTGTATCGTGTTTGGGTTTCCGCCAAGTATGGCAGATACAGAGAAGTGTGGAGAGCGCGCATGCTTTTGAATCGCCGACGTGATTGCTATGCATTCGGATATGACGAGTGACACAGGATCGACGGCCACGGATACAGGACGGCTTCGGTATTGCATCCTCGGAATTTCATGGTGGACTGACGGCGAGGCAGGACGCACGCTGCGCACAGGTGAAGGGGGTGCCATCTTCGCAATGCATTGGCTATTCGCCAATGGAGTTTGTCGCTCTGTTCAGAACATTCGCAGGAGAAGAAGGGTTTGTAAGGCTGTGTCAACAGAGGCGGCCACGTCTATGGCAAGGATCAAGACTCGAACCAAGGACAGCAGAACAACTTCCTCCCAGAGCTGTACCAGGGACAGGTATGCTGTCATTACAGCTTGCATCCACTTGGTGGTGGTGGGTGCATGGTTGAAGCACGAACCATGGACACGCTTAGTCACACTATCATGCACAGTACTAGGTAGTAGGTAGCACTACTACTACACAGTACCTCTACCCACCCATACAAGACCTTACCCGAAGATGGTCGTACTCAGTATATAGGTAAGAATATACCTGCCTACCTGTATGCTTTAATTATCACTCAATTAGTTATATACGGGGTGAGGTAAGTAGAAACTGATTATTACTAAAGTAATTAAAAGACTAGTTATAAATTCTTAAGTCTTCAGATTAATTAGAAGATATAATATAGGTACTTGTCATATACTGTTATAAAGTATTAAGTAGTAGATGAATATTTAGGGATATTATTACATAGGCGTCAGAAGAATTCATGAGGCTAAGACATCACTAGTCCGGAATGAGAAAGAGCCTGCTACCCAATAGGAACTCCTTACTGTGTCTCCTGCCTTCTCTCATACTCCATACTGTGCCAACTTGCTAGTACTGGCGTTGCCTGTCGCGTTAAAAATACAGACACCAGCCAACTCCTCCAACCTTTGCTGCGCGTCATCCCGTCAGGTTGGATTTCTGTCTCCCATCCTCCATCCGCTTACGATCAATAGAGACGCGTCGCAATGGATGACTCCACGGCATTCGGCTCTCCGGGAACCGCGGCATCGCCGGCGGCCAACCCTGCCCTCTCGCAGCCACCGTCGCAATCCAATGTCAAAAGCCAAGATTCCCAAGGTCAGCCATCACCAATCGGCTTCCACCGAATCATACAAGTCTAACAATGCCCATAGATGTTCAGATGTCTGAGGAATCTTCAAGCGCAGAGCAGGCCACTCAGGGCGGCGAAAGCCCTGCAGCTGGCGCGGCAGTGGACGCAAGTGACGCCCCGAGTGACTCGGCTGCACCCAACGCTGCCGGTCGTCTCGATGAAGAGATGGGCGATGTGTCTGAGGACAAGCAAGGTCTGTCTGCTGGCTCGAACGATGCCGCTGCTGCCTCAAATGGCGGGGTAGAAACCAAGTCGAAGGAGGCTTTCGAATCAGCCGCCAGGGATCATCTCATCTCTCAGACGCATGCGATTGTGCTGCCGAGCTACAGCACCTGGTTCGACATGAATTCTATCCACGATATCGAGCGCAAAGCGATGGCGGAATTCTTCAACAACCGCAATCGAAGCAAGACTCCTGCTGTCTACAAAGATTATCGCGACTTCATGATCAACACCTATCGACTAAACCCGGCTGAATACCTGACGATGACAGCCTGCCGTCGCAATCTTGCCGGTGATGTCTGCGCCATCATGCGCGTTCATGCGTTTCTCGAACAATGGGGCCTGATCAACTACCAGGTAAATTCCCAGCACATGACGGAGCCTTGCGTCATCCCACGCACACCGCTGACACTCTTCGATAGGTTGATGCCGATCAGCGACCGTCGCATGTTGGCCCACCGTTCACCGGCCACTTCAAGATTATATGTGATACACCGCGGGGACTTCAGCCCTGGCAACCTGCCGCAGATCCCGTGGTTTTGGAAGGCAAGAAGAATCGGGACACCGAAGAAAAGGCCAATGCTTCAGCCCCCAGCAAGGGTGACCTGAATCTGGGAATTGGTCGCAACATTTATGAAGCCAGCGCTAAAGGGACACCCATCACAAAGTCAGAAAGCCAGAGAAATGGCGATGACGCTTCCATCGAAGAAACCGCCAAGGCGCCAGTGTCCAAGGTCAACTGCCACCAGTGCGGTAACGATTGCACCAGGATATACTACCATAGTTCCCAGTCGGACGCGAGGGCGAAGGCGAAGTTTGATCTTTGCCCCAACTGCTTCACCGAGGGCCGGTTGCCTGCGAACCACAGCTCCAGCATGTATTCCAAAGTCGAAAACCCGACGTACACATCTGTTCTCGATCGAGATGCGCCGTGGACCGACGCAGAAATCCTACGCCTGCTCGAGGGCCTTGAGCGGTTCGATGACGACTGGGGAGAGATTGCGGAACACGTTGGTACTCGAACGAGGGAAGAATGTGTGCTGCAGTTCCTCCAGTTGGATATCGAAGAGAAGTATCTGGATTCGGAGGCGCCTACGAACAACCCTACCGGCTTATCCATGCTTGGAAGTCAGCACGGTCATCTGCCTTTTAGCCAGGTAGACAACCCTGTCATGTCTGTTGTTGGATTCCTGGCAAGCCTGGCAGACCCAGCCAGCACTGCTGCCGCGGCAAACAGGTCAGCAGATGAGCTCAAGCGCAATCTACGAAAACAGCTCGATGGTGCGAACCAGACAGGCAACGCAGCGGCGGGAGATAAGAAGGAGAACGAAGTGGACAAGGCGGAATCTATGGATGTGGATTTCCGACAGACAACCGTGACCACGACTACTACTACAACGACTTCGACTACTAAGACGTCGCTTGCTTCCATTCCCTTGGCATCTATCGGTGCTCGCGGAGCTGTCTTTGCATCCCACGAGGAGCGGGAGATGACAAGACTGGTCTCGGCAGCCTCCAACGTGATGCTTCAAAAGCTCGAGCTGAAGCTCAAGTACTTTGACGAGATGGAAGAGCTGCTGCGCGAGGAGCGCAGAGAACTGGAGCGAGGCAGGCAGCAGCTGTTCTTGGACAGACTGGCCTTCAAGAGGCAGGTTCAGGCCATCCAAGACACATTGAATGCGGCGGCAGAAGTAGGCGGAGCACAGGGTGCTCGAATGGCGCAAGATATCACCATGGATGGCGAGAAACTGGGGTTCCAACCCGTATTGGATGGTCAGTCGATGCTGCCACCGAGCAGCAGCGGTCAGGTCAAGACATTTGAAGCATAGAGGCCTTGGGGTCTTGGAGGGCCTGGTTGATCGGCCCTGGGGCACCACCACTGGTGATGGTATTCTGGGAAGCTTCGGAGTTGGAGAGCTTGGAAAGGAAGCAAAATAGGCACCTGCTGACTTGATAATGTATGGTCTGGGGAGTTTGGGATATTATGCTGCGAAAGAGGATCATTTACCTCGTTTTACTTTTTCCCTGGCCGGGTGTACCAGTATGACTACTAGCAAGGTAGGTAATTCAAGCTTTATTGAGTTCATAGGAGCCGATTCTGCGCCATCATGTGTGCCTCGTTGTCGATACCGCATCAGTCCTCTTATTGGGAATGACAATGTTGGACTTTTGATGTGCTGTCTGTGTCAAGTGCTGCCTTCATGTTTGTACGAAGTACCGCCTCTCGAAACTCGGCAGTGCGTATACCTCGCGCCGACGCTACGCAACTGTGGCCCATAAGCTCCACGTCGACAGCTTCTCGCCCCACCATCCATGACCTCTAAGGTAATAGGCAGCTTCTCGTGACAATACTACTACCAACCTTGTTGCATACTACCTCCTGCTACTGTCAAGGTTACCCTTCTTGGACGCCCAAGAATTGCAAGCACGGAGCCCTGGAAGCATCTCGCGACAGCAGCGCATCACTCGAAGCATTCATTCCAAGTCGCCTACAGTCTCAATGTCAAGTGCCAGGGGCCAATACCACCGCGCCTCGCTGGAGGACGACGACCTGATTGATCCAGATGATGGTAGGAACGAGTCCTAAGCTCTTGGGAAGCCGACTGCGAAGCCGACTGCGAAGCTAACGCATCAGATGCAGCGGACCTCAATGACTTTGACGATCCTCTCGCTCCGCAATCGTCTCGGCAGCCTCTGACAGGCACGACTGCTTCCGGAGCGTCGGCGTCGGGATCGCTGGACCAGGGCTATCTCACCTCTCGCATCCCCGGCGACGACCGAAGGGCGCCCCAGAACACCATTGACGAAACCGTATGGGAGACGCTGCGTCGCGATCTTTTGGCTGTGTGGGACAAGCTCAAGGAGGTGCTGTATCCGCGCTACCTGCTGGGCGGCACCATGTTCGATTCCGAAGGCGGTCTCCGCGGTGCATACTCCAACATTCGCGGCGCAGGCCTCACGGGCACGAGAGAGGAGCTCACGGGCCTTGCCAGTCGGGTCATAGACGCCGAGGCCCTGCTGCAGAGCAACATGAGCCCCGGGCTTAGAGATTGGGATCTCTGGGGGCCTTTGATCTTCTGCTTGCTGCTCAGCCTGCTGCTCAGCTTCACGGCCCGAGCCGATCAGAAAGATGCTGTCTTCAGCGGCGTCTTTGCGACCATTTGGCTAGGCGAGGCCATTGTCACTCTTCAAATCAAGCTTTTGGGCGGTAACATGTGAGTCAACGGAAGGAGAGGATTATACGCGGTTCTGCGTCAGGAGTAGCCCCCTTGCTAACAAAGAATCAACAGCTCCTTTGCCCAGAGCATCTGCATCATTGGCTACACGCTGTTTCCGCTGGTAATCGCCGCTCTCCTGTCAGCCCTCAGGCTTCACTGGATCGCGCGGATACCGGTCTATCTTGTCCTCATTGCGTGGTCTCTTGCTGCTGGCGTCAGCATCCTCGGCGGTAGCGGAGTGGTCAAGAACCGGGTGGCCATTGCTGTGTACCCTCTTCTTGTGTTTTATCTAGGGCTGGGATGCCTTTGCTTCATCAGCTAAACGCTGCCTTATGCGACGTCTTTTGTGCGGTGCCGAGATCTGCTCTTGTTATGCGGCGAGGGAATATGTGTAATGAAAGAAAATTATCTTCTTCCAGGTTAGGGAGCGGCCTCCATTATGGTGCTTCTACCATGTAGGCATGTCTTCTAGCGTCTTGATAGAGTTGGGCATCTGAGATGCGCAATCGAATGACATATGCATGCGGCCAGCCTACGCCATCCATACGTACCAAGCAACGACTTGATACCGAATCTCCAGCATATTCCTTGACCAGTATACAGTGTAGTATTCATCGGGTAGGTAGGCTGACTTGGGCAGGTACGAAAAAGCATGAATATGATCTACGTTATGATCCAACACTGGTTCTTATATGGTTATTACTGACCCAGACGTGTTGCTGTCAGGTTTTGGCTTCTCAGAGGCCGGTCACTGGCTTACCATGTTGCACAACTTGAAGCACTCGAGATTCCCAACTATCACGAGCTACTAGTACTACCAGGTACCTAGGCAAAGGGCAAGGTTAGATTGGTTCAGGGGCTTATAGTAGTCACCATCTCTGCAAAGAAAAAGTACTACTAGGTAAGGTAGTAGGTGAAATAATTCTATACAATGACTGGTATGACACATGCAACAACATACGGTATGGATGTAGGAGCAGATAATACAGGCCTGACCTAGAGGCATGCAAGGCACTTCAAACCTGAGGTCTGACCGGCCGTTTAATTGCTACCCCTCATCGCAATTCGGCGGGACAGTGGGGAAGTATATTCTCGTAGCGATCGTGCCTTTTCCGTGCTCCCTGTAGGCGGGAGTGGTGCCACAGTACCTTTCGAGTACCTGAAGCTCCCTGTTGTTCTGCGTCCCACGTCTGGGCTCTGGCATCCAGAAGATAGGTAGGTTACTCGTAGCACTGCCGGGAGGCCAGGTCTGTGATTGGGCGCTTGGCCAGCTGAAGTTGACCACCTCCAACCATCGGCACAAAATTGCTGCAGCGCGACAGCAGCACAAAGACGACCAGAGGCAAACAGTGGTCATCGTGCGAGCCTGAGCCCTTGTTCTGACTGGTCCTGTGCTCTGGTGTTCCTCCCCAGCCAGACTCCCGCATCCTTGACCTGGTCCGCCGCTCAGGGTCGCGCGGTTATGCGCAAGCAGCCGTCGCTGTATCAATCCAGGCCGCAGATCAACCTCGAGCACGACATCCTCCCGCCTCATCTTGCGCGATCGACACAGTCCGCCCTCTTTCACCCCCCAGCCTTGCACGCATCATGGCCGACAGCGCGCAAGCACCGGCCAGCCCCAGGAACGAGCCAGGCTACCCAGAAGCAGGCGAAGATGCCGAGACGCGCGCCGCTCGCCGGGAACTGAAACAGTCGTCCATATCCGACTCTCCTGCTGCCGCTGGCCATCTCGCCTCCGGCACTGTCGACGACGATGCGGCACGCCCCGATACCCCGGCCGATCATGTATCCGACAGCGCCGATGAGCGGCTCAAGGAACAGATACCCTCTCCGAAGAAGAAGCGCGCGCACGACCAGCTGGACAGAAGCATAGACGTGGAGCAAAACGACGCCAACAGCGTTACGTCTACGGAATCAACCAGAGATCGCGCTTCCCGGCTAGAGCCTGAGAAGAAGAGGCATCGCGAGGAAGACTCTTCAAGAGTGGTTTCGGTACGTGGTTGCTCCCCATCCAATGCCGCCCGCTCACCATGTGTCGGCTCTATTCTAACTAGCAGGCAAAGAACTCCTCCTCCTCCACCTCGGCGGCGGACACGCAACCTGCCACCGGAGATGCGGCAGAGTCCACGGCCTCATCAGCAAAGCCTGTGCCACAGACGTCGTCTGCTGCGTTTTCGGCTTCAGGATTCGGCAAGCTCGCTACCGGATCATCGCCCTTCGCGAGCCTGAGCACGGCTCAGAGCAGCATCTTCTCTCCTTCAATTGGCTCCTCGACTCTATCATCAACCCCCAGTCTGGGTGCGCCGGCGTCACAGCCTGCTGCATCTGTCGCCATGCCAAAGTTGACATTCGGCAGTGCTAACAGCGCGTCACCGTTCGCCAGCCTCTCTTCGGGATTCGGCGGCGCCAGTATGGGCTCTCCATTTTCCGCTGGTAAAAGCCTGAGTAGCTTCGCCTCGCCTTCGGCCAAGCCTCTTCAAAGTGAAAAGCCCGCAAAACCATTCGGGGCTCCAGAGAGCGATGCGGAAGACGAGGATGATGAAGACGCCGACCGCGATGGCGAATCCGAGTCAGACGAACAGGAGCGAGCCGCTTCACCTGAAAGGGAACCAGAGGAGAAGAAGCGATTCAAGCTACACAAGGGTGAGACGGTATTCCCTAAAGCTACCATGTATATATACATGTGGCCTCATCCGGCTCTTTCTTGGCGCAGATTTGCTAACGCGGCATCGTGACTTAGTCGAGGTTGACGATGGTGAGGCAGGCGAAGCAACTTTGCTCTCCGTCAGAGCGAAGATGTATTACCACGACAAAGTCGCCGGCTGGAAGGAACGAGGTGGCGGGATGCTGAAAATCAATGTTCCGCAAGGGTGTATTGAGTATGATGAGACCGGGGCCCCTATCCTTGGCTCCTTTGATGCATCTGCACTTGAATCTGGCGATGGGGATGATGACAAGGCGCAAGGACACAAGGTTCCTCGTCTGCTCATGCGCCAAGACCAGACACTGCGCGTGATTCTCAACACAGCTCTTCTTCCCGCAATGACCTTTCAGGAGAAGGCATCGCTCAAGACTGTCTCCATTTTCTTCACGGCAATTGAGGGCGAACCGGCGAAGCCTGTCAACGTAACCATGAAGGTAAGTCTTGGCCGTCAATGCATCATACTGACAAACTGTTCCATCACATAGCTCCCCGCTGACACGCTTCTCCGCAACAGATGTCAGCAGCGAACGCTAAAAGCTTCTTGAATGAAGTCAACAGCATTCAGAAAGAACTTCAGGGCAACTAAAGCCCCGTCAAACAAAGATGCTGATACTAAACGGGTTCAACGACGACGAACTGTTGATACAACGACGAGTGAGGGTGTATTAGTTTCAAGCCACGCTTGGCCATGCCCATACATGCCGCCTAGGAAATAGGCACAGAAGCGCGCAGGTTCAAGCTGCCCGTCCACGCCATGGTCGAGCTAACCCGCCATCATGGCCACGATGCAAGCGCAGGTATGTATCATGTGACGCAGTGTTGCATAGAACAGGAATTGATAGGAAGAGGAAGATCAGGCACCCGTGTAAAGTACTTCTGGAATACTCTAGACATGTCACTTGGGGCGAGACGCCCAATATAGTATGTAGTAATGCGACTGCCATCTAGGCGCCGAATTTTTGTTCTATCGAGAGAGTCCATCGTGGTGAAATCAGTGAATATCTGCAGCCTCCCAAGATGCTCAGCAATTCGTGGCTGTTGACCTGCGAGTGCCTTGCCGGTAGCGGGACACGTGATTCTGCGTTAGTTTCGCGATTCTCTCCGGCGCCCAAGACGTGCTAGATCGCGAACTGCATACATCACTTTTCGCCACAGATCCAACCTCGATCTGCTGGGGTTTCCCGCTCTTTCAAGCATTGTTTGCTGAGCCGGTGCTCTTGAATCACGTATTGCTTCGATTCTGTTGAATGGTGCATCTCGGATCCTGTTGCAGCTCTGCGTTCACGCAGATATTGTCTGTGCCTTTTTGTTCCAATGGCATGAGAGATCTGGGCCTGGTCGGCTGAGGACCTTGGAGTTGCGAAGCATCCCTTTCTCCCAGCCATGAATGAAAATACAGCACCTCTCCCGGCTGGGAACAAGCTGGAAACCCCTCCTTCACGAAAGCGCGTTCATGAGGAGGATCCCCCGGAAGGCGGAGACAGCCGGCAAGCTGAATCATCGACCGTTTCGGAGAAGAAGCCCAGAACCAGAAAGCGAGAGAGCAGTCAAAAGCAGAACAGCCAGACAGACGGCTCAGACAGTCCTGTGCTGCCTCCTGTTCCGTGGACTGAGGCTCTGCAAGCCCTTGACAGAGCACATCGAGCCCTGAATTTGGTCTACACCTTCTGCTCCACGCGGAAACATGTCTTGACCACATTGGACACTCTCCGTCCAGCTGTCGAGTCTCACATCAAAAGGGAGCTGACAGTTGAGGATGTCGCCCAAATGGTTGCTCTCCGCCCCGAAGCATTGAAGTTTGAGTACGTCAATGAGCTTATGCTACAACTCAATGTGCGAGGCGGACAGAGGGACGATGTCTTCAAGTCGTCAAAGTCTTTCAGGTCCCAAGCTCCAGCGCACGATGCGTCAGTTGGCGGATTGACTGGAAATGAGCGCCTGGACGATGATGCCGGCGATAAGGCTGCCATGAATGGGCGCCAGGTTCTTCACCTGGAGTTCATCGACGGAGACCTGAAGCGGCAAGTGGTGGATAGAGAAACGGGCGAGGCGACGCGGCCAACTCAAAAGCTCAGGAAAGAGAAGCTGAAAATGCCGGTATATGGCCAAAAGCAGATGACGCAGCTGATTGAGCGGCGTAATCAGAAGTTCACCAACGCTATCAACAACTTCCTCAGCAAGTGCTTGAGTGACAATGAAGATCCGGACAAGGTTCTTCGTGAAAGGGCTCAGGCTTTCATACCCAAATTGGCGGCGGATGATGATGTTGCACTCTGCTGCGCGGCCAGTACTATCCCGGATGCCATCCCCCATGAACGGCAGAGCATTTCAGAGATCCTGGAGCAGATCAAAGAAAGCTCATGGTACTCCGGCCAGATTGTGCCCGATGGTCACCGAGTATTCGAGCCACAGAGCCCGGCCTATGGAAGTCTCAATTTCCTACTGTCCCAGGACCTGGTGAATGCTTTGTATAATGCTAAGCAAATCACCCAGTTCTACACCCATCAAGCAGAGGCCTTGAACAGACTGCACGAAGGGCAGAACATCGTCATATCCACCTCGACAAGCTCTGGGAAGTCACTCATATACCAATTGCCAGTGTTACATGCTCTGGAACAGGATCCCAACTCAAGGGCCTTGTATATCTTCCCCACCAAAGCACTGGCTCAGGACCAGAAGCGCAGCCTTCGCGATATTCTGTCCTACATGCCTGGCCTTGAGCATGTCTTGGTAGAAACGTTTGATGGAGATACCCCCATGAATATCAGAAATGCCATTCGAGAAGAAGCCAAAATCATCTTCACAAACCCCGACATGCTTCACCTCACTATCCTCCCTCAGGAGCAGAGGTGGAGAAGCTTTTTGAAGAATCTCAAGTTTGTCGTTGGTAAGTTCATCCACAGATGGGCGAACCATCCCATTGACTAACAGCTGCAAGTGGATGAGCTCCATTACTACAATGGCCAGCTGGGGTCCCATGTTGCTTTTATCATGAGAAGACTGCGACGCATCTGCGCTGCAGTGGGAAACCGGCACGTCCAATTCATTTCCTGCTCCGCCACGGTAGCCAACCCTGAGGAGCACTTCAAGTTGATATTTGGCGTCTCGGATGTTTCTCTGATCGATTACGACGGCTCGCCATCCGGCAGAAAGGAGTTCCTCTGCTGGAACACGCCATACAAAGAACCAGGAGATCCTGCGAGCGGACGTGGCAGCGCCAAGTTTGAGTGTGCTCGTCTATTTTGCGCTCTGCTGCTCAGGGGCGTCAGGATCATTGCTTTCTGCAGGGTTCGGGCACAATGCGAGGCGTTGACCAACGCGATCAAGCAGGAGCTGCATGAACTCGGTCGTCCCGAATGCACCAACCTCGTCATGGGCTACAGGGGCGGCTATACAGCTCGAGACCGCCGGCAAATCGAAACAGAAATGTTTCAAGGGAAGTTGCTTGGTATCGTGGCGACTACGGCACTCGAACTCGGAATCGATATTGGTAGCCTGGATTGCGTCCTCACATGGGGCTTCCCTTACACAATCGCGAATTTACGGCAGCAGAGTGGCAGAGCAGGGCGGCGAACCAAGGACTCGCTGTCGATTCTTGTAGGCGACAGCTTTCCGACAGACCAGCATTACATGAACAACCCCGATGAGCTCTTCTCGAAACCAAATTGTGAGTTGCGCGTGGACTTGGACGATATGCTCGTCCGCGAAGGCCACATTCAATGTGCAGCATACGAAATGCCCATTCGACAACAGGAGGATATGCAGTTTTTTGGCCAGGACCTGCCACAGATTTGTCGAGAGCGATTGGTCAAAGACGAGGCGGGATTCTTTCACTGTCACGACCGCTTTCGCCCAAATCCAGCTCAATACATCGCCATCCGGGATGCAGAAGATGACCACTTTGCCATCATCGATATCACGAATGGAAGAAACGAGGTTTTGGAGGAGCTTGAGGCGTCGAGGGCGACGTTTACCATATACGACGGTGCCATATTCCTCCATCAGGGCAACACGTACCTTATCCGCGATTTTCTCCCAGACCAAAGCATGGCCAAAGTCGAGCGGGTCAACGTTGAGTGGACCACAATGTCCCGGGACTACACCGATATCGATCCTGTTGAGATCGAGGCTATTCGTATGATATCCGGGTCGTCCTGCCACGCTTACTACGGGGGCATCAAGATCCAACAGAATGTATTTGGATTCTTCAAGGTGGACAAGAAGGGGCGAATCATCGACGCGGTACAGGTAGACAACCCACCCGTTGTCCGGTACAGCAAGGGCATGTGGCTAGACATACCAGGGCAAGTGCTTGAGGTGCTGCAAGATCTACAGCTGAATGCGGCGGCAGCGATACATGCAGCGGAACATGTCATCATGAGCTTGTTACCCGCGTTTGTCATCAGTCTCCCAGGAGATGTACGGACCGAATGCAAGGTTGCCCTCAAAGAGTTCGCCAAAAAGGAGACAAAGAGGAAGCGGCCGGCTCGACTGACGTTCTATGACGCCAAGGGAGGTGCAAATGGTTCCGGCGTTAGCACAAAGGCTTTTGATCATATTGATCATCTGCTGGAGCGTGCTCTGAAACGGGTGGAAGAATGCTGTTGCCAACAAGGTTGTGTTGAGTGCGTGGCTTCTGAAGTATGCAAAGAATCCAATGAGGTTATAAGCAAGGCAGGGTGCCTTATTATTCTCAGGAGCCTTGTAGGGGTTGATATCCAGCAAGAGGGTTTTCAGCCAGGTCCTGAAGAGATATATGCAGGTATAGACACAATAGCTCCTGCAACAGTAATCCCTTATAAAGTATAATAAGGGATAGATTACGCAACACCCTAAGGTTCGTTTAGCAACACCCTAAGTGTGGCTTAAGCGCCCTTATATAACTAGTATTAGATTTCCCTAGTGCTTTAATATATATATACTATTTAAATTCTTAGTAATACTTTATTTAAACTTAAAGTTATACTTCTTATAAGTAATAAAAGCTTTTATTTATAACTTTCTTTATTAATTTAAAATATTATAATATATAAATTAATAAATATAAATATTAATATTATAATATATATTTATTTTAAAAAATAATTTTTATTAAAAATTTAATATAAATATATATAAAGTTATAATAACCTTAATATAAAATACTAATAAATTTATAATATTTTTTATTATATTTTATTACCTTAAATAACTTATAGCTTTTTACTAATACTTTTACTAAATACTTTATATAAAAAAAACTTCTTAAAAAAAAACTTATATACTATATATTTACTTTAATTATAAGCCTAGCCTGCTATATTTTAATTTATTAATAAAAGTGCTTAAATAATATAAAAAAATTAAATTACTTTTATAAGTAAGCTTAGCTTACTATTTTAAAGTAAGCTAAGGTAATATATATTTTATTACCTTAAATAACTTATAGTTATTTATTAATATTTTTACTAAATACCTTATATAAAAAAAACTCCTTAAAAAAACCTTATATATTATATATTTACTTTAATAATAAGCCTAGCTTATTATATTTTTATTTATTAATAAAAATACTTAAAAAATATAAAAAATTTCTTAAATTACTTTTATAAATAAGCTTAGCTTATTATTTTAAAATAAGCTAAAGTAATATAAAAGCTATATTAATATTTATATATATATTTAAAAAATAAAGTTTAAATTTTAATAATATTTTTATTAATAGCTAAGTAATTATAAATTAGCTTACTAACTTATAAAAAATTTAAATAATAGCTAAAGTAAAAATATAATAATTATATATAATAATATACTTTAGCTATTTAAATATTAAACTTAAGGCTTATTAATAGCTTTTACTTATTAATTTATATAGCTTTATTAAATATATTTATTTTTTATTTTTTTATTTTTTTATAAATTAGCTTTATTTTTAATTTTTTTAATTAATTTTAATATAATTATTAAGCTTTAAGCTAAATTAGTTTTAATTATTTATTTATTTATTAATTTTATTTAATTATTTTTTTAATTAATTTAACTTTTAATAAAAATATACTTTTAGCTTTTTATTATTAAAAACTAAATATTAATTAATTTAATTTTTTAAAAATAATATAATTATTATAAATTATAATTTTTAATATATTTAATATTAAGCTTATTTTAAGTTTTTTAATTATTAATATAGCTTTTATATTAGCTATAAATAATAAAAGTAAAAATTAAATTAACTTTTTAATTTATTTTAATATTATTACTATTTTAATTATATTAACTTTTTATTTATATTAAGCTTATAATACTTAAGCTATTAAACTAGTTACTTTTTTATTATTATTAACTTTTAATTTTAATTTTCTTTTTATATTTATACTAAAATTAATTTTTTTTTACTTTAAATTTACTTTAAATTAAAAAACTTAAAAAAAAGCTATTTAAAAAAGCTTTTTTATAAGCTTTGTTTTTATTAAATAAAAGCTATTAAGTTA